CATGAAATATAATGCGAGTGTGCACACTACCCTAACTCTTTCACTAATTGCAAACCATAACTCCTTACTCCGTATTGCTGCAGCCGGTGAGCTTTGAGTTCGATCTTGGTAGAAGAAGTCTCCGTCCCCTGTAGATCATACAATATTACCATATATGGCAAATACGAACGAGTGTCGGTGCATCATTTGAAGTCCACTCTCACAGAGTCTGCATACTCAAAAATATTGGCAATGGAATTTTCCCGGAAATTGGACGGGTAATTAGGATGCGAAGGAGAATGAAAAGATATAGAAGTCTTGACAACAAACTTGGCGACGCCATGAATCTCAGCCCATTGATACCCTTCTGGATCAAAGACATTAAACTTCCCGCTGGCTCTTACGTTTGTATGCGAGGAGAAGAGAACAAGTGTCCAACAGGTCTCAACCCAAGGCCTCGAGAATAACAACATTCAAACACTCTGAATATCCATTTGTCGGGACTTGGCTGTCTTGACTGAACCCCGCGCCGCGTCCTCCGTTTTTTTCTATCTACCGGCCTCCTATTTCGACAAGGTCGGAAAGGGAGGGGTCGGGTTATGCGCTTCCATCTCGATAGGATCATGCGGAGGAGGAGGAGATCCTTCTAATTCCGATATTTCTCTCCAGTCTCGACTCGTTTCTACGACCGGCTGTTTCTTCATGACTGTCACAGGACTACCCGAAACTTCGGACGCAGTCCTTCGATCCGCCGTATCGTCGTCTCCTTTCTCTTGTGGCGCCGCTTGCTCCAAACCCCCATTACTCCGCCGGCGAGGACGATACACGAAAAAGAGCCAACATATGCTAATGATTATTCCAATCAAGCACACGCCACCTATCGTACATCCAACGATCGTGCCAGTATAGTCGTGCTTCATGTCCGGACTTGACGATGGTTTTGCCGATGGTGTCCTAGTTGGGACTGGGGCGGTGCACTCGTCTATACTATACAATATCCATGATGTATTGTAGCATATTGCTATCTCGGCGGACTGGACCACTGAAGAGGAACACGGTTGGTCTGCGATATCGTCCTTGCCGTATAATGTCACTTCAAGAAAGGCAAGGAAACGAAAGTTAGTATATATTGCGAACGGAGTCACGATGATAGCTTACTACCTAGCTGGGTAGTAAGTTATTGGGAGAGCGTAGGAAGCTCGCGCGATAAAGAATGGGCTGCTTATTTCCTACCATCACAGCCCTCATCAAGGTTAACAACCTGGAAACTACCAAAATTTCCGGCCCGTCTAAGTCTCGTACACGTTCCATTAGGATATCCATTTGGCCCATCGAACGATCCTAGAGAGTTCTGGCAACTCTCATCGGTGAAGGTCGCGATGCTCGAGGTAGATGCCACGAGGCTGAGTTGCTGTAAGAATATCAATAACAGGAGAAGGGTAGGCGCCCCCAGCCAGGACAATAGTGAGCCATCTGTGAAGCCCATCGTCACGGCCAGTTATGACCCCCGGAAGGATCGTCGAATTCTAAAATAATGAGAACCGGAGAAGGATGAGACTCTCCTGCTTCGCGCTGCCATCGCAGCAGCAAGATAACCGTTCGTCTAGCCCCCTCATAACCAGCCTCATCGAGCAAGATTTAGGGGGATTGTGTTACAAGAAAAAGGAAAGGCCTGTGTGCCGTGGTGAAATTGCAGCTCGTTGGCTCGATGTTATACACATTCTGCCCCGTAGCCCAATAGGCGTGATTTCACATTAGAGGTTGGGCCGGGATCAGCCATAGGTTCTCATGCTTTCCACTTAGAAACTGTGGACAGCTTCGCCTTGCATGGCGAGTGCTTTTATAGACGTTCACTGGCCGCTTTTTCTCCTTTTAAAGGTACTATGACTTCAGCCGCTGCGCCGTTAAAAGTAACCTTCAAGCCCTCAAATCACGGTCTTCTTTTTTTTTTTTAGTCTATATTTGGATATGTCAACGTCAACCGCAAGACAGATACTTGATCATGTGGCCATACCCATCAGATGATGCTTTTAAGGGTGATATATTCTGTATCTCTCTTGGATAAGAACAGGGTTAGCGAGAATATGGACGTTGAAGCAGACCAGGCCCGCGACCTAAAGAAACCCACCGCAGCCGTTGTACCCGCTGAGCTTATTTGAACCGACAACACCGGGTTGTTTATTTTCACAGCCATAGAAGACAACGACATCTCAGCACATCCAATGCTTCATATCGTCCTTCCACCCTCTCCGGCGGTAAGTATGTCTCATATAGGCTAGGCAGAGGGGAATACGCTGTGTTTACATTCCACGACCTGCCTTCAGTCTACTTCGTCTACAATGAGCAAGGAAGGCAGACACTGCATAGTCAAGATCAATTTCTCTTCTACTCTCATTCAAAGAACCTACTCGATGCATAAAGGGCTCTCGAAATTTACAGCCCAAGCCAGATGACCTATGGCGCTACCATCGAAGTTACTGTCATATATTTTCGGCACGTATCCATCTCCAGCATCTGCATAGAACTATAGTTCCTCGAGCCACAACCACGGACAAACTAACTAAATATTTGGCAGGAGAATAGTGCCTCAATACAATGAACGTATGGAGTACTGATTCGACACCGTTGTGCAAGTATATGAGTGTTGTCATCCGATGGCGAGTATACCAGGCCTGACTCCACCATCTGTTGATCTAAACCAGCCAGGCCTTCCTAAGCAGAAATATACAAATGCCGTGGAAGGATCCCATACAAAATTCGGCCCTTACACAAAGATTTATCACCGTACGGACTACCCCGTACGGAGTACGGAGTACTCCGCGCTTTTCTGTTGAAGGACCTTTTACTTATGCTATCTCTTCTCGGAATACCTACATAATACCACGGGATCGATCGCACGATTTGGTTCCCCTACCTCCTTTAGCTCAAACCGCGCTACCAGCCCAGCGGTACGTTCCAAGCTTACTCCGTACAATAATCCCAATAATGAGTTAAACCCAGTCATTTCAATCTGCCACGCCCAGCGCCTGGACGATTAAAGCATCGGATCTTCAAGCATAGGATCTTCTCCCGCGATCGCCTCAGTCATCTCAGGAGATATTCTCCGGCAGGTTTATAATAAAGGGATCTAAGTAATAAGCGTGAAACCGTTGCGTGGCGTGGTCAGAGACACGAAGTATATAGTTGCCAACACTCGGGGCTACGACAAGACCAACCTCCCCGGAGAAAAGGAGATCCCTATAATCGTCAAACAAACTACGTTAGGAAACAGGTTTGCATTATATACCTAGGTAGCATCCCGCTGACGCGCTGGCAGGTGCTGAAACGTACTAATTCGCCTCGCCGGATGGAGATTAACTTGGTCATTAGCGCTTGTGAGGTCGTCTGAGTGTTACATAGAGCGACAACGGCTCTGTCAAACTTTGTCATGCTATCTTATTGACTAACACTTTCTTCAAAATACATAGTCTTCGAGCTGCCGTTACTCCGATCATCTTTTCGGCAACTCTTGATATTTAATCACCGGACTCCTCTCTCCAACCCCATGGGTCCGCTACTCTTCAGACTAGACTCAACAGACACGCATCGTGACCCTGATGATTACTAAAGGGGAAAGCAAACGATACTTCAACGTTGAGACTTTGGGCTTGGTTCGACTACCAGCCGCCGACGGCATGACATAACGCTACAAACATTACCGACTTCTAGACCTAGAGTGTCTTAGATGATTAATTAAACTCCCCTCGACTATGAGTTAAGGTATATAAGCATTCTGGGGACCTTGGGTTGATATATTATAATTGGCCCTTCCCCCGCCTTGTTCCAGGCCTTTTGATCAGTAAAAAAAGGGGGGAAGCTGCGTGCCCAATGAATATTTAGGCACGGGATTTTATCGCGCGTGCGAAGAATTAAGCCTTGATGCAGGCCGCGATTACCAGCCGATGGCTTGACAGGAACAACATGCGGTTTTCGTTGCTGTTGACGGATGATAAGAGGGCGACTAATCTATGACTTTTCAGCTCGCCTATCCTCAGTGTTTACCTTCCTCTTGCCAACGGAGGTTTGGGTTCCAAGACCCTGCCGGTCTTTTGCAGGCATAGCTTCTGAGAGCCCGTCCGGCCTTACGGAGGCTGCGTCAGTCTGCAGGTCGAAAGGAGAGCTTCCCCAAGTCGGGCTTTGTTACTTTGAGCCCAACGGCATTGGTCTTAGCGCCGCTTAGTAGCCAGTCAGGGGCGAGTGGCATGTGCCAGGGGTCTGTCTAGGATGGTTGGGTTAGCCGTGTGATGGGCACAAGCTTGAGATGTGTTCGACTTGATGGGCGCCAATATCGTGAAGAGAACTTGGCTGTCACACTCGCAAAAGTCAATGTAAGGGCTGGCCGCAGGGAATACTCTTCAACCGCAGGTTTTGCCCCCTAACGGTCTGTTAGTAATGGATTCCTTTTCAAGGCTCAAAGCCCGTGCGAATCGGAACTGTGGACCAACGAAAGAGCAGAATTTCTTTTGCAGCTTCACCCGCTAACATCTGATCAACAGCCCAGCACCAACGGAGTGACTCGGCAAAGCAGCTTTCCTCCTTCTTGCATGCATCTGGAGTCCTCCTATGCACGGAATTCAGGCTTCTCATGTCAAGGAACTTCGTTCTGTTCGCTTTCCTTCGCTCACTTCACTTCTCAGGCCGTGTCCTCCCCAGACTATGGCCGCTTAACCTTGTCATACAAGCCTTACTATCACATACGCTCGTTGCCCCTCTACTCTCACAGTCAGCTCGAACCCCTTGACGTCCAGTGTCACATCGAACACTCCCTTTTGTCTCAATTGATACATGTCTCGGAAAGAAGTCGTGGTTTAGCGGCGCAGTTCCTGGCAATGGACATATAGCCTCTCTTATAGACTGTGTGTGTGTGTCGTCGATGGAGCTCCTAAGTTGACTACCACCCATGGTTTCGTATCGGCGATGAGAGATTACGCTTGAAATAGATCAACGGACGAAGGCATTAAATAACTAGAAAAGATTGACAGATGAACGCTGAACCCCCTTCCACCGTCGGTTCTCGAAGGGGAGTGCGGCTAACGCCAATTCAAACAACCAACAGGAACTCGACGGTTCGTGTTAAGCCTCCCCTCCCAGAAGAGCTCGATGGCGATACATCGGGAAATCGCGTTCCACTGCGTCCTAAACCACACGGCTTCACCCTCCGGCGGTGGTTCGCAAGGGCAAAGCCTAGCCGTCAATCTACCTCGAGCAGAGACTCTCCTACTCCTGCCACAGAATCGCCCACCATTTTCGGAATTACCAGCCCAATTTCAAGAATAACACCATCCCCCGTCCCCAGCGTAAATGCCACCCCAATTTCGGTTAAGTCTCCAATTCAAATCCCAGCTGCCAACTTTGAGAATCAATCAAATGCCGAAGACACGGGTCCTATGTCAACGTGGGATCCCCCGCCTCTCTTTATGGTTTACCCGCAGGCCGTAAAGCATGCTACGCTCCCGTACCCTACGATGTCCACTGAAGATATTTTGCGCCGCAAGGCGCGTCGAGACCTGAAAGCACGCAATGATAAAGACAAGGCTACGGACGCTGATACTAGACCAGATGGCCCAGGTCCTAAGGGTGTAACCAAGACAAAGAGTTGGAAGAAAGGCAAAAAATCGCACACTAGGAGCCAATCTAGCCAGTCGAGCGGCATGAAATGGACACAGAAAATATTCATATTGGTGACCGGCGGATATCTGCTACAGTATAGTGTTGACGGTAATTTTGATCGACTCCCTGAGGCGGTGTTGGCCTTGGGTGGGGACTCAGTCGCATTTGCCTGTGATGCTATCCCAGGAAAACACTGGGTTCTACAAATATCGCAGACACAAGATGACATCGAACCAAGCGTGGAGCCGAAGAAAACTATACTCGGGCGGTTTCGACGGAATAATACCGAGCCTCAGAAACCAGCAAGCAGTTTCTTATTGGTGCTGGATAGTGCAGAAGAGCTGGCATCTTGGCTTATGTTCGTCCGGCGTGAAATACAGGGTCTCGGAGGGAAGGACTATTCCACAGAAACTCCTGGATTCCATCGGCTTCAACCCCCGCAGATGACACACCAAAGTCACGAAGGCATCCGGAATAGCCTCGTAGACCAGGCCTTGTCATCTCCATCGAGCGCAAGGAATAGCCAAATATCCGTCCCTGGACCACGTACGGATGATATGACGAAACGAGAAAACCAAAAACCTGTGCATCAATCAATCGAGATACCCTCACCATCATCGCTGGCAAGTACACCGGAATTAGATAACCTTAGACGAGAGTCAAGGCTATCATATGTTTCTATCGGGACGCGGACTATGCCGAGTTCTCAATCCTCATCATCTTCTGTTACTACCAGAACCCCAGCTTCCAGAAGCCCTTGCTTGGAGTCGCCAAAAGCCGGCCGTGTCGCGAGCACCGATTTAGGGATTAGGAGCAGGTCTTTTGTTAGACCCTCTGTTAAACCAGAGGAGGTTATCAACGAGACACCCTCTCCTCCACCCCGGTCTGAACATCGCGTTACTTCACCTACACCAAACTTTAGCCATCCAATTCTCAACAAACGAAATTCAGTTGCATCTAGTCCCAAGACTACCTCTTTTCCGGTTGATAACGGAATATGTCAGAGCCCTGTTTTACAAACCATTCCTGCTACCGAGATCAATGGCAGCCCTAAGGTTGACGAGGGCGTCAATTCCAATCAAAGTCCACCTCCAAGGAGGAGGGAAACCAGTAGTAACGGAATGCACCAACCTGAGCAAGCCAAAAGTAAACCCAAATTGGACGACTCAAAGTCACAGGAACAAGGACACTGTACACCTCGCCCACTCCTCCCTTCGTCCATCCCCGAGCATACTCCTCGAATACGAAGGTATTCGTCCTCCGATAGTATACAAAATTCCTGCCGTCCAGCTTCTGAGTATCGACCGGCCTTGTCCATCCTCGAAGACGACCCGTTAGATGTACCCCATCAGGCCCCAGGGTTTCAGTCCAGGAACAACCCACACGACTTACGGCAAAGGCCACAGAGCTTAGGGCCCAGGACCCTTAATGAACCAAGAATTAAGACATCCAGAAACGTCCGTCAACCAAGCCCCAACCCGGAACCTAGCCAGGACCCAACACGACGCCGACGATCTATGACGGTGAAATCATGCAATGGTAGAAGGGCTTCCATAAACTCTCTTTCAAGCAGGAAAAGCATGTCACATATTCCCCACGGCCCACCCCCAGCTCCACCTCCAACTTGCCCTCTACCAGAAGTACCGCCGATTGTATTCTCCGAGCCATCGTCTCCATGTGAAAATTCACGACTTAGCATCATTAGCTGTCAATCGCTACCACAAAAAAGCACCCAGTATCATCCTCGATAGATGAAATACCAAGGTCGTCAGGGGTATCCGAGCACCTTCATGTTGAAGGAAGCAAATCGGCTGGCCACCATATTCCGGCGTGCCCCAAAGCTGGCCGTGCTGCATATTTCTCTTATTTGCATATTTTAACAAAGCATTGCGTCATTCCGTTTACAGTTACGTGTTTCATTCTGTTGAGTAGTTCCTCGTTTAAACCATCTCCCAATATGCGACTCATGATACCCTCGTTGTTTTTGCTTCATTCAGGATTCAACTGCGCGTTCCATCCGCTTACTGTTTTGATTGGACACGTAACCGCATACATGTACCATATTCATGCCACATTTGCACCATATACCCTAATGCCTACCTATATTTTACATGTACGCTACTCAAAGGGAATAACTCCAAATAACCAACCTCCTACCGGAACTCTTAGCCCATTCCTTTGACAGATATCCTCTCATTGCGTCTACTACGTTAGCTCTTATACCCCTGACCACATCGATATCCAATGTCGCTCAACCGTTATTTTTTTGACTTCATTTCATATATAGATATATATTATATATATCCTACCGTCCCTGGCTTTCCTGGTTTCCTTTCCCTTGGATACGACCGATAAGATATGATGTGATCAAAACGGAGTCGCAGGAGAAGCTGAGCCGACAACACAGCTTCTATCCAATATCCATAGTTTCTTATGTTCCTTCATCATTTTGGTTAAAAATTCGGTCTCATTTCCCACACAATAGCATTGTATAACCTGATCTTTATCTTTAAAATACTATTACAACCATGACCTTTATTTAACTAAGTAGTCAGCTACCGAGATTGGGCGGTGTGCTAAAGCTACACCGATGCACAACCTCTGCTTGCAGCGCCTTTGATATAATAAGAAGATGGAGAACGTAACGCCAGGTTTATTTTAGGGTAATTATTCATACATCGTAATATATAAACCGAGCCCTCGAAAAGAGACTTAAAAGACGAATAACCGTTATAAAAAAACAAAAGTGCCAAATAGGTTGAAAGTCGACAAGGTAGAAGTAGTCCTAGGCCGGATGTTTGGCTAAATGAAGCAAATAAGAGGGAGAATATAAAAGAAAATGGGAAGGTGTGGGGTATATGAAAAATTATTCTTCATTTGCTTATCGGTTTTCTAGGGGTAGAAGCTACTCTTCTTCAGCATCCTCTACGCTAGCAGCAAATGCATGCCTAGCAGGTGAGTGTTCGGGTTTAGCTGATTCCATGGGAGCGGCGGGCGCGGCATTATTTGTAACTGGGGCTTTTTCGGCAGAAGTAGCAGCGGCGGGAGCAGCGACGGGAGCAACAGCAGGCTTAGAGGATGACTTGGACTTGGAAGATTTTGAAGATGCTGATCCGTCTGTTTTCTTGGATTTCTTCTTTTTCTTAGTCTGTAGAAATATAAGGTGTTAGCCATTGTAATTTCGTTGCCACAGTCCAACCGGTATTAGTATATACGCGGGGCAATATAACATACCTCTTGCCAGCCCCATAAAGGTACGAAGCTCTCGAAGAATCCAACGTCCTCAAATAGGTTCGGGAATAGCCATAGACCTGGTGAAGCGACGAAGAACGTGACTGCGAAGAGAATAAGACGGAAGATTGCCATGGCGAAGAACAGGCAAAGTAATCCCATCATGCCAACACTGAGGTACCAAACACCCTGTCTAAGCATAATGGGCCACAAAGGAAACATGACGACGGCCATGATAGCAGCCAAAACTCCAGCGGCCATCGCCTTCTGCTTCCACTGAGGTCCCTCATACAGCCAGACATAATGCGTCATAGGATCGGTATCTTGATGTTGTTGTATACGAACAGTCCATAGACCCTTGACCCTACCTTTCTTTGGCGGTGGCTTTGCGTGGTCATGGCCCTCATGGGGGTCAATCTTGGAGACTTTCAGCGCGAGAAGGGACATTGGTAGAAGTTTAAAAGCGTTTTCGGCGGAAGCTAGGTCGGTGACTGGTGGTAGGTTGGATTTTGGCTTAGCAGATGCTTTGGCGTAGGCGGGTGATTGAAGCGCCCGCAATGCTCGTTTAACTAATAACGTGTCAGCGGCTGGCTCTCCTTAAAATTGTATATCTGCGGGCCTCTATATGGTTACCTTTAAACAGTTCCTTGCGCCGGCCGTCCAAGATACAGGCTCTAGGCTTCAGATTCTGCGATTTCAAAAATTGCGCAACTGCTATGCCCTTTGGATCTGGTGGTGCTCCTGAGTTTACAGGCACTTGTGTTTGTTGTTGCTGCTGCTGCTGCTGCTGTTGATGTTGATGCTGTCCGCCTCCCTGTTGCTGTTGCTGCTGCTGTTGTTGTTGTTGTTGCTGCTGCTGCTGCTGTTGCTGCATTTGATGTTGTCGTAAGGCCTGCGCCTTTAGTTTGTGAATGAACTGCTCGGGAGTCAGGCCCTGTTTAGCGGCCTCTGCGGCAATCTGCTCTCGCTGCATCCTGCCGAATTCCTCGAGTGTCATCCCTCGTCTTTGCGCCTCGGCGGCCATCTGCTGCTGCATAGCCGCTATCTGCTCCGGAGTTGGACCAGGGGCTGCCATGGTGAAGACGTTCTCGACTTATATTCCCTATAAAAACAAAGACGCCCAGAGCCTGAAGACAGAGTGGCACGAAAGGTGGTGTTGGACAAAAAATGAAGCCGCGGGCGATGCAATTGGAAGTTCAACAGTGGCCAGATCGTTGATTACGAAAGCGTACCGTACCGAAATTTGGGATGACTCAGCAACCATAAAGTCCATGACGCTAATAGTCACGTGTAGCGGTATCACGTGATATGGAGATAGAACCGCGTATCTTTTTATCTCCATGTAACAAAAACACGACGATAACCAGCATCCGTCCCCCAGCTTCAGCCTCCTCCCCATCACTCTTCTACCATGGTCAATTGCTGTCTGCACCGGCTGATGCGTAGAGTTTACCTGCGAATTGCCGATGCGGAACTTCATACCTGACAAGAGTGCGTTCCTCATCCCACCATGGAACACCGTTGAACTAGTATGTAGGATGGATGCCTGAGAGGAGTTTGAATGTGCTTGTGATACATTTGCTAATTTGGCTCTTTCTATAGTCTCAGAGAGATGTTTCACTTCAAATTCCGCTCGACTATGTGACGCTTCCTGCTGTATCACTCTCGGCGGCGTGTTTCGGTGCTGGATTATATGAGGACGATGCGGCTCGGAAGTGCATATCCAACCTGCTGGCAGTCGGCTACAGACGTCTGTACGTGGACGTATATTGGTCATCAGAAGGGGATCTATGGGGGCTTTGCCCGATAGACACTGTCGGCGCCCGTCCAACTTCAACTATCCCGACTAGCGCGCCATCTGGGGATATCACGTCAAGCAGAGCCTCCGCTATTAATCCGTCTTCAACCTCGGCAGCAGTCAATAGCAAGAAAAAGGCTCGCGCTGCGCAAGAGAGAAGTGAGTCCGGGCCTGAGATATACAACCTAGGGCCGTACTCGTGTACGCAGTCCCTCAACATCTCGACTTTGTCAGCGGTACTAGAAGAGTACTTTCTGAGCACTGAAAATACCATAAACGCAAACATGCTTTATTTAATTATCAATATGCACGCTGCTGGTTCGTCTGACTCGCCGGATGAACCTCCAAAGACGCCTGATTTGAGCAGCCTTCCGTCCCCATCGCGTTTACTTGGTAGAATGTTAGGAAGTTCGCTGCGAAATTTTATCTATAGCCCAGCCAGGTTGATGGAGAATCGTCAGAATCTGAATGAATCTTGGTTTTCCGTTTCCCCATCCCAACAACCCATCGCGGAATATCTCACGACAACTGTGGATAGTAAACATCATCTTGCCACGGCTAATGGATGGCCATCGACCGGTTTCGCTGTTCTAGCTCGAGCTTCAAGGCTTATCATGGGCTGGGGGACCATTGACCCTCAAATGTCATCTTACAACTTTACAGGGGACCCTATGGTATTCCCGCCAAATTCACTGACATCTCGCATAGATATCCAGGTTGATGCGGCAGCTAATCTCACAAAAGGCTGCCTCTATGACCCTAGTTCCACAGGAGTGTCGACTGATGACCACACATGGGCCGTGGCAGAACTCCCCCAACGAAATTCATCCGACGAAATAGCGCTATTAACCCGGCAATTTGTATCGTGTGGCATATCTCCCGTCGTTAACTATACCCTCCTTAACGTGACGGCTGATAGGGACATTGGACCTTATCGAAACGTTTCGTTTTCAACAACCTGGTCTTGGGCTAAGGATGAACCTCTCAACTCCACCGGTTCAACATCGTCAAAAACGAGAAACTCATATCGATGCGCAGCGATGGATGCGGCATTGTCAGGGAAATGGCGTGCGCATGAGTGTTCCGATGAATTCCGTGTTGCCTGCCGAGTCGGAAATTCTCCATACGACTGGATTATTTCAGAAAAAACGGCTAGCTACTTCACCGCCGCTGAAGCTTGCCCCGAACGTACAGCCTTCTCCGTCCCCAGAACCGCGCTTGAGAATACCTATCTCTATTCAAAGCTCCATCCGCAGCGTAATGTTACTACGGCAATATTACCTGATACCAGTGATAAAGACAGCGGTAGCAGCCAGTCGGTCTGGATAGACTTCAACTCTGCGGATGTGCCTTCCTGCTGGGTCACACATGGTGCGGCCGCACAGTGCCCGTATGAGCTGGATACTAACGAGATTGAAAGGCGGGCAATTCTTGTTCCAACGATTGCGGCTATCATCGTTCTCATCCTAACTGCTTTAACGTTGTTTGTTAAGTGTAATGCAAATCGGCGAAATTCGAGGAGAAGGAGGGTTATTGATGGATGGGATTACGAAGGAGTACCTTCGTAATGGGAATATCTCAAATTTTAAGCCAGGTACCTCGAGGCTTTATTAGGTGGACGATATTACTGAGCAGTTGGCTCAATCTTGCTTTGCTTTGACGGTTCAGTTTCGAAAAGGATTACCATACACGGCCCTATCCTTCTCTTAGATTTAGTACTGTAATCAAATAGAAACTGGTATAGGAAACGAATCTCACCTCCATTGACCTTCGGTGGTAATTTTGTGGCGTCGATACTCGATAGTCACGATCATACTCTACTTATGCCGCAGTTCGGCAAACGGTCTTGTGTTGATACATGGCATGTATGATGTAACAACATATATGTAATGGAAATTAAACAATAAGAAGTTATCACTTGTCCGCGAAGAAAGGATCTCCTGTTGTGTAATGATTATTTTTGAAACTGATTTTGATTTGTGGAGCAATTTATTTCAAAATGGCCTGCAGTATGATGGATACTGATATATTACGGATTCAGTCGATCTATTATTATGGCTGTTACCCAGAATAAATTAACAGCTTAGAGCACGGATTCATAATAAATGTATCTACTGTGGAAGATTTATGAGAATTTTTAATGACTTTGCTCAGCCCTGACTATGCTAAGAAGGTGGGATACACATTATATCGATTCAGGTGTTATACAATATACTATATAATACATCTCTATATGTCTATAGGCATCTAAAGCAAATTTATCTCTACGATAAAACCTCAAGCATATCGCTAACCTGTGCAAACTTCTCTCGGGGTTTCCCATTAGCCTGTCCACGCTCTTTCTCTACTCGATCAATCTCTTCCCAGTCCTTCCAGCTAGTTGGCTGTAAGCCTCGCTTCTCCGCCTCAGGGCGCACACCATCCCACCCAAGGCCAGTGCTTTCACCTCCAGCCCTAGAATTGAGGAACGCCATCTTGTCACTACCTCCATCACGATGTATCGCCCAATCTGCCGCAATAGCATCTGCCGTGGCAAATGCATCAGTCATCGTCGAAGCAATGACTCCCGTGGGGCCTCGCTTCACCCATCCAGCGCAATACACCCCAGGAACATGAGCTGGGAGATCATCGTCATTGCTAGAGGGAGGAGGATAGCTTAAAACTCTCCCCTGTCCATCGTTGGGTATTAATCCACGGGAAGAATTAAATGGAACATCAAGATCGTCCAATCCCGGGAGTGGGCAGGATTTGTAACCTATACTTCGGAAGCAAAGGTTTGCCGGTATATCTATATGGGCAGCTTTGCCATCGTCTGCTAAAAATGGGGAAACGGATGCTGTAGGAGAATAAGGATCGGCTGAGTCTAGCTGGTTTCGTGTAAATGTGATATGTGATAAAACTCCGGGGTTTTCTAGTGAAGAGTGGAATGAGCGAGGAGAAAGGAGGAAGTCAAGAGACCACCTCTTCGTTGAGTCTTCGAGTTTAGTGGAGGAGCCCTTAGCAAGGAGTTGGGTTATTCGTTTGTGGGCTCTTGGAAGTCCGGATATAATAGAATCTGGAGGAAGCAGATATTTCGGTATGGGTTCAAAGCCAGTTGAAGGTAGCTGCATAAGTTCCCGAACTTCTTTAATGGTGAAAGCAGCCTGTGATTGGACATCAGCGATTTACCAGAATTTGTGAAGCGTGGTCGTGACAAGGGCTTACCTGCATCGGCCCACGACGGCCAACAACTCTCACTCTCTTGACTTTACTCTTTGCAAGTTCCTCGAGAGCATGTTCTGACATATCTGTCTTCCGTAGAACGTCCACATCGGTTAACAATACCCTTGCAACGTCAAGAGCCACGTTCCCCTGTCCAATTATAACAGCGTCCTCCCCACTGGCCAGATCAGGTAATAGATTCCTGTATTCTGGTAGCCCGTTATACCAACCAACAAATGCCCTTGCAGAAAACACCCCGGTGAGTTCTCTCTCGTTGGGAATCCCTAATTCCCGATCCTTCGAGGCTCCGTACGAGAATAGGATGGCGTCATAATGCGGTTTCAGGACGCTAAGTGGGAGACCACTGCCCAACTCGACGTTCCCAATGAAATTAAATCGTGCCGATTCTGCAACCTCGGTGAATTTATCCTGGCAGTTCTGGAGCCGGTTAAGTATTAGCCGAAGAACTCGATAGCGTGTCGGGTACATTCACTTACCTTGACCTCAGGATGGTCCGGGGCAACACCGTATCGAACCAGCCCAAATGGAACAGGGAGTTGCTCGTACATATCAACAACTGCCTCCGGAACCTTCCCCATCAATCTATAAGCAGCGTAGAATCCCGCGGGCCCAGAGCCGACAACCGCGACCCGGAATCGCCGCGAGGGCGAAGCTGCAACATTAATACACCGTTTCTGCCCAAACCTTCTTACCGGTCGGATAAGAGGGTGGCTAAACAGTCGGGAACACCGAGGATATGGCTTTGGGCAAGTTATGAATGACATCGTTATCACCTACTGCCCCGTGCTCTGTGCAACTTCAAGTCTCTTCTTCCATTGTATCCTGAGGCGCGAAGTTAAAAACTATTAATCAGATAAGGCGCGCCAAGTCTTTACTATCTAATCTGATTAGATATGCTGAATAATCTGTCTCATGTGACAGCAAGTTCGCAAGGCGCAAATACTCTCCTTTTCTGCTTCAAAAGAGCGATCCCTACATGTTCGTTCTGCCAAAGATGAAAGTATTGGGGCTCTGAACAACATCTCCTCGGCTTAGAACTCGAACTATAACTGGTTTTAAGATGCCGCGTATTTTAATCGGCCGCTGATATGAAGTTCACATACTTCTATCGCCGGAGGAGCCGGGCGCTTAAGCATAGCTTGACAGATGGTATCTTCCGGGTTAATTCGATTTTATTGAAGACACATCTGTTGCATTCGTGGTCTTCTCATCTTGTTCCCAGGCTCGGCAAAATTACTGCTGGTAATCATACCTTGGTCCTTCTCTGAAAAGAATCGATAATAGCAACAGCTGGTGGAGCGCCGAGGGCATATTGGACTCACATCATAAATGCGAAGGTTAGTCACAATATGTACCGCTATTATTAGGACCGTGGTCGCTTTTCAGGCTAGCCTAGTCACCGCGATGGTTGTAGGCATTATCTTGGAGGCCATTAGCGTCCCTTTACTACAGGCGCCACTCTACTCGATGATCAGGCCACTCAGTGTTTCTCCAGGCATCCTGTTGACTACGGCACCCTTCCAGTTCCGTAGTAGGCTATCCTTCTTCGTCTATTTGCTTATTATTGTAGAATTCCCAGCTCCTGTCACTCCTATCTGACTTCTCGGATACTACCTCTACCCAAATAGACAACTCTACCGGCAGTCTCCTTGACAATCTAGATTACACTTACGCCGAATGGTGGAAAATTCCACCCGCGGCGAGTTGGGCATTTCGAAGCCTTTCACTCTATCTCTCCCGACTTTGATATAAAAATAATAACAATAAAGCCATGACGACATTCTTACGTCAGCAACGTTGAACGTGGAGATCTCGTGACGTCGTGAGATAAAGAGAACTTGCTGAGCTCGCGAGCTTCACTTTCTTCTTCACTCGCCCACGCAGCAAGTTATCAGGCTCTTTATGCGTTGAAAAGATCATCTGACCAGCCACAAGCCCAGCTATCAGCTTGATTTTGCTCGCTGCCATGCCCCCTGACCTAAATTCGCTCCCTCCTTCCCGGTCAACCTCCTCTTCGCCGTATCACACCCGCACGATGAGTAACTCAATGGACAACAATAACGTCGCGCGGTCGATCTCTCCTCGCTCTTCGTCGATATCACTACAAGCAACAGCTACAATGAACGCTGCCGCAGATTCATCCCGCCGTTCCTCGTCTGGTGCCCATCGAGGGTCCCCTCAGACTAGACACTCAGAGCGTCGTCGATCTGGAGCTAATTCGATTGCCAATCTTCATGAGGCCTCTCATTCTGATCCTACAGGCGCCGAATCACCTCGGAATCATCACCATCGCTCTTCTTTTGGCAGTGTTTTCCGAACTCATAGCCCTTCGAGCATTGCGGGGAGTCCTGTCATCGGTACTGGAGACCCCCACCATCAGCGTACTCCGTCACTTGGCGAGCTGCACCAGGAGCTCGAGCAAGAGCAGGAAGCACAAGTTGTAAGTAGTTTTTGGTTGTTCATCTATTCTCTTTCAGTTACACTTTATACTCATCTGTGTTTAACCAGAATCGGCTTCTTTTGATGATCCGCAACCAGCAAGCTCAGCTACAGCAACTACAGCAAACACAACCACAACCATCGGCAACCGCAAGCGGAACAGCCATCGATGATTCAACGCCGACTTCAGAAAGGTCGTTTTCATTCCCAATTATCCCTCCTCTACCAAGCACTGGCCAAAGAGGGCCTCTCCCGATGGGCTCTAGTTTCTCCGCTCGGAGGGGCTCAAGCACTGCAATGGCACCACTTACACCCATACACCCAGTAGGATCGCAGGCTGAATCCGGTACTAGCACTGGTGGTAATGAGTGGCTTCAACTTGGAGACTCTAACGGCAGACGAAGTAGCAGAGATGAAAATTCGTACTATCAGGCCGAAACGGCTAATTTGACAAGGGAAAACCAGATGTTAAAGGTTCGAATAAGGGAACTAGGTATGTGTTTTAACATAGAACTGCCTCTTCTCTACCTAACGATTGGTGTGCTGACTTATTGCATTCATAGAGCGTCAAGTAGCCGAGTTGACTGCAAGTGGCACGAACAACCCTCCACAGTCCACTCCTCAGCCTAGTGAACATAACCAGCCAGTCCCTACCAGTACCCTTGCTGATACACCTACTGTGCCAGCGGGCTCGGCCACCCAGACCGGGCCTCAAACACCAACAGCCCAAACAGACGACAAGCCGTGAGAATGCCACGATGAAAAGGACTTCTATTGAAACTTATGTGAGAAGGCAGCGCGTGCCTAAATCTTACGAATACCACTTATCCCCGGCGACAGGAGACGGCTCTAGATTGGCAGCTAGGAAGGTGGTAAATACCTTGGCCTACCAATCATACAAAGGATGCTCTAAACAAGGCACAGATATTTGTGATCGGAAATAAATAGCGGAGAGAAAACCAGTGCTGAGAAAGGAATTATGCTCCATGTAACATTACAGAATTATATTTTATCTCCTTGACCATTTTTGAAGGACCAGTCGAAAGTTTGGCAGAAGAAGATTGAGGAGGGGCTGAAGAGCCTCATATTTATCCGAGTGCACGCCGAGACAGATGAAAACGATTCGTTGGCAAGTTGTAGCCCTCCAAGTACTACATTATGAGATACCTGTATGGATTAGATAGATATTTTACTCCTGGAAGATACGAGCAATGAAGATTTTTTGCAAACTTCTGAACAAAACCATGAGATATTGTCTATCAAGTCGGATGTATTGAAAATGACTGCGATATATGTGATATATATATAAACGAAACAAGTAAGCAATACCTAAATCGTACAAGAATGGGTTATGGTAGCCCTTCCCAGCGGGATTTTCGAGTCCGGCAGTCTCTAAAAATGCACGAAGAAGTCTACATTTATAAGCTGGGACTTTTTTTAGAGCTTGGCCTTTTCGCTCTCCTTGAGAAGGTCGGGCATCAACATGTCTCGAACTTCACAGGCGGCTTCATTAAGGTAGAAGCTCATCCTCTCGGCACCAATCTTCTTGCAGACGATGTTGAATTGGATGCTACAAGGAAGAAAGAGGTTAGTTTAGCGTTAAAATTAGAGCATCATAAATCGTAGCGTGATCTTACCTGTTCTCGTTGATCATATAAGCGATTCCAAATCCTTCATCCATGACTTGACTCCATCCGTATCCGTTGAAGTATTCAGAGCTAAGCTGACTGGTACTCAGGAACCAGGAGCCACTGTACGCATATGCTGGGTCCTGGAAGAGCGAAGGAACAGCCTCGCCGTCACGGATCAACTTCTTCAATCCAAAGAGATGTCTGTCTACACCCTTGCCAACGCTGGCTTCGGCGGTATATTTAGAGTGTGCTGCCACGGCGGAGCGGAAGAGTTTGACCAACTCCTCTCGGGACACTGATGGGTCAGCTTGGGCCTTACAGAAGGCTACGCTGTTGTCGGACACGGAACGGGTGGTCTCGGTACGGCCGAGTTTGTATTTACGTGTGGAGGCGGATTCGTAGGTTGGTCTGTTCTTGCCGTACATCTTGAAGTATGCGAGTTGAATGAGCATCTGGACGTAGGCGTCTGGGCTGCATTTGAACTTCTTGATGAGGCCCTTACCGTAGGCCTGGAAGGCCTGGACGCGAAGTTCGTGCTTGTTGATAACGGTCTGGAAGTCTTGGGTGGCGGTGGAGATGTCCTTGAGAACGGAAGGGTTGAGTTCAAAGGAGATGGGCTGGGGCTCGGGGAGGTTAGAGCGAATGGATGGGTTAGAGTAGTCGAGACGGTTGCTGAAGATGAGCTGGTTCACATAGTCATTTAGACGGTGGGTTGGGGTACCGTCCATCATGCTGTGTTCGCCTAGGAAACCGGCTGTTCCGTTGTCGTTGACGATGAAGTTCAATGGTTTGTCGTACCAGCGGTTGGCGCCATCGCCGTGCCAGTAGACGTGAGCACGCTCCTCGAGAGTGACGGGCGACGCATCGTCGAGGCAGATGATGAAGGAAGCACCTTCGATGGTCTTCAAAGCAGCTTCGTTGGCAGGGCTGGCGGCCAGGAGGTTCTTGCGGGCAGCAGTCCAGAAGTCGCGGTTGGCAGAAGTCAAGGCTCCAACGGCGGGAACTCGCTCGGCTTTCTGGAGAATAGACTCGAATTGTTGTTGGAATTCGGAGGTGTTTAGTTGCTGGCCGTTGATCGAGGTTGGGACCTTGAACATCTGGTTCTTGCGCATGACGATGATATGTTCGTTCTCCTTGGCTGGGTATTTTTGAGGATAGTCGGCGCCATCAGCGGGGATACGGCAGCAGTTGAACATATACTGGTATGAGCTCATGGCCATTGGCTCCTTTCGCAGGTATTCCGGCTCGAGGGATCCGTCATCAACCTGTCTCTTGAAGTCCAGCACCGAAGTGGCGATAGCAGCAGCTCGCTTCGCAGGAGCACGTCGTAGTCTATCGTCCCGGTATGAGTAGAAGTAGCTGACGTATGGAACAACGGGATCACGGTAGGTCAGATAGGCGGTCTGATTCCACCATTCGTACAACCAATTCTCGGTCTTGGGATCCTCGTTTCGGGCAATCAGACGCCTCTGAAGCGTCTCTCCCTCACCACCTGGCTTGATGAAGTCGGAAACGGCTTTCTCTGTCTTCTTATACTCTTCCGCGGAGAGCAGTGGGTGTACTGATTTGAGGTATCGTTGTCCGGTCTCTTCCAGAGTAGGAACAGGCAACTTGGGAAGCGAATCTTCGAATCGAAGCATCTTGCCCTTTGACATGTCCTCCTTGTACCCTATCCACGCCGAACTATTAGCTGGATCCCTATCTTCATGATGTATCTGGCAACTCACCTGCTGGTACAGAGGATACCGCACGCCGGGGAGCCATTGCTTGGAGAGACTAGACTCAGCAGTTAGACACAACCCAACCGTATACAACGCAGAATAAAGGAGCCAGATTCGTCCTTTAAACGACTGTCTCTCGACTCCAAGATATACTTACTGTGAGACGGGGGGAGGGGCGAATCGCAGAAGCACGTCCAAGAGCAGTCAGACGGCCTCGTAAAGCAGCAGGGAACATGCCCAGGAGGTTATATGGTCTATTGGGAAAGATTTAAAGATAAAAAAACCCGAGTCTACCAGAGGGAAGAGCGAAAATAAAAAAGAAGTTCGAGAGAGCCGGGCTGGTTGATAGTTTAAGAGAGAGAGAGCTTTCCCAGTGCATCCTCGGCTTGGAGATCCTTGGGCCCCTCCGCAGCAAAAGGAATTATACCAAGGGGAGAAGACCTACGTCCAACGCCAGATGACCAGATAACATGACACAGCAACTTCGGCTTTACATACAGTAGCATTCCAGCGCACTCAACCCTCGCTTTCAGGCCAATATCGCATCTACAAACTGTTTTCACAGTCCAAAAACGCGCGCGATCTTGCCGGTCAGCTGATCTTTCCGCCGAAACAAAAACTCCGAGAGCCTCGGCTCTTTTGAAACCTTATTAGTAATACAATTTTTACTAGCGCTCACAAGGAATATAAAAAATGATGATAGAAAAAGGAGATAATAACGAGATAAAATAGGGATAAACAGAGATGGTCGCTTGCAAAAATGACAGGTAGGAATGTTGGAGATGAATAAGAGATAAGACAGTAGATGGGAAAGATACGGTGAGGCTTAGGACACGGGTTCCACGGCGGTCGAGGCAGGGACAGCAGGGCTTGCTTCGTCTGCGTCCTTCATGGTCGTATCGGGGTCGGGGTCGCGGTTGGAAGAGAGATGCAGTTCTACTCCCTTCCGGCCCTTCAGGCCAGCGGGCGTACAGATGCGGCCGCTGCGCATCATGTTTCGCAGTCGCTTACGGCGGGCCTCTCCGCCTCTCTCCTCGCCCTTGGAAGCGCCTTCGTCGACCCATTCGATTTCGAGGACTTTGAAGCTCATTCCGTCATGGTTCTTGCCCCACGAACGCGACTTGAGACCGTACATCACGCTGCTATCGTACCGTTCGAGGGTGGGCAGAATCAGGAGCTTGATGTGCAGGTCCTTTTTTGGTGGTGGGACGGGAGGGAGCTGCTTGGACTCCGACGTTCCAGGGGTGGTTGACGCAGCGGGTGGTTGCTGAGGAGTCTCTGATTGTGCCGTCGATGCCGGGTCAGACTTTGTGCTGTTGCTGTTCGCCGACGGGGTGTTGCCGTTGGAGGACGCCGGCTTTGCTACGGCTGATCCGTGTCCATTGGTGGTGGCTGCCGGCTGGGATCTGCGATTGTCTTTGATTTCAAGATTGAGCATGGATACGTCGACGTCCTCGGCCCATTCACCGCGGATGAACCCAGAATGTATTGCTGCTGCCACCGGGTCAGAGTCGTCTGTATACACGCCTGTCCCCCACAGAGCTCTGCGGGCACAGATCTCCTCACGATGGCTGGAATCGATCCGGAATCGAGGAACACGGATGGTAAAGGTGCAGTTTTCCTTTCCATCAAACCGTGGGATAGGTATTGGCGTCGAGGTGTAGCCAAATTTCGACGATTCCGGGGGTGCTCTAGCAGACGGCATTTCAATGCGTGGTGCATATAGCGTAGAACCTAAATGGTAGCGAGGATGATGTTCGACACTTTTCAGCAGCGGCTCTAGATTTACCGTTGTGTTGTATTCTCTTAACGGAACGGCGGGAGGAGTTGGATGGTGATGATGCGGTATGCCACTGCCAGGTGCTGCGCGTGGGCCATGATGGTGGTGATGGTGATGGTGGTGGTGATGGTGTGAGGCACCCGCTGCTGTAGATGCAGCCGAAGCATCACCAGGGCCGGACTGTGGTCTAAAGGGAGCCGCTAGCTGTGGGCCTTGGTTCCCGGGGTAGATAGATGGATCGTCTTCGATTCGATGTTTATGATGGTGACTAGCAAGTAAAAAAAAGGAGTAAACACGGTTAGCCAACGGTCCCTACCCATAATGGTAACATACTTACTGATGACCGTGATGATGATGATGGTGTACATGCCGTGCTCTCCTTCCACCTCCACCACGCGGAACGACAGCTGCTTCAGTTTCGTCCTTGCCCTCTTCTTCCTTCACTCTCCGGCCGCGTCGGCCACTGCCTGGTGCAGACCCTGGGCCTTTACCAAAGGAATTCTCGCCGTTTAAATCCTGGTTCATTGATCGTCCGCCATGATCCTTTTTAAACGGGCTCGATGCCATGGGCGTTGAAGGTCCGCTTCCTCCCAAGGATGCCGAGCTAGATACTCCCACGCCGCTGCCAATGCCGGAGAACACACGGCCCAATTCACTCTTTATACCTGACTCGGTAGCCGGGTCGATGATCTGAGCCTGGGCACCTTGCACGGCCTGAGGGAGCGGCGACGCCCTTCCACCTCGTCTAGTTTCTGCATTTATGTTCAATACGCTCTTATGGTGAGGTGGTTCCTCGGTAGCTCCGCGGGCACGTTGTTCGTCCGCAAACGAGCTGTTGAACGACTGGGCACTGGTGGAAGCCGGGGTTGGCGAAAACAGGCGAGGAGGGTTCTGAGTAGGAGGTCTATTACGGCTGATATGCGGTGACGAGTCGTTTGAAGGGGTTGCGTCTTGTCGTGGGTGAAGCGGTGTTTGGCCGGGAATGGAGCGTGGAGCGGTTAATTGGGAGCCTAACGATTTTGTATAATTCTGAATAGATCCGAAACCGTAGCCCGTGTTTGTTTCTCCGGCATTATATCGGGTTGATTCTGGAGATACACGTTGGTAATTCGATTCCCAGGGCCCTCGCTGGGACCTGTCACCTTCGTGTTCCGAGACATGAGGTCCATATCGATGAGGTTGATGTTGATGTTGCTGTGACTGTGATTGCTGCTGGTGGTGCGCGTGTTCCTGAATACCATGTTGCCGGTAAGGTTGTTGATCACGGCCACCATGTTCCTGTCGATCCTGGGAGGGATCACTAAACCTCGACGATGGCCGTGGAGGAGGAGCTTCTAAATTTCCTGGATATCCATGTTGTTCCCGCTGAGTATTTGACTCCTTTTGCGCTCCTTCAACAAATCCCGGTGCCAGCCTTACGGGTGGGCTGAACAAGGGCGGTCGTGACGGTGGCTCCTCTGATCGATGCTGCTGGTGACCTTGCGGGTTCGCTCGCGGAATTGGCCCACCAAGACTCATGCGTCGGTCTTGATGGTATGAAGATTCTGGATATGTGTTTCGAGGGGATCTAGGTGCTGACGGCTGCTTTTCACTATACTGCGGTTGAGGTGCGTTCGAGGCCGGCCGAGGCCCACCAAACCGCGAATCATCCGTGACCGGTGGAGGATTTCCAGAAGCACTGCCTCCCGATCTTGATCGATACGGCCGGGGAGTGAGAGGTTTCGAGAAAGGTCCGCCGTCCGGAGTATGGGACCGGCGAAAGGAAGGGTACTCTGATGACGGCTGCCTTGTCAGGGCGGAAGGTGGTGACATGGACGGGGGCTGCGCAGGAGGCGGTGGTGGTGGTGCGGTGGCGGCAGGTATTGAAGTTACCGAAGGTCGCGAGTACAGAGGCCCCGGTATGTTCTCTCGCGGTAGACGATCTGTATCCGAGCCAAGCATCGACGATATCGACATGCTACTCCCAGGCCTGTGTGCTTGGCTTGTGATGGCGAGTTCCCGGGACGCGAACGAGGAGGACGGAGGAGGCGCCGACGGCGGCTGAGGATGCTGGATCGCTGGGCCCCGAGGAGGATAATGCTGCGGGGAGGACGGAGGAAGCATCTGACGGCTAGGATAGGTGGTTGATGCAGTTGCAGCTGGGTGTTCTGGATGGCCTTTGAGTAGCAGCGGTTAGCTGGCGCGAACCACGACCGAAAGTGACATGCGAGGGCAGGAAACGAGGAAAAGGCAGTGCATCAGGGTGTATAAAGACAGTGCCATGGCCAATGAATAATTGCGACCCATCCTCGTGGGCGAGAGAGCGCGGTTCTTGGTCGGGGAATGGCCGTCGATGCGGGTATTTTTCACGGGGGCGAGCGGTAGTCGCGTTCGGTTTCAGGCTTACCTGAATAAGCAGACGAGCTGCCAGCGCTTCCCACAGACCGCCTGCGAGCCTGGTCGTGCTGCGACGGATGAGACATGTCTCGTAGGATCGAGGACGGCGGGCCTGGAGTGAGGCCAAGTCATAGAGAGAGGCCGTGTCAGTTATTGGAAGAAGCAACTTGAATGCGCCCGAAAAAGGCAAAAAACAGTTGCAGTTGGAGAATTATTTGGGGAAAAACTAGGTCACGGGACCTGCGCTAAAGTGCCAAGCATTTGCTCGCCAAAAGTAGACTAGCGCGAGAAACCTTAAGCGGCTAGCGCGTTCGGCACGGACCACCGGAGTGAACCGTGCCAAGAGTCCGAAAGGGGGAACAGCGGAGCGCGGGCGGCAAAAAAAAGAAGGGAGGAGCGGAAGGCGGAGAGAGGCCTGGGCATCGTGGTCCACTGCTGCAGCGTCCGGTGTATATATGTGCATATATGTAATGGCTGCCTCCTCCGATATGCACGCCAAAGACCATCCTCTTGGGGCAGGGCGAGAGGAGCAAACTTTAAAAAAAAGAGTTTGCAATGAAGGTGTAAACAAGGTGAAAATAAGAAAATTTCTACCTCTTACCTTCTCTGCGCATATTCATCCCAGCCTGACCTTTCCCTTCCTCCGCGCTATGCTTGATTCGTGGCTCTCGTGTCGCGGCGTCGGTTCTCTGTCGCGGCGCACCGTTGTTATGCGGATGGTGTGCATGCTGCTGATGCTGCTGCTGCGTATGTGAGATGACGTCTCGCGAGTATGGGTATCCCAGCGACGGCGGCGCGGCAGGCGCTGGTGGATGGCGTGAAAATGCATTGCTCGGTTCTCGTCGTGAGCTTGCTACCACGTCAAAGGGCGATTGTTGGGTATGGCTCGTCGATAGCGAGGAAGGAGGGCAATGCCGAGGTGGAAGAGACGAGTTTCGAGGTTCGCGAGGCCTGCCAAATGCCGAATGTCGAGGCCCATACGTCGACTGTGACGGATCCATTGAGATATGAAGCGTATGTCTCGAGGGTGTCTTCCAGCTAACGCCTCTTCAAGTCAAAAAGATTCTTGACGCAGTTAGTAATAAGGTATTTTCTTTTTTTTCTTCTTTCTTTTTTGTTCTTTTAATTTCCTTTTCTCCGCCTTGGTTTTTTTTTTTTTCGTTTGTTTGTTTATTCAAGCGCGAGATCCCTCGTGCGGGGAATTCTGACGAGCTAGGATATCCTCTTTGCTCGTGTGCGGCCTTGGAGCTATCCAGGCGGTATATCTTAGTCGTGCTGTCAGTGAATGTAAGGTCAAGTACGGAAATGGTATGGGGGAGAAAAGAAGGACAGTATGGCCTGAACAAGAAAAAAACACGGGTAAATAGGGTCATCAAGGGGGAAAAAAAAGTGCGGAGAGGTGACACACAAGGCAGATGCAGCTGCAGCTGCAGGTAAACTTGTCAGTGCTCCCTGGTGGAGTTAGCGATGCAACAAGGAGTCCACAGCATAACCTATATGCTTGTGAAAGGATCCCTACTCCATGCTGTATCTGTACCTGTGTTCGTGCCTGTACTGTGCCTGTTCACTGAGATATGCGCCGAAAACGGGAGACAGGTATCAAAGAACGTTAAGGTTGTCGCGTTCCATGCTGAGACAGGAAGACGAACGAGGATAGGAACAGAAATTATTCGAACAAGCTGGTTTCGAGCCAATGATTTCTTTTCCTCGTCTGTTACGTTGTTTAAAGCCGATTGTGGAGCCAGAGCACATCGCCGAAGGGCACTAAATTTAACTAACGGGTAAACTAGCTTGATCCCTGTCGAATGTTCGTTTCGTATAGGTCGATAAAGAGCCAGCCAGGCAGGCCCTTTTGCCCCCAGCTTTTTGCTTGATAGCGATGTCATGTATCACAGCATCATGTGCAGTGCAATGGGATCGCGCGTCCTTCTGATGCCAGAGATGATGCGGTCCTTTTGGCTTGCTTCAGGGACGCACAGTGCATCGAAACTGTGACATGGAACATGGTGTGGGATTAATCTTTTGGCATTGCAGGGACCTGATTTAGCCTTTCTCTTCCCAGAATAGCTGCTCGCAGGCATCGGCAGATATCTATCTCAGAGCTCTCTGCTTTGCGCAGAACCGATCCCGAAGCGTACACGGGGAAATGCGCCACGCACTCAGTTTGTCTGTATGCACTCCGTACGTGTGGGAGCTTGAGTGTGTATGCAAAGGACCCTTTGATCGCTGGAGAACTGGAACGCACGCTGGGTACGAGGGTGACCGCATGCTGGCCTCCCTTGCCCTGCACCGCATCACACAACACCACGGCAGCAGCACACAGGAACGAACCGAGTCGTCCTGTACCCATACGGACGCGGAGATAAATAGCGATTCCCCCCAGTCAAAGATCTCGTCTTACTTTCACATATATTTTCCTCGGACTTCGATGCACATTAGCGTGCTTTTTCGGGATCGACTGCACAGTGGCTATCGGTCCCTCATCTTCCCTGTATATAGTTATGATATCAGTTACACGAAGCCGTGGCAAGCTGCATGATGTTGCAGGAATACTTGCTGTGTACGGCATATCGGTCCACTGCCTCCGTCATCATCTCTTCGGCTATATTTTTAGTCTGGCCTGCAACACGTCTTACCGCATTTTCGGCTCTCCCTTTTTCTGTGTGCGGAGTTGTGGCGTTGCTATATCGACAGTGGAATGTAACTGTACCTACTGACAGCATATTAGCAAACCTGGTATCTATGGCTATATCTCGAAATGGTTACCTTCAGCACCACGTTTTATGAGAAGCCAACTCCACACAGGCAAATCCGGAGAAGAGAGAAGCAAATCCCCAAGGGAACTATTTACAACTGAGCCGACTGATACTTGACTCTTGTGTACTCGGTACGCTGCAAGGGGTGAATCTTGACCCTGATGCTACCCGTAGCGCATCATCGCGCATTGACGAGACAGCAGAAAGGCGCCTCCTTTCACAGCATGGCTTATTGACGTTCAACGGTATTTTACTGGGAACTGACAGTTCGAGGAACTCTGTATACACGCGTAAGCTGAATGTTTGAAGTTTTGTCTGGTGTGTCTGCGAAGTATAGAAAAGTACGCGCTTAGGTTACCGGCTTTTGATCCAGATGTCGTCCTCACATGATCGATTTCCAAGTTCAACTCAACTGCCCATATATATAAAAGAGCGGGCAGAATGAGAGAGGGAGCAGATAAAACCGGATATCCTTGTTACTCCAATGACTTGATTTATGCAGATACCCGAACCACCAATGCTGCCCCTCCCATGCGCCCCGAACTCCAGCTGGAGCAAGTTTCGGCATCATCTTCGCTCCATCTTCAGCGGAGTTGACCCTCGAGTCTTCACGGCCTTTTGGCTGTTCGGTATGGACAAAGAATACATCAGTTAGCTTCCGGAGACCACTTGCTAACGGGTTGAGTGTGCGTACAGGTTTAATAAATAATGTCCTCTACGTCATCATCCTCTCCGCAGCTCTCGACTTGGTCGGTCCCAGCGTACCCAAAGGCGTCGTCCTACTCGCAGACGTAGTCCCTTCATTCTTCACCAAGCTATGCGCTCCCTACTTCATCCATGTCGTCCCTTATCCGGTTCGGATATTCATATTCGTCGCCCTGTCGGCGTCTGGCATGTTTCTGGTCGCTCTATCGCCAGCCTACGATGCAAACGCTACTGCCGCTGATAGTTCAATAACAGCCAAAATATTCGGAGTTATGTTAGCTAGCCTGTCCAGCGGCGGTGGAGAGCTAAGTTTCCTGGGCCTCACGCATTTTTATGGTCCGTTTAGTCTGGCTGCGTGGGGTAGCGGAACGGGGGCTGCTGGGCTGGTGGGAGCTGGCGCATATGCTTTGGCAACGACATCGTTTGGATTTTCGGTGAAGGCAACTTTGTTGGCTTCTGCGTTTCTGCCTGCTGTTATGGTTATAAGCTTCTTTGGGATATTGCCTAGAGGGCCGATGGTGCAAGCCAAAGATGGGTATCAAACGATTGAAGAAGTCGAGGGCGGAGAATACCTACGTGAAGAAGCTATAGAGCCGTCGGACGGTGCTAGAGATGATACGGGCGGCCTGTCTGTTGGCTCCATCACCGGTGGTACCGATGACTTGAAGAGTACACCTCAGCAAGACTCTGGGCTGTCGTGGGAACTATTCAAGGCAAATCTGAACCGCGCCAGAGCCCTATTCTTTCCTTTGTAGGTACACCCGGCCCCATAACTCACCATTACCCTATGCTAACAAAGCACAATAGTATGCTTCCGCTATTACTCGTCTATATTGCTGAGTACACTATCAACCAGGGTGTTGCACCTACTCTCCTCTTCCCACTCAAAGAAAGTCCATTTAAGCAATTCCGTGCCTTCTATCCCACATACAATGCCATCTACCAAGTCGGAGTGTTCATCTCACGGTCATCGACCCCCTTTTTCCGTATCCACGACTTATATTTTCCGTCATTCCTTCAGATCTTCAACCTTGTATTGCTGACCCTCCATGCACTGTTCAACTTTATACAAAATGTTTACATTGTTTTCCTCGTTGTATTTTGGGAAGGTCTCTTGGGTGGACTGGTGTATGTCAATACGTTCGCGGAGATCACAGACCGCGTACCAAAAGAGGAACGTGAATTTTCCCTTGGAGCAACCACTGTCAGCGACTCGGCGGGCATATGCATTGCAGGGCTATTGGGGATGGTGTTCGAGGTCTGGTTGTGTAATTGGCAGGTTTCTCATGGGCGGGACTATTGCCAGAAGACATGATACAGCTGCGTATTTCATGATTGTCGGAATTTGGAGCGACGGCGTTGTACTCTATTACCCTATAACATATATCTATGATTATCATCATTGTTATTGCTATTACTGTTATTATCATTCTTATTGTTATCATCATTCTTATTATTTTGGTTGTGACGTAATTGCGAAGTGCATCACATGCCCTTTCACATGTTGCGCATGTGAAATCCACCAACTTCCGCCTGGAAAAAAGTCGCTGGACGAAGGAAGATAGCCCAACATGGACAACTTGAGGCTGAGGATAGACGGTTGCCAGCTTGTATATACCACAAGTCTCGGGATATCTCTATCTTTTATCCAGCCTATTGTACGGCGTTCTATTCGTCCGGTCCTGTGGTGCGTTAGACAAACTGATGAATACTACCGGTTTCAAACTGTATCTCTAGAGTGTATATATTGGTGTATCAGGTTGGGACGTTGGAGTACATACTGGCTCTAGGTCTACTCACTGATTGAGGAATGCCCTAGTCATGATAGGTATGAATGTCCTCTTATTCGTTCTGTCTCTATTGCTGCAATATCTAACGATTCTCTAGACCATGTACTGGGTAGACCGTCAACCCAGTTCCGCAAGATCCAGGTCTTCGCAGTGGTCTCGTTTTGGACATTATACCTTCTCCGGTACGTCGAGAGATGAAGGACTCTTTCAAATAAGCACTTATTCTGACCATGCTTGCACTGTTTTAGAGGAGACAAGAATGGACCTCCAGGAGTTCGCTTTCTATCCTCCCGTCTACAAGGGCGAATGACGCCGTGGCAGGCCACCGTCATGACCATGTTGACGCTCTACCTATCTCGCAATTTTGCCAAACTATTCGGTCTCGAATCGCCGGAGCCACTGGCAAACCTATATTCCCGTTCCTATTTCAGGGCAACGTGGATAGTGACAGCGCTCGATGCCGGGTTTTGGACTGCTATGAACATACGGCAGAAATGGCTTCGGGATCTAGCGTCTATAATATTTTCGGTATATTACCTGATAGCTGCGGAACAAGCGGATGAGAAGGTACGGAAGGTTAGAGCTACCTTAACCGTGGAGCATCTACGGGTTTCGTGGAATAAACCGACAACTCCTTATCTTGCCTTCTTCTCCAAACTACTTCGGCCACGGCTCTGCAAGCGTCAGCCGGTGGCAGTCCGGATACCTCGTCCGCGCGAGTCTTCATATAAAGACCCAGTGGAAGCATGGCTTTATTTTGACGGACCCATGAGCACGCTTCGTGACCAGACAAATATCGTTCTTGATGTCCCTGGTGGTGGGTTTGTTGCTATGGGCCCACGAGTGAGTGATGATAAACTGCTTGCTTGGGCCGGTAAGACGGGCGTTCCAATCCTCAGCCTTGACTATAAGAAGGCGCCTGAGTATCCATACCCTTATGCCTTGAATGAGTGTTACGATGTCTACCACACCATCGTTATGACAAGGGGAAGGTGTTTGGGCCTGAGTGGAAAGGTATGCCCCAAGATCGTTGTGACGGGCGACAGTGCTGGAGGAAGCCTTGCGGCCGGTCTAACCCTTATGATCCTGCAATCCGGGAGTACAGATTCTCGAAAGTGGAGAGGCGAAGACTCGCTGCCCGCCCCCACTGGACTGGTGTTAATATACCCAAATTTGGACCTGAATATTGGGAGCTGGATGACTGATGAGGAAATGTCCCTAATTCGAGATAAAGGAATGCGAAAAACAAACCGAAATATTTTGCGGCGGAAAAGCGAGGATTACTATAAATTGACGCCATCAACTCCTCATCCTTCAGACGATGATCTTGCAGAGGACGCGGCTACTAGGAACGATGCATCGTTGGAAAACGGCTCTAAACATCCCGCGGATGGTATAGCGGCCTCTTCAACAGCAGCGTCAGCCATGGGAAGCCAATCCGAGGAAACCAGTATTGAATCTCAGATGAAAGATTTATCAGAGAAAAAGCCCCAAAAACTTCAAACTCGCCTTGCTGTTTCTTCCATGATATCGTACTTCAACGACCGTATCCTTACCCCTGAAATGATGAGGGCTATGATAATCTTATACATCGGCCCTTATAACCGCCCAAATTTCAGCACTGATTTCCTTCTCTCGCCCGTTCTGGCTCCAGAAGCGCTTCTAGCTCGATTCCCAAAGACATATTTCCTTACTGGAGAACGAGACCCCCTTGTCGACGACACTGTCATATTTGCAGGACGACTTAGACAAGCGAAACTCCACCGATTCCGTGAAAGAAAGGAGCTGGGCCTGGAGAAGTCTGGAAAGAAGTTTGACGAGAAACAGCATGTCGAAGTGACCCTGATACCCGGTATATCCCATGGCTTCTTGAACATTGTTGCTGTCTTCCCAGAGGGTTGGAAACACGTATTCCGATGCGCTAGATGGATAACAGAAATATTCGAAACGGTGGATGTCAATAGCTCGAACGACTTGCGAGCTTCCACGGCGTCTCTTGCCTCCCGGTCGCGAGCCGTTTCTAATGTCAAATCACGTCCGGTGGTAGATGGGGAGACAGACAAGCCGGGTAATGGAAACACGTCACAGCGCCATCACCAACGTCAGCTGACGGGCGAGTCATCTGGCGATGACGATGGTCCGCTGGAAATCAGCATGCTGAAGATGACGAAGATATCACCTTCGCCTCCATCGTCCCAGGCCAATATATCCCAATCAGACGCATCATCTCCTGTTTCACCATGCATGCCAGATCACAAACCTAGAACCCCTACACAACAGAACAATGACCCCAAAAGACAGAAGAGAAATATTCGTCGCCCGAATGCTGCAAAATTGTTCCTTTCCCCGTTACCAGCCAAGCAGACGGAGAGATTGCGTAATGCCGACAATACCAGTCATAGTGAGAATGATTTGGTGCGCGTGAAACAGATGATTACCGGCTTACGACGTGAAGCTAGCTTGACTAGTTTACCAAGTGATGAGGATTTGCTCAATAGACGAATGAATGGATTGGCCGGTGGGCTTATGGGGATAGGAGAAGGAGCAAAGACGCCGTGATGACTAGCAATTTGTTTTATGTATATACTTTTGTTCCTTGATGTAAATGCTATACCCTTAGATGTACTCATGTTAACGAATATTCTATATCCTGCAATGATCAGTGCTAGGAATTATTTAGCTAAAGATTGCTCCTGTGGATTTGGTGGTGACTAAATGCCTCCAGTCTATAAACAAACCGAAAACGGAAAGATGTCCAACTCAGGAACTAGTATATAAAAACAACCGCTAAAACAAACAATTCAACGCCTTTCAAAGTCACAATAGTAATTTTTGGTTAATCCTAGTTGATAACTTCGCTCATCGCTTCTTCCAGGATACCCAGGCCAACCTCAATCTCCGCATCGGTAATGACCAATGGTGGAACAAAGCGAATACATCCTTCTCCAGCAGAGATTATCAACAATCCTTTATCCCTCGCGGATCCGAGAATATCAGCTACCTTGCTAACATAAGGTGCTGTAAGCTGCAAGCCAAGAATCAAGCCTCGGCCTCGAATCTCAGATACTGCATCAGGATACTTCTCCTGCAGACGTTTCAGGCCCCTGATAAAAGTCTGGGATCGAGAGTTAACTGAATCTTGTAGATCCTTGTTCGCAAGACGGGTCAATACATGGTTACCCACGGCACTGGCAAGCGGACTTCCGCCAAAGGTAGTTCCGTGATCTCCAACCTTGATATACTTCCCTACTGTATCAGAGGAAATGATCGTGGCACCAATTGGGAAACCGTTTCCTAGGGCCTTGGCTGTGGTTAGGATATCTGGATGGGCGGGCTTGGAGCCATCTTTTGGCCTAAGTGATGGGTGTGCGTGTGCCCATAGGCTGCCTGTGCGGGAAAGGCCGCATTGGATCTCATCAAAGATCAACACAGCTCCGACTTGGTCACATCGCGCACGGAGTGCTGTGAGGAACTCCGCGGAGGCCACGTTCACTCCGCCCTCACCCTGGATGGGCTCTACAATGACACCGCATGTCTTCTCCGTAATTAGGGTTGGGAGTTGATCGATGTCGTTATACTTCCCATATTTGAATCCAGGGACCATAGGTGCAAAAGGAGCTTGGTATTTGGGATTTGGAGTAGCAGATAGAGCACCAAATGTTCGGCCATGGAACGATCCTTGGAAGGAGACAATTTCATGCTTTGTGCCAGATGTATCGAGGCTGTGGCCTACTTTCCGAGCAAACTTGAGAGCTGCTTCGTTGGCTTCGGTTCCTGAGTTGCAAATAAATGCTTGTGTGGCAGTACGCATCGCTCCTGAGGTGAGGGTGGTGCTGATAAGAGCCTGGCTGAGCTTGCCGGTATGCTTGTTATGGAAGAGATTGGATGCATGTATCAGTATTTCAGACTAGCCAGCAGGTTCCAATTAGCTTCGGTATCAAATGAACAGTTTCTTTTGTATAGATATACCTGTCTTGATATCACTTCTGATAGTCCTGTATCAGAATGGCCAAGAGACGTCACAGCAATACCGGCGGTGAAGTCGAGATACTGCTTATTCTCCATATCCCAGAGATAACATCCGCTTCCTCTGACCATCACTGGAGCTGGCCTGACGTATGTAGGCACCATGAACGGCATAATCCCCTCCACGAAGTGATCACTTCGCTTGGAGAGGTTACCGGGAGGACTCTCATGTTCCTATACGCGCATTTGATGTGTAAGTATGTACTTCAAAAGAACTCTCGACGGGGTATATTTCAACATATACAACGTACTACTTTGGTAATAGTTCTGGAGAACTTCTTCTCGAAGGCATCGGCTGCCTCTGAACTTGACCCTGTGGATGCCCATCGCCATTGCGACAGGGGGCTGACCCCATACCGCTGGAGAGCTCTAGCTCCAAGGCGTCGCATAGCTACTGGGGGAATCATCGTGAGACCGACCGGCACAATGAGTCTGTATCGGGTATTATCAGCCCTGCACCGCCTGAGAAAGGGATCGAAAACAACCAACAAGCGCAATTGGGCTGTCCCGTAGGTGTAAAAGATCCAAAAGCTGAGTCTTTTGTATAAAAACGAGGACGATGACTCCCCGGAAAAACCAGAGCTTCCGATTATCGGCGAGCTCAAGCTTAAAGCCGAACTTCATTCTTTTTATCGACGGTTGTCTACATATATCAAATACTAGCATAGATCAATAGAGGCGGTTACAATGGCCAACGTCGCTAGATTCCGTTCTTACTCGATATTCGGATCTATATATACACCAAGACCTGCGTCAGCTCAGCTACCACGATGCTTTTCCGTCTCTTCGATACAGTCCTCTAAACCAAGTCGCTTCACACCCGGCCCATCGCCTCCACGCCTTTCTCCAGAAGAACAGGAGATATTCGAAAACCTTCAGCAGCAGTCGACAGGCGCATTCAGCACACCGCGGTCGTCGCCTCAGATAAACCAGTCTCCTCACTCCGAACCGTCCGCTCAGCCTGAAACTATGCACCAAAGCTCGGTGGATGGAGAAGAGTTTCACCCGGACTTACGTCGAGGAGCAAAGCCGGAGTTTGAGGGAGAAAAGAATCCAAAGACCGGCGAGGTTGGAGGTCCTAAGAACGAACCGCTGAGATGGGGCGGGGGTGGTGATTGGAGCTATAATGGGAGAGTTACAGACTTCTGAAGGACGAATCAACACCCGGAGATGAGTTCAGAGAAATAGATGGTCAAAGACAGTCATTCTTGGGAGTGTGAATATTGAAGATCCATCTTTGCCCCGGGTGTGACTCTACGAGTAGAGTATGCCCGGATTCTATATTCGAGTCTAGAGTCCGAGGCTAAAGATTAACGGCGGGCTGGTAGGAACACGATACTACCGCCCATGTACATTACATTACAACCACGACATTTTGAATAAGGGAATGTATATATTTGCAACTGGGGAATTCGTTTACTCTCTTAACTATATACAATTTGCTAGCCGGTGGCATTATCCGTGAATCGTGGGGCGGCTCCGGTCAGCGTATGGAACAAGCTCGTTAACAGACAAAAGGATAAATTTCTCGCATTAGGAGAGGGTGGGATGCAGCTAACAAGGGCTGAGGTCTGATATGTGCCTTGGGGGCGAGGTTATGGAGAGACTGTATGAGGATTTTGGGAAGTCTCAAGAAGAAAGGAAAACTATCCCTGCAGTCTGCTCATAGTTGCCTTTCCAGCTCTGCTGTCGTTTGCACGACCAAGTTCAGAGCTAATCCAAGCTCCGATCCTCGATACACCTTCCAGGTTCACGCCGGTCTTCATCCCAAGGCTATGCAAAGTATGAATCAGGTCTTCCGTCGAAACGTTACCAGTGGCACCTTTGGAGTATGGGCATCCTCCCAATCCTCCAACACTGCTATCAAATATCCTTATACCATGTTCTAGGCCGACGATGGTGTTCACCAGAGCCTGGCCGTAGGTGTCGTGGAAATGCAACGCGAGGTCGCTGCTAGCTATTCCGGCAGCTGTCAAGGTCTGCAATAGTTTCTGGGTCCTCGGGGCTGTTCCCATGCCCGTCGTGTCAGCTACCGAAACCTCGTCGGCGCCCATCTCCAATAACGACGCAGTGATTTCCGCGACCTTGTGCGGGTCTACATCTGGACCCTCATATGGACATCCAAGTGCAACGGAGACGTAGCCGCGTACACGGATATTCTTTTCCTTTGCTAGCGAGACGATTGGGCCTATTCTCGCGAGGGACTCTTCTATTGTGCAGTTGGTGTTGGCCTTTGAGAAGCCTTCGGTTGCGGCGGCAAAGAGTGATATTTCTGGTAGCTCAGTAGGGCGGGCTTGCTCTGGGAGGGAAGCGGTTTCGGATTCAAGAACTTTCACGAGGGTTTCGAGTCCCTTGACGTTGGGGACCAGGTAATTATATGAAACTGGGTGAGGGGCGGAGGGCGGGGCTTTGATAAGATGCGATAAAATATCAGCTGTGCTTGCCATCTGCCAGAGAGATAGAGTGATTCCGTTAGTCCATCGGCTCAGTTCTATATAGATAATACAGCAACAATACGAGATCCCGGGCCGCCAGCTCTACTCACCTGGGGCACCCATTTGGCGGGGACAAACGAGCCGGCCTCGATGGTCTTGAGACCGGTACCAGCGAGCTTGGAGATCAACTCCAGCTTCGTCTCGAGCGGGATGGACTTCTTCTCGTTCTGCAGGCCATCTCTGGGGCCAACCTCGACGATGCGAACGAAATCGGGAGCAAGTTTGGCTTCGGTCGCGAAGCACCGTGCTGCGGTATGTCGAGGGGCCAGCTGGCGGGAGACCCTGGAGGCAGCTCTGAGTCCGAACATGATAACAGGCCACGCATACACCTCAAGGTATCGATCAGGTCGTCGACTCTCCGGCTGAGAAGAAGTAGTTATGCTGTTCCGTGGCACGCATCCCAGCTCGCTCTCGCCGGCGCTCGAGGCCGTGAACTCGGCTATTTGCACCGATGTTGAAAATCCCCGGAGCCCGCTTGGACTAGCCAATCATGGAAGAACTTGCCGCCGCCTTTAGCCGTGTAGTAAGCCAGGATGTTAGTCATATATTAGTCATCTTAGTCACCTTAGTCAGTTATTAGTCATGAAAATTATCTGCCGATGGAGGGACGCGATAAGGAAAAGATGGGTATATATGTTATGTGTTGAGCTCAATTTGTGAAAGATGACGGATAATACAGAGAAGATGGATGCGCCGGTTGTGGCACCAGCTGTGGCACCAACTAATGGCATGAGAGTGCCAAAGAAGAGGTTCATCGGAAGGAAAGCTGCAGATGCTCAGGCGCAGAGGAATGGAGGGGATACCGAGCAGTCGCATACCACAACCATACAGCAAGGTAGAGTACTTTAGGAGGTTCAAAAAAAATTTAACAGCGATATATTTTACAGATATACCTGGCTAACACTATCCAAAATCTAGCATCAACCAGACGAGGCCCTAGAGCGCTCAACCAGATCCCCGCAGACATACTTGATGATGAAGATATCAAATCCGCCATCTCCCTCCTACCGCACAACTACTCCTTCGAAATACCCAAAACAATACACAGAATACGATCATCTGGCTCCAAGCGGGTGGCTCTCCAATTCCCCGAAGGGCTGCTACTGTTTGCCACTACAATATCAGATATTCTAAACCAGTTCTGTCCGGGAGTCGAGACGGTCATTATGGGAGATGTGACATACGGCGCATGCTGTATCGACGATTATACCGCTCGGGCGCTAGGGTGTGACCTGCTAGTCCATTATGCGCATTCATGTCTTATACCCGTGGACGTCACCAAGATAAAAACACTCTATATCTTCGTCGACATCGGTATCGACACCCAACATCTCGTCGACACTCTACTGCGAAACTTCACCTCCGGTCAAAGGATAGCAATAGTAGGCACGATACAGTTCAACGCTACTCTGCACGGACTGAAACCAGCTCTAGAAAAAGAAGGGTTCCATATCGTTGTACCGCAGATAATGCCGCTAAGCAAAGGAGAGATTCTAGGCTGCACTTCACCCCAGCTGTCGAGCGGGGAGATAGATCTACTTCTCTATCTGGGTGATGGCCGATTCCATCTTGAATCAGCCATGATTCATAACCCATCTATACCAGCGTATCGATACGATCCGTACTCCCGCATCCTTAGCAGGGAACGATATGATCATGAAGAAATGCAGGATCTGCGCCGAACGGCAATAAATGTCGCTAAATCGGCAAAGAGGTGGGGGATTATATTGAGTAGTTTGGGGCGGCAGGGGAATCCGCATACGATGGCGATGATTGAAGCACATCTTAACGAGAAGGGTATACCGTTTGTAAATTTGTTGCTTAGCGAGATATTTCCGGGGAAGTTGGCGAGTATGCCGGACGTCGATTGTTGGGTGCAGATCGCTTGTCCCAGACTGAGCATTGATTGGGGATATGCGTTTCCTAAGCCCCTGCTAACACCATATGAGGCGTTGATCGCGTTGGGGATCAAGGAAGATTGGGATAAGGCGAATAATGGTATATACCCCATGGACTTTTATGCAAAGGAAGGCCTGGGGCGGACAAAACCTGGTGCTACTATCGCCTCGTCGGCTGGATAGTGAGCACACATGCAACAATGGAGTCATAGCAAAAATTTATAAATTTTGTAAAAAAAAAAAAAAATCAACGGAGTAGTGTTTTACAATATGTAGACAAGAACAGTACACTCTTAATCCTCCACGGCGTCAGTAGGGTCGCCTGGCGTCCCTCGCCTTAGAGCCAGGAAACCCTTCGCGCCAGCATCATCCACAGGCCGCTCAGCAGAACGCCATGTCGAGATTGCCTTCTCCACATCCTCATACATTTCCAGCGTGTCGTTAATAATACCTCCCTCATCTGGCTCCGCGCTCCGCGTCCCCTCGCGGGAGATAGAATCGCTTCGCATGGGGAATGCGGGGCCAAAGGTGTGATCAGGCGTTGGATTGAACATGATGGCGTTCGCGAACATGCGAATTAATTCTTTTTCTAGCTGTGAGGAATTCACTATGCCCTTTGGTGGCATTAGCTCTGCCGATTTCGTAGCTAGCAGGACGTTACCCTTGGACGATACGCCTGTTCCAGGCCCGGTTGTGGCTGCTGTTGCTGGCGGGGATTCATCCGTGGTTTGTGCGGGGTTCATTGCCTCCGAAGCTGCAGCAACGGCGCGACTGCCTTGGTGTATTGAAGATTTTATAGACTTTATGTCTTGCGGACGGTATATTAAGTCTTTATACCCCGGCGCGTCACGGTTGGTCAATGGTTTGGCAAAAATGGAAGCGTATTTGTGGGCTGCTACATCGTTCATTATGGGCCCGCATGTGCGGCCAAATGTTCGCGAACATATCACGTATTGGCTGTCCTTCATCCAATCCGACGGCTGTTGTTCAAGGGAAAATGATCCGCTGGGGCTTCTTTTCCGCTTTGTGCGATAGTGGGTGGTTTCAAGGTCTTCTGCAGGTATGCCTATTGGAGTGCTGGGTAGCTCGTTTTTGATATTACGGCTCGTATCCTCACCACGGGAAGCGATTGACTGGCCCCGCGTCCGAGGTCGTGCAGAAGGCAAAGCAGTAGGCGAAGGAGTTTCAACATTATCCTTTTCAATGCGCCTTGGAGTCGCTTGCGGGCCGCCACGGGCTCCAGTTCCTCGAGCACTTCCAAGATCTAGCTTACGACGTGCAGTTTGACCAGACCATTGTTCGACGTCTTCTTGTCTTGATGGAGAGAGTGCCCGTTCGCTGATGGGACTTATATCCGTGGACCGTGGGCGCTCAGGAGATCCTGGTTCACTGGGCAAAGATATTGGGCCTGGTATTTTCCAAGGGGTATTGCCGCTGGGAGTGACCAATGAGGGTCTTGGTGGTCTTCGACCTAACGATTGTGCAAAGGACGGGAGTTGAGTCTTTAGTTTCTCCAGGCCTGTGGTGTCTGGTGTGACAGTGGGTTGAGCTGCCGTCGTTGATGGAGTAGGGGTGCTTACACTGCCAGCGGGCGCGGAAATTGCTGGCGGAGCAGAGAGCGGTGGGTTTTGGGGAATATTAGATTTATCGATAGTTGGGGCGAGGGGTTTCGGGGTAGGTGTAGGTTTATTACGGGCCTGGTTATTTGGTTTAGGGGTCGTGCGAGGAGATCCATGGCCATAGGAGGACTGCGGAATGGTTTGCGGGGTTAATAGTGGTTGGAATTTGACGGTTTGAGGGGCAGCTTTGGGCGGTAGCTGAGAAGGCGTTTTGTTCCAAGTGGTATTTGCGGGAGGTTGAGTGGGCGGGACTCTCGCAAGAGGTACCAGTTGCGCGGTATTTTGATATGCGGGTTGGGTGGCCACTGTCGTAGCGGCAGGAGGAGGAGGGAATGGTTGTATGTTTGCATATACGCTGGCTCCAGTTGTGCTGGCTGGCGGAGGCGTTTGAGTAGAAGGTGGCACTTGACTGTTCAATAGTGGCTGTTTGAAAATGGGCGTATTTGGGACTGGAGATTCCTGCGGGATACCAGTTGATGGAACTGGACCTACTGTAGGCTGCACACGCCGGACCCCCTGTGGTGGTCCTGTGGTAGTCGCGGTGGTCGTGGTAGCCGTGGTGGGCGTTTGGGCTGTCGGTGCAGCTATCTGAAGGCCATCCTGTGGTATCCTGCCCATCACCTTTTCCTGGACGGCGTCTGCCTTTGACGGTCCAGCAGGCGGGGGAACATGAGGAACAGGAACATCTGAACCAAGGGCGGCAGGTGGCTGCTGCAGGTCCTCGCCAGCCTCCAGCCTCCGTATCTCGTCCTTTATTTCCGAGTACCGCCGTTCCTCGCGCCGTATCTCCTTCGTCACGCGTTCCTTGTACCTAGCGTATAGCCTATTTACCAAGTCCGGCATGGCAGCCGAATGTGACTTTGCGGCACCATCATGCACGGCCTGAGCACGCTTCCGCTTCTTCAAATTAGCTGTCTCCCGTGGACTCTGGTTCTGGCTGTGGTCTGATGCTTCATCGTCTGAAGACCTGAACCCTTCCGCTAGCAGGGTCGTGTATAGCTCCTCCAGGGCCTGCGGACTCAACCTGGCCGCGTCGTACTTGACATCCTGCTGGATGAAGGGATTGCTCTGCAGCAGCTCCGAGACGGGCGCAAAGCTATCCGGACGTGATTCTAAGGTCGCGAGGGACTGGAAGAAGAGCAGGGACTCGAAGGGGGTGTAGGCCGACAGAGAAGGCATTCCCCCATTGCAGCCTCGCTGCGTCTTTATTCGTCGTCTTGTTCTCGTTATTGTCTTCGTTCTTATTCTCGTTCTTCTCTTCGTGTCCTTCGTATGTCTCCTATCTCTCAGGGTGGTGTCTTTGTATTGGTATATTGGTATACGTTATATCGTCGTCGTGGTCGTGATGGAAAAGAGGTCTATCACGTGACATCACATGACGATCGGCCATGACCTTCCCGACTGGGATGTTTACCTAAGGAGCGACTGCGATATAACAAAAACTCCACCGCTGGCGTTCAGGGGGAAGAAGCAAAGAGAGCGACACGACGCCGGAGACCAGTGAGCGCAGCCCAAGAGTACTCCCACGCACCGTTCTTGCGGCGGTGGGACCTGGCTTGCTCTTCCTGCGTCACTTGCGCGACGCCCAAAAGCAGCACGGGATCCCGCCCGCCTGAGCTGGCCTTAAATATCTCTCGTCCCTGGGGCTCTTCTGCTGACCTCACAGCCTGACTTGGACCTTTGCTGCGACTCACCCTTTTTGCCCTGCATTGCCCCCCTTGTTTTCTCCTCTGCCTCCGCGTGAACGAGTCTGGATGCTTTCCCAGCTGGCTCTGGTTTCGAAAGTTATATAAACCTCAGGGGCATCCTCTACTTAATCGCCGTTGCGTTCAAACTAGGAACCTGAAACCGATCTTCAATTAATTATACCTGTACTCCGTACTTAAAATCTATAAAACACGCTCCTCCTCCTTTCGTCTCGACAATCCTCTCGACAATGTCTCAGAACATGACGGATATGGAGCTGGATAAAGAGTGGAAGCCAAATGGCAGGCGGCCGCAATCGTCTGTTCCTCCTCTCCCCCTTTCACCCATCTTATGTCCATAGACCGTCAATTAACTCGTTCGCTGCAGAACCATGGCTCGCTCTCTGGCCGCTGCTCTAGATAATGCTTTCATGCTTGACTCCGAAGTCGACTCCCTCACCAACTCTATCCAGCACAAGTATGTTCTGGCTCTGATATCGGAGTATTGCTGAAAAGGGGGCACCTTTACTGACCCTACGACTTTCCAGGCAACAACTGGTCTCAATGCACAGTCGCGAGCTCGAGGCGCTGGAAGCTAGGATTCGAGAGACCGAGAACCGTTTAAGGATGCAGAAGGGAGAAATTCCCCTCGAACCGTCCAACTCCAACGAACAAACCAATAATAATGCCAATGCTCAGAACAATGCCAGAAACAGTACACAAAGGAGAACACCCCCGGATGTCTCCACTACAGATAAGGGACGTGGTCTACCGCCCCTGTCGACTCCCAACCAGTCTGATGATGGCTTCACCACCAACGCTTCCACCTCTCCTGCCACAACAGACCAGGACGAGGAGACAGCAAACCATGCTGGTATTCATGGTCGACGCAACGAGGAAGATAACTCAAAGGGCAAAGAAGGATGGTCCTGATCGGTGGGCCGTTCTTTTTTAACACTTTATGTTAATTATTTTATACCCTTTTCAGAGCCCAAGACCTGCTGCAATGACTTCCCCCCACAACCATCATCACGGTTGCCGCCGCAGAATGACTGTCGGAGGCGGCTACACGCTTACATACCTTTTATATGGGCATTTCCTACCTAATCCTCTCGATGCCTGGCTGCTCCGTCTATACACGTCTGTCTGAATGGTATATGACGGTTTTCGGGAATGCGATTCCCTCATTCGGTCTTTTCGTCTCCTTTCTTCTCTTCACTCTTTCTTCTTCTATACATGACCGCATATATATATAGTTTAATAGCTTATTGGCCAGCCTTCCCTTCGTTTGACACTTTTTTTACTCTGTTTACATGCCCTTATAATAGTCTCTCCCTTCTTTTTTTTTTTTTTTTTTTTTTACCCCTGCTTGGCTGTAAGATTAATTGTTGGAATTTAGCACATGTTACATGTTCCATGGAAATGCCATTACTATCATCACATACTTTTTGCATTGGGTGAAACGTCTTATCTGATAACTGAAGGGGCCCCGGTGGTATTGGTTGTTACGATGAACAGGATATATAGATAAAAAGGATCAATAATACAAAAGTTCTATTGTTGCAGATGTTGCGGTGTTTATAATGTTAGAGCACAGTATTTATTTACAGAGCATCAGTGAGAGCCTTGTTAAGCTTGGTGAGCTTGGAGGAGACGCTGAGATCGATTGTTCGGCCGTCGAATTCGACAACAAGTCCGCCAACAATCTCGGGGTCAACCTGGTGGATGAAGTTAGCACGATTGCATTAATTATTAGATGTTGAGGGAATAATTGCACTAACCTTGGTGATGACCTTGAGCTTCTTGCCCTTGCTGTACTCAGACTTGGCGATGGCGTTTTCCAAACGCTGGAGGGTCTTCTGGTCGAGTTTCTATATCAAATTGTTAGGCAGGGCTGGATAGAGAAGTGCGCAATTCGCCATCACTTTCTCCTTTCGGTGGGGGTTATCGATATATGCATACCTGAGCACTGGTGATGTTAAGCTCAATCTCGCCTCGGTAAGCGCCCATCAAAGTCTCGAACTTCTCACAGACACCCTCCAAAACACCGAGTCGGTTGTTCTCAGCGAGAGTGTTCAAGAAGTTGCCCAGAAGCTCGTTCTTGCCGGTAATCTTCTGCAATTCCTGGACGATCTGAGACTTGTCCTTGACGGTCAAGGTAGGAGTGTGCAAGATAGGTCCCAACTTGGCGTCCTTCTTGAACACTTCAGCCAAAGCAGAGAGGGACTTGGAGGTCTGCTCTAGGCTTCCGGACTTGGCTGAAGCAGTGTACTATTCATCAATCATATAAAAGTCAGCCTATCCGTGTCCGTCCTGTGTGTGCCTGTGTTCGCGACAACAGCCGCCATCACCCAATTGTCATCCCAACGCAACGTAAATCATCGCTATACGCACCAAGGCATTGGCATAGGTGCCGTCGACGCCGAAGAGAGCGACCGGTGGCTTCGTATCTTGGGTTGCGGTGGCATAGGTTCTGGCTCCGTTGACGACGGATCGTCGAGAGAATTGCTGGGCGGAAGCGCGAAGGCTCGCCTGGGCGGCTCGGGAAGAAAGCATGGCGAAAGAGGAGGACTGTGCCTATGGAATTGGGGTAGCCGTGGACGTTGGAGATGGGCACCAATGATGCTGCTGTTGGCGTACAATTCTTCGTGGTCAAAGGTCAACAGGGACGCAGTGGGTTCGGCGAAACATGGACGCTTTTTTAGTCACGTGATATAAAATTGGGCTTGACGGGACGGCGTCTCCAGCAAATAACAGTAACATGCAACGCATCTCGAATCAGTTTACAACTCTTAATCATGTATCATTATTATACTTCATGCTATTTATCATAACCCGTATGCTTGGAGACCGACCGTGGACGCCAGGCCCAGTAATATTCAGTGAAACGACCACCCGGAGTGTAGGAAACCGCAAAGAAAAGAAAGACGGGGGGAGAGGAGAAACAGAAGTCTGCCGGAAAGCGACAGGCTTTATATCCCTTGCGGCTTTCAGTCGCTCCGAAGCATGCTCTCCACCAAGTCACCTAATGGACCCCAGAAGTCTTTCCCGCTAGCCAAACCGTGCTCTTCAATAAACAAAACATAGTGCTTGAAGCTGGTATTCAGGTGCGGTTCGAGCCCGAGATGGACGACGACCGGGTAGTGGTGGCAGTATATGTGTGCGTAGACACGGTACATGCGTTTAAACAGCTGTCTCAGCAGTGAAGGGAATGTTTTTGGGAACGGCACACCTGGAAGGGGGTAAGTATTTGCATGGTGATTTAGCTTCTCGTAATATGATGGTATAGGGCTGCATACCTATATGGCTAGGGAACATCTGCTCGTTGTCAATGTTCGCCTGCACCCATGTCATCAAGTGTTCGACGTATTCAGGTGCGGACATCTTGGTCGGGCGCTTGAAATTCTCATTATCCTGCCATAGATATTCAAACCTGGTAAAACTCAAGGTATCAGGCAACTAGCATGGTAAACAATGGCGTTAGAATGGAACACGTACTCGTCTGTCGCCTTCATCTCCGGACATGTCTGCGGCGAGCAGAACTCGGTGATTGATCCATATAAAAGGTTGATCTGGTTGTAGAAATCGACCACTATTCCAGCCAACACAGACCCATCGATGCGTTAGCATGGTTCAACCTTTTCGCATATTCTCCATCCCAGTCTATCAGGGTATCCGTAGAGCGTACAGTTAACAGCTAACCACTCGTTGAGGTCCTCTCCCTCAGGTAGCTTGACGGCCTTCCGCAGACTTCCACTCCCCAGTGTTGCTTCTGCAAACTGTCGAAGCTGATAGTTTCCTGTGCCTTTATTCGCTGTTCGCGGTCGGAATGGCCCCCGCGTCCGTGAATTTCTGTTGTTGAAGAAAGGTCAGTCAGTGGTGGGGTCATTTTGGTAGTGATGAAGGCAGCTATATAGCGGATGCTCGACAGCGTGTTATGCGAATAGGAGAGCGTAATTCCATGGGCTCTTGCGAGAAACAGTTGGCAATGCACCTACATTGTGGTAATGAACGAGGATGCCATCTCGCGCTCTTGGGTGTAGCAGGGATGCGACTTATGCTGTCTGCTGCCTTAGTCCGTACTCTGCGCTGTCCTCGCAAACCTGTAGACTTCTGAGCAGTTCCTCCTGCGGTAGAATCAAACTGCAAAATGCTGAGCAATGCGTTATCTTGCTGTATGTTCACCGTGTCATGGTCCTTCGCAGCTGTGATATCATTTCGCGGGTTTGGGGTGGTTGCCCTGACGACAATCAGGTCAACATGGCCACCGCCCCTCTATCATCTTCATACACCTACTGGCCGCAAGACACATATAATGATGACAACCGTCTATTGTCTGATCTTTAACGGTATTACATTCCTAGAGACCATGGCGGAGATGCCACCAATTCTCGAGTATTCCGACTATCTTCGTCTTGAGGCTGTTTGTCGCTCAACCAAGCTCCAGACGGAACGATATTGCTATTATCGTTGTTAAATGACTGTTAATACCACCGATGGTTTCTTAATGTTGATGTGAAACCACAGCTATCGGCCCAGAGCTGGAACTGGCTTTATAGTGGAGGGTCAGAGGACTTGTATACTCGCCCATATAGGCAGCACCGTACATGATAATTGATGCAAGACTGTCACTGATGTGTGATACAGTGAATATCCTGGGCCTCTACCATGTTGAGCAACAGCACGATGGCCAGGGAGAAAGCAGTTGACCGTTCCTGGTCCTCAGTCTCTCTCTCTCTCTCTCTCTCTCTCTCTCTCTCTCTCTCTCTCTCTCTGTGTGTGTGTGTGTGTGTGTATCTGAGACGCTGCAGAGCCAAAGCTGAAGAGGTCCTGGCCAACAAGCGTGATGCCAGAGCCATTTAGCAGAATACCGTGATACTCTAGACGGCTCTGAATTTGCATCCTCAGGGTGATTGAAGCCGTTACCACCCAAACTACGGATAACGGTTGACGTTACCCTACATTGGTTGTTGGTGTCAATCGTCCAGGACCTGAAAATTACGTCTACCTGGAGAGTGATGTCTGGCTCAATAAGGACCGCGAGCTATGCAGCTCTTATTCTGTTAAGGATATCGTGTCTTCCCGTCTTCCGTCTCGCGTCTACCAGAAATGTTGCTATCACATGGCGTAAACCTTCGAACATGGCAGCATTTGTATCGTTATCATATTACCATATACTTGTTCATCATTCTATTTTATATTACGGAGTCTAATAATGGACATAAGATGCTGCGGTTCCGGTCTCGGGCGGAAGCTTAAACAAGTTAAAAGTAAAGTTGGCGCAAGTTAAATCGAACGATCGTGAAAGATGTTAAATTTGCCCAAACTTCACTTCTATTATTCAAATAGCTATAAATAAGGAGAACCCAAACGACAAAACCGAAATAATCAATGGCCAATGGACCTTCTCAAGAGCAAGCGATGGTCTATACCAAAAAGCGAAGTACGCCTGGGCTACCAACGATAATAAGGCTTCACGGCTTGTTATCGAGCGTCTCGTTCAGAGTTACTCAAGCCTTCGCCCTCGAACGTCTATCCTGTTGCTGTCTTTAACACCCTGAGAATAGGCTTTCCCGTCTCGCACAGCGGTGTAGCTCGGCGTGGAGGACACCAACTCGATCTTCTCTTGTTGGATATACTCTTCGGCCACTTTCGCTGCCGTCCGGCGAAACTGAACAAGCTGCATCTCGGATTTCCACTGGTTCATCTCTGGAGACGGTTCCTTTTTCGGAGGCGCCACGGAGACCTTGCTTTCCTGTTTCAGTGAGCCCAAGTCGAGACGTGGTGACTCCTTGCGTTTTAGAAGCCGGGAGATCGCTTCGTCCAAGTCCACAGTGGAATCGATTAAGCCGTCTTCTTCCTCGAAATCGGGCTCTAATGTAAAACCATCTGCTAGCCCATTGTCATCTTCATCATCGCTGTCCTCATTGCCATATTGAGTAGGCTCAAGCTTACTCGAAGCTGTAGGGCCCAACGGGGCTGACTCCAAGGATGTATGGTTGTCGTCAACACAGGATTCACTTTGTTCGCGGTTCAACCTGGCTATCTCTTCCACACGTTGACGCTCCTCTTCTCTCACGCGCTCAGCCAGTGTTTGGGCTTCTGCCTTTCTCGCCTCCTCCCGTTCTCGCCGCTTTTCCTCGCATGCCATGTCCAATAGCCCTCTAGAAACACCATTGGAATAGCTGTGTCTAGCCGATCTACCCCTATATGCCAAAGTCCATTGGGATATAAGATTGTAAACCATTTCGAAGGCTTTGGCTGCCATCACAGTGTTCTCGGCAATGCCATAAAACGTCCACTTGATTGACCAGCGCGTGCGAGTGGAATAACATTCACAATCAAAAAAGGTGGTTATGGCGTGGATTGCATTCGCGACGAAACCTTCATTTTGTACGGAAACGTTCTCTTCTGCCGTCTTTGCAATGGTGACGATACTGCTCCCGGAAAACTGCACTTGCTTGTCTGCAGATTCCTTTGAGATGAGGTCGGCGTTGGTCACATTATATTGACCCATCAGCTTCTGTGACAGGAACAGTGCTGCTTTGGCTTCGGCTTCAGTTGTGCCCGGATGAGATGCACGATCAAGGCACTTCTTAATTCGATCGAGAATGTGATCATCGACTTGAGCACCGCTAGTCGCCACGGTTACCTGATCCGCAAGTTTCGAGACTGTAGCTTTTTGTCGGGGTGAGGGAGGAGGCTTTGGTCGGCGTTTGCGAGCATTGCCCTCATTCCCTTCACTAGGAACCAAGGGTCTTTTATCCGGCTGCGTTGCCATCGTTTCGACTAATTTCGAACGCACTGCTGATGTTTGAAAAAGGGTCCTCAGAGCTTCATGAGGTTAAGTGGTGTCTACTACAAGGCTGCCTAGTCTGGTTCGAAAGAGTCTTCTCGCCTGGTAAATTTGATCGTTCTAGCGCGATACAAGCGATGTATACATTTTTGATAGCTAACCAAAGCCACACCGCACCAAAGGGACAGCCATTTTGGCCACATACGGTGTAAAGACCGGTAACTGTGGTGTAAGGGTCTAAATACCGCTAATATCATCACATTTGTTTGAGGTAAAGATACTCTAGAAGCACACCCGGAAAAGACATTTCCCACGTAACATACTTTTTATAGAGATGATTAGAATGGCACAAAAATTAAGGGACAGTAAACCTTGCATTAAGTACGCAGGAAGAGCATGGTATTATTCGTTTAGTTAACATATTATAGCATCGATGATACCGCCAGAAAAAGCGGCACCAACGTAGATTCTAGTCTCGCTGTAGATTCTAGACACGAAGGCCTTATATAGGTATTCCCTGTAGATCTTCTCGGCTGGGCTCTTGCACGGTCCCACCATAAACCGTTAAAGGGATACTGACTTCAAAAGATTCACAAGATATGTGTTCAGAAGCGGCAAACACAGAGCCTCTTTCGTCACGCTCAACCTGCTCCAAAAGACCTATCCCCGAAGCCCCTAGGTTTTCCATGACATCGGATAGGCTACTTGTTACGAACTCGAATCGAAGCTGCCATTCAACGCTTACACCGGACGTAATAAGAGTAGGAGTTGCAGAAACCGGGATAGCTGGGGTAAACACTACCCTAGAAGAGAAGAGGGTATTTTCAAAACAGATAGCGTGGACCTTTCGTGTTGCGCGAGTGATGCTTGCAGGTGAACGAAGGGCAATTTCTGGATTGATCTTCTCGTGTGTTTCAAGCGAACCACGAAGAGAATGGCAGTGTAAGGCTGCATTTGTAAAATCTGCAGTTGCTACAATCGTCTCTCCGATTCTGTGGGACGGTCGGTTGAGAACGATAACAGCCACCCGGCGGCCACTGCGCGATATTTCAAAGCGGTTGGCACTTTGATCTGATGCGGTGGATTGGTTACTTCGTAGTATTGCTAGGTCGATGGCGTCCTTGCACGAAAATGGTGTGTCATGACGTAGATGTGGTGGACCAGGAATTAATGGAGAGGCAAGAGAGTCTTGTCGGTCCCTCTGCTTTAGGATTTCGTCCACGTATGATAAAAACTGGGGTGCAGATGTCCATGCCTTCGCGCTAATGCTCTTTTCCTTCGCTGGTAGTCGTGGAGTCGCGGAATCAATACTCTGCACCCGTGCTTCATCTCGTAGCACGACATAGGGCTGCATGAGGTCGTGTCCCAGCACACCTCCCTGCGCTGTCTAATTATCAGCAAAAAGAATATAAAAAGCCGGGTAGGGGCAGCCTTACCATCTACTCCACTAAGAACACGGAATGGTACATTTATTTTATGTAGCCGTTGGTTCCCCTTAATCGTTGCGGCTTTCTGGGTCCCAATGACCAAATTATAGGAAATCTTTATAGCCTTGCCTTTGTGACTTGAAGGCAGGCCGCGAGGCAAAGTAAAGGAGAAAGAGAATGATTTCTCTTGCCCAGGGGCTAAACGAAGGTCCACGAAAAGTAGTGATTGTGGTGTTGATAATAGGGGTATAGAGTGAGAAGACGAAGCCCCTCGCATTTCCCTTAACCCGTCAAGTTCTCCGGTAGATGTCAAACTTGCAAGTGAGTTACCAATGTTGCTCAGCCCTATATTTCCCCAGAATCCGCTTCTGGACTTAGCCTGTCTTGGTGTTCGTTCTCCATTGCCATGATGGCCAACAACACCTTTGCGTTTCACTTCTTCGAAAATAGATTGGTCTAATAGTGAGCCATCAACTGTGAACGAAGCATTAATCTGAGCATAGCCCATAAGGAGGGATTGGGAATCATTGCCTCGACCGTTCCTAGTTGGTTCAAGGCTTGAATGGTGTCTTCGATGCCTTGGCAAACCTCGATTCATGGAGACGAGTTTATAGTCGGAGTCAAGTGTCTCCGTCGAATTATTGCTAAGTGAATAAAACTCATTGCTGCTTCGGGTGCTGCCTTCAATTGCCGAGACAGCCGAGAGTTTTGTTGCTGGTGTAAGACAACGTGGTTGATCGATCCCCAACTTCCCGTTCGCGACGGTTGTATTGATATGTTCGGGTATAGCAGATTTGGAGGCAGCTTCTGAGGACTGGTTTACCGTTGACGGTTGCGTTGACTGGTTTGTATTACTTTCGGGCGAAGGTGGTGCTTGTGGGAACTTGAAGTCGCCGTGGAAAGGACTTAGTTTGCGCGGCGGTCTCCGCATAGGACTTCTTCTAGCTGCTGGCGAATTGGCCGGGTAGCGAGAGGAGTCTGATTCATCTCTGGCATTCGGAAGAGATAGATTAGACTGTGAAGCGGCAGGCGAGAACCTCGAAATCGGGGTGCGAGGGGACACTAATTCCTAGGAGTTAGAAACGAGAGAAACTTGAAAAATAGGGGTAGTGGGTCGCATGAGGGAGTACCAGATTGGAAGTCATCTCTATATGTATCGTGTCTTCTAGGAGGCGCTTGAAAGCTTGCTGACCGCGTATGTCGACCTGTAGGTCTCGGACTTTGTGGAGACTGAACCTGTTTACGGTCGTGGGAGATATCCGTTTCTAGTGATATTATCGAAACCGATCGTTTATGAGAATGACCTGGTGGTTTGGCACTACCATTGGGCCGTGACGGAGTGGTAGGTGGGAAGCTCTGGCTAAGGATAGGAGAGGAGCCGACAGACGCGGAGGATCTGTGAAGTGGCTGTCGAGGTCGATACCCCGAGGACTGCGGGCGGCGCTGAGGGTTATTGAAGGAAAATGGGTTAAGGGACTTTGCCGGAGAGTAGTTCGTTCCATCTGTGACGCTGTTTATGGGCCGAGATCCGCCCCGGTAGTGCTTTGGGGTTCCAACAGCTTCATTCCCGGTCTCCTCCTCTGCAACATTCTTGAAGGTGATGGTACATTCGACGTCCTCTCCCGCGAATATTGTTTGTTCTTTCCATCTTACGAAGACCTGAATGTCCGATAACATAACGCTAGGCCGTGTCTTGCAGCATGGATAGTTCGTGGTTATGGGTTTGGGCGCATGTCAAGGGCGTTCGGGGGTAGGACTAGAGCATCTCCGGCTTGTGAGTGAGCATTCTGGGTAGAGCTGACACGCACTTTTGGTGACTAGGAATGTATGCAGAGTAGAGCAAGCAGTAAACACAGCGAGCATGCACCCGTTACTCGCGTTGACGAAGCATTGAAAAGATGTAGATGTGGAGAGTTCACCTGCGCATCTCCGGGCTCCTTGGCCGATCTTCATGTGGCTGACCGGCGCTTGGCGGCTAACTAAGCGCGACTAGTTTTCTACATTATTCGGAACAAAGAATACGTTTTGTAAGGGTAGAATAGTATTGTACATTTGATGATATATAGTTGATATACAAGTCTGAGCTGTAGTTTGGTTAGTTGCATCGGTGGTGAGCTTGCCATTCTACCAGCCAGGCGTCCCCTCGACGGCTATTCGCACTGACGTATTCATCCCTGCGGACGGCTTTTTTAGGCAAACTGACGCTCTGGAAAATCTCCGGTGTTAAACTGCTGCTTGGGGAAGACCTCCAGATGCTTAGTATTTCGGAGGCGAATCTTCTTCAGCCTCAGACACAATATCAACTAGCTCCTTATCTGTAACCCCCCAGTTCTTACTCCTTCGAGATAGCTCTTTGTCGTTATCAAGGCTCTTTTTGGAAATGCCGTCAGGGCGCCTTAGACCGAGCTCGGTCATTTGTTCACGTATCCGTATTTTTCGCTTTTCCCATCTTTCTCTCCTATCCACTTCCTCTGCTTCAGTCGCCCTCCATTTACTCTTCAATATTCTTCGAATCGCTTCTGGGGAAACCTTGAATTGTTCTGACAGGTTTTTTGTCGAGAATTTAACAGAGTCCATGCTATGTAGCTTGCGGACACTCTCCATGGTATCAGGAGACAGCTTCTTTCGTGGCTTCCACCCTTCTTCAAATTTAGATTTTAATGCCTTCTTCTGTACTCCCCATGCCGGTTGGGGTTTCTTAGGTTTTGTAGGTTGAGGTATTTGAGGGATAACGTCTTCGAGGTTGGGTTTCTTTGTAGGCTTTGGTGGACGAGGAGCGGAGGTAGAGTAGAAGGGCGTTGACTGCCATTGCCTTGTTATGGCGCTTGTAGAGGTAGTTGGTCGGGCGCGATGTGTTACTGCGTAGCTGCTATATGCCCTGAAAGACACAAATCGCGAGGGAGGAGAAGAGAACGTAAATGGCGATGCTGAGGCAGCTTGGTTGGCATTGACATGGCATAATGATCGGAGCTGACGTAGCATAACGATTATATTCGCTGACGCAAATGATTGGGAGGGCATAGTGAATGTTGTATACAGTGATTTTTCATACACCTTCTTCTTTCTTGAGTCAATGTAAAATCTCCTGGCTGGAGAATATTTCAAAATGAAGGAGAAAGCCGTGTTTTACCAAAAAGGAAAAAGATACATTCTTGGCACGTGACTGATAGAGCTTCCAGCTAAACTTTTGCTAGGTTTCGATGTTCATTGTTGTTCAGCTTCGCATTGTTCGTTTATATCTATTGTTGATTGATAAAGGGGCGATGGATTAAGAGGATCGAAACCCCCGGGAAATTGGCCCGGTTGATTTGTTCTTCGACTTTCTCAATATCACATCCAGGGGTCCATTTTGAACAATTTACCCAACAGCCCGCTCACGAACAACTGAGCTTCAAAGCTTCAATTTCATTCCTTTAAGAAGGCGAAACTACTTGCATCACCATGTCTGGAAACACGACAGGGACGGATGGCTCTCATGGGCCGCGGTATAGCATGCGTGCACGCCCGTCACCTCTGGATTCAGACTCCTCATTCGACTCCGATGATAGCGCAAGCTTCAATAGCAAAAGGCGTTCAGTTGACAACTCGAATCTTCCCGGTGGTAATAGGTCCCTGGCTGGTATCTCTATCCGAGCATTCCTCCTTGGCCAATCTGTTGGGATTTGTACACTGCTTACCATAATACTGGCCCATTATTCATTTACCTTATGGCGGGCCCCCTTCTTTATTGCATCTCTGGCTCTCTTCCACTTCCTTGAGTTCTATATAACGGCGGCTTATAGCACTTCATTTGCAACAATATCAGCCTTTCTTCTGAGCTCTAACGGTGCGGCGTACAATATCGCTCATAGCTCTGCGCTTGCCGAGTGTCTCCTGAGTCGTTTACTGCTCCCAGAGAGCTACTTAAAGTGGACTTCTATACCCTTCGGCGGAGCTAGAGTGCAAGTGTCTGTTGGCCTAGCCATTATGATTGTTGGTCAGGTTATTCGCAGCCTCGCCATGGTCCAGGCAGGATCAAACTTCACTCATACGGTGCAGACGCAGCGACGAGAGGAGCATGTACTCGTGAAAAGCGGCTTGTACAGCGTCCTCCGGCATCCCAGTTATTTCGGCTTTTTCTGGTGGGGTTTGGGAACACAGCTGGTACTAGGGAACTTCGTCTGTTTCCTCGGTTACGCTGCGGTACTCTGGAAATTTTTCTCATCTAGGATACAGCGTGAGTAATGGGTTTTGTCATTCTACCCCTTTGGAGGGATTTGAGCCTGTACTAACTCATTTTTAGGGGAGGAAAAGCTTTTGATTGAATTTTTTGGCGAGGAGTATGTGGAATATCAGAGCAAGACGTGGGTTGGGATCCCATTTATTCACTGATGTGTTTTATTTTGCAAACTGTGACTACCAGAAATTTATGATGCCTACTATTCAAAATGTGATCATTTAAGGGTACAAGCAGGCGCTGTTTATTACTTCTACCATTCTATTGCTCAAATTTTCAGCATATTGTGAGAACGGACACTTACGTGACATAAATTTGGGGCAAACTAATTTACTGTTTGCTTTGTGCAGTTTGCAATTCTCTCCGTTTGCACTTTTTCCGTACTTCCTGCAAGATTCCTATGTTTGTTCAGAAAATACCTCAGTGAAGATTCCCTTGGGATATATATTATCCCTCCCCCGATAGAATTTTCTACTTAGAATATTCCCTTACTCATCTTGGCTATGTGAAGCGATATGATTTATAGATCCTCACAGTTACATTCCTGCAAATACTATCACTATGATACCCTTAATCTGTCCACTGCATTAAGGGGGGAGCCTTATAAAAACCCCCTTGGGCAACATTATATGGAGGCCACATACCACCCATAAAGCACCATCAAGGCTTCGGGAAACTGCTATTATGTGTGGAATTCGAACTCATACCCACCAACCTTGCGGCTGTCGGTCACATAATATACGGCTCTGCAGCATGTTCAGTTTGCCGCCTTGCCCATCGGCGCCCAGGCATGGATCGCGATTTATCACCACGCTCAATGAATCATTTTCGGAAGGGATGCTATCCCGCTGCCAACGCTTATATATCTTCCCTGGCGAGATAGATCCGTACCCATGCCATGATCATTGGTATATAGTACGGGACCCAGCCAAGCTTCTACTTCCACCTAGAGGCCCAGAGACAAATGTCGAGTCGTGCCCTGGCCGTAAGGAGGAAGAATCTTCCGAGAAAATACAGAAAGGCAGACTAGGGAGGAACATAGAAAACCCGAAATCGAGTCCAAGCCAAGATCAGAATTCAAAGGGTACGGAGGCGTATAGGATATTTCGTGGCTTTAAGTGGAATATATGGAATAATTCCTAGTAAATATAAAAGTATAGTACTAGCAAAAATGCATATATTTGTTCTTGGAAAGGCGGCATTATCAAGGTAGTTCTGTTTGACTTTTACGCTTTTATTAAACTATGAGTATGGTGACTGGGAACTAAGTCTAGGAAATATAAAAAGTTCAATAGCTGATTGTCGGGGGCTAGTCGTCGTTACCATAAATTAAAATAGGATTTCAGCTGCTTATACGGAGTATATATACAATAAATGTGAAAAGCAAGGGTAAGCTAGTATAGAAAAATCCTCTACAGCTTACTCTGAATGGGTTGTGAGAGCAAGCCACCGCTCATGCTCAAAAGCTGAGCATCCTCTTCCTCTGATTTCTGTAAGACCATATCTCTCCCTCCCCGTGTACTCCACCACGTCACACAAAAGTTGGCCCTTTCAACGTCCATGTCCCCGTTGCTCAGCGTGTCCCAAAACCTCTCTTGACATTTTCTCCTCATCTCTTTATCAGGAATGTGGTTTATTAAATCAGCCGTAAGGTCTAACCAATCTTCAAGCAGTTCTACTCGAAGAAACGGCAAAGAATCGATTATAGTCATCGCGAGGACAGCCTGCTCAGACAGATCCTCGGATGCTGGTTTTGGAGTCGAGTCAGTGGCTGGAGGTAAAAGTGGGGTTGTAGGCGCACTTAAGGCCCTGTCATATAAGAGTTGAAGAAGAACTGAAGGTAGATAAGGTTGACTATTGGCAAGAGGGGACGGAGGCGCCGTTATCTTGAGGATGGTTTTGAACGCGAGCCGGAATTGTCTCGCGGATAAGTTCTGAGGGAAAACCTACAAGGGGGTAAGTAAGGTATTTGTCACGGTTAGGTTGGGTAAGGAAGGCGGATTGGTAGATTTTAGCTTACGGTAAATAGGGTATCAACGTAGTACGGGAGATGCCTTGTGGCCATATCAGCGCTTTGTGGAGCAGCAAGGACGGCAAGTACCACGCTGTGGGCTGCTTCAAAAATTTCCAAAAGGTGGTTGTTCCCACCGGATGCAAGGTAAGGTTGTGCTGCTGTTATTAGGAGGCGCTCATTTAGCGCAGGTGAAACTATCAAACTGAAATGTTCAGCCGTGTTGAGGAAGAAGAGGTCTAGACATCTGTCGAGTGGATGAGCGGGAATCTTTGACGGGTCGGATGGCCGGATCTCTTCCAAGAAATCTTCTGATAAGTCAGGGTATTGTGCGAGGATGTCAATGGCGGTGAGATTAACAAAGACATATTGCGACGAGCTACTATATCCAGCTCTAGCAGTAATAAAGGAAAGGTGTCGTAGAGATTTTAGGGCTTTGGAAGCAATGAAAGGGCTGCCTGTTGGGATCTGTAAGTTTCTATGTCAAGGATACGTGTTTTGGGTACACTTACTCCTATCGGAAGCCAGAATAGGATCGTTAAGAACCCTTCCTAGAATTGCACGGAGGACAATGATGAAAGAAAAAAGTGGTATATTTAGTAATTTCCATAAGGTAGGGACTGTGGTTTGTATCGAGGCCGCATCTAAAAATTCAGGTTCCTCGGATTGGTCGATTTCTGATAATTTGTTCTGGCGCCATTGAACCATCAGCGTTCTTGATAGCTCGAAGAGCGAGTCCAGCACCAGCATCACCTGGCCCCTATTGCTAGTGTTTTCGATTGCATGGGCTATCAACCTAGATAACGGGCCAAACGAAGAGACAAGAGGCCTTGCTAATATAGCCGCGGCCTGGTGATAAGATGGCGAGTTTTCTGGCCATCCAAATTTGCCCTGGCCACGGAGTTCCTCGATACCTCTATCGATGGAGCCAAGGAAGTATCCAGATTCAAGTCCTTCAGATGAGAGAAATGCAGTGTCTGCTAGCACGGGAAGTAAGATATCATAATTAATCCTACTGCGTTCCCAATCTGAAAGTAGCTCAAAGGTATAGTTTAGAACGAGAACAATGGTGTAAGCAGCTATCTTCGGCGTAGATCCAAGTTCCTCGAGAGATAGTTGTATAACAGTCACTAGGGCAGCTTCGAGTTTCTTCCTTAAATTATACGGTAAGCTTCGACGATTTTGGCCTTCGAATCCTAGCAAAAGTCCACCAAGTAGAAGGAGATGGCGCCATCGTGGGGATTTATCGTCCGCACCATTTACCACTGCCTTCAACCAGTCTTCCCGTTGAAGTCCACGTCGTTGCAGGTTCGGAGAGTGCGGATCGTAAGCGGATTCATGGTTTACGATGGTGATCGCACCGGTGTTGAAGACGCTCAGAATCCGCCGACAAGCGTGTAGATCAAGGGGAGCCTGCTCCCACAGTGATTCTGAGCAAAGTAGCTGAGTTGATAGAAGCGTGACGTTCAATGGATTGGTGAGTAGAGTTAAATGACCCAATGCTGATGGTAAGAGACTAGAAAATCAACCCGTTAGCAACGTCAGCGAGGTCTCATGTATTCGGGGGAATCATACCTATGAGCGTCTTGTGGAGATGTCGCAGTCTGGAGTGACCGCAAAAGCGTTGCGAGAGACCTTTCAGTCCCCATGGTGTACTTTATCTCCTCTCTTGTTGCATTGAATATAGGCAGCGGACTCTGGCTATCCTCAAAGGTCCCATGAATAGTGATAATCGAGCGAAGCTTCCCCAGGTCCATTGAATTGTTGCCGAGGCTCAATTTCCTCATCACGTGATACATCTGGTCCAGCATTAACGTTTTGCGCGCGTTCCAAGCTGCTCGACTTTAAATGTCAACATCAAATTAACAATTCTATCGGCGACGGGACGGCGCTTTTTTCAGTCATTATGAGGCATCGACCGAAATATGATGTCGCAGATCGTACCAGCTGAATATGTCACTCCGGAGTTCCCGTCCCTCTATCTCCCGTTTCGGCCGCTACACCAAACGCCGCAGCACCTATACCATATGGAAGATGTCTGGCGCTTCACATTATATTGGACATTGATCTTTTACGGCGGAACGCATGTAAGCATAGCATTTTATGCTGTCATTAGACAAGGACATGGCTGGAGGATTGCGTGGGCGATTCCACTCATATATGCGATTGTTGCTGCATTGGAAGCTGTGTTGGCTGGAAGCGTTGTTGGGCTAATGTGAGTATGAATTTCCTGGGATGAGCTATAAGCTAAACCCTTAGAGTGCCATACGCTAATATCATTAATTTATTTAGCCTTGGACTGGTTTATGAGGCGGGAAGTTTTCAGATGTCGACTTGGATTCCGTTTGCCTGGGGCTGCATCAACGTACTAGTCCTTATCGTGTCGTGCTTCTCGTTCCATGGCGGGCTATGATTGCATTCCTTTTAATCGACGACAATATTTACCCAACGGCCTGTTCGGTCTGGCTATGGGGAAATCCGCGACCAGCTCCCACTACTTGTACAATGCTATCGCTGCCGTATTAGCGAGTGAGACGATCGACTGAACGGAGACCCATATGCTATATACACCCGGCCTAGGGCCGTCTTTATTATGGGTGACTGAGTAGGCCGGAGGAGTTCGAAGTAAATACAAGAACATACCCTACTCCTACAGCCAAAACTGTCGATCGATAACCCAGGATTTCAAAACCTAAGGGCTTGGGAGTACATAGCCAGCGCTAGCACTAAGTTGGAGCAGAGTGACAGGCGGAAGATTCGCGTTATCGGCAGTCACCCAAATGCCGAAGCTGGTGTGGAACTACGTTCATATCAGGATACGTACAGGCGTTGAAAAACGCCGTAGATGGCACGGTCTACTTTGGGATACCAATTGGAGAGTTCCTTATAGATAGCCCATTACTTCTCGTGCCTAGAAATACCCCTAGATTGTCTTGCTCAATTGTAGAGCGCCATTACCATTGTTCTACATGTTAAACATATTCCTAAGATAGATAAATAATACTATATAGACATGATTGCTAATCGCCTACCATTTTTTAGTTTGAAATTTTTATTATATCCCCCAGAATATAGATAACATTAGGAGGACGTCGACCAGCGGGGATTTTTTAGCATGCCATACCTTGTTGGCCTTTTGAATAAGATGCTCTCTTGCAACCTTCTCCCAAGGTGTTTTATACAAACAATGCAAACAGGTCAATATCACATGATTTAAGGGGTCGGGCGGGTATTAATAAAATACCGGAGGTCTGTTATTAAGTAGCAAAAAGGGGAGTGCAAACAGTATAAACAGAGCATATTATGCAAACACCAAGGCATGATAGTCTTACTAAGCATATCCAATCGTCTTGGCGCTTAATTTCGCACGTGACTAATGACTTTGATTCTCACTTGAGATTATCTGCCGGCGGCGAAGCAGCTCTATCTTGACAACATTATACCGTTAGCTCTCTATTAATCGCCTGGATTAGCTTAAGCATAGTCGCAAAAATGACTACAGGTAAGTAATAGCTTACTTATTCAAGGAAAATCACTGTCACTGACTCGAAATTTAGCCCATAGACCAACATTCGACCCAGTACGTCAAATATCAACATCCTTTAATTATGCTTCCAAAAGCTCACAGTTATGATAGGCTAGAGGGAAAGAGGCTCAGAGAGGGCCTGCTTACCACCAGCGACTTCTCCCAGCGCATACTCTTCTCAAAGTCAGGTATGGAGGCATCTACGGCGCTTTTCATACCATCGTTATTGACCAGACGCCTTTTTCTTATACAGACAACCGGGCCAAGGAGGTGCTGCGGATGCGCAACCGGAGACACGCGACTTGCGCGCCGAGCTCTTGAGAGCTGAAGCTGCCCATATCGCCAAAATTAAGGGTGTGGATGGAGGATCAGGGTCGCCTAGCTCTGCTACTGAACCATCCATTCCCAAGCGACAGTTAGAAGCCGCCCGGGGCCAGGACGAAAACGCAACCGAAGACCCAGAAGCAAAACGGCGGAGGATACTAGAGGAGACACGAGATATAGATGCCGATTCAGACGGGGGAGATTCGGACAGTAGCGAGGAAGACAGGTAAGGATGGGCTCCCAATCGCGTCTTAACCCTTTCCCAGGGCCAACACTAAAGCTTTATTTGTAGTGACGACGACGAAGATGAAACCGCAGAACTAATGCGAGAATTGGAGAAGATAAAAAGAGAAAGGGCAGAGCAAAGGGAAAAAGAGGTTAGTTGGAACGCCCCGATTATTGAATTAAACGACTGACAGTCAAATAGGAACAAGAACAAGCGGCAAAGGAACAAGAGCAACGAGAAGTCGACATCGCTCGAGGGAATCCGTTACTCAACACGCAAGATTTCAATATTAAACGACGGTGGGATGACGATGTTATCTTCAAAAACCAAGCCCGGGGGACCGAGAATAAGGGTGACAAAGAATTTGTTAATGTAAGCCATCCACCTGCCCTGCCCCTCCCTCCTTCATCCTTTTACTTATATCGTACAATCCCCCTTCAAGCGTGCATGTTTAGCTAACTCGTCTCCTCACAGGATCTACTACGATCCGACTTCCATAAGCGATTCATGGTTTGTTTACTTCCGACTCGTCCCATCATAGCTTCTATCGAACGGTGTGGAAAGCTGACTTCTCTGGTAACCTAGTCTAAGTATGTTCGGTAAGCCAGTAGGGGCATGGGGGCGTCACGGATTTCGCCACCGTGAGCTGTACGCTATTGTTGAGGGGATTTGGAGGGGCGGCGACGCATAAACTTTATCGTGTTCTATACCAGGTATACATTGAATTGTATTATTGATTTTGTTTACCTTACCCTCCTTTTGCTCGTGTATCGCATGTGCAAAAGAAATGGTCTAATATCCCTGCCACAACGATAGTCCTCTCCAGTTTCTTCTTCGTGTGGCTGTGCTCAGCCTCAGATCTCGATCATCGCCTTGCACCACATCTCGTCGCTTGTGGCAAAAGCTCCATCCCCCTTGGCGAGCTCCGGCACAGCCACAGGGAGGCCATCTCTAGCGATATCCTCGAGCCAAGTGGCGGAATTAGCACCGGGTGTCCCTGTACCCTGAATTTCCCGTGTATATTTCCCTCAAACCACGGACCCCATGGGACGCATCGCACGTTTCTCCGGCCCTCGATGAGCCTATGCAAGGGTGCTACGCCTCGATCGAACAAGCTCGAATAAGCAGTGGAGAAAGGTGAAACTCACGGCGTCGATGCGGGGTTCGATCGGGATAGATGCGAGATCGCAATTGGCTTGTAGCAGCATGACGCCAGCCATCTGCTAGAGCTAACTCCCATGCTATACTGGATGTATATGGAGTAATTATACTACACTATACGTATATGCTTGGACCCGATCCATCCCACCCTTGCCTAAACATGCTTTTGATGTCGTCCCCCTGTATCAAGACTGTCAGGCCAGCCGGTTGGATCAATCACATCTCCCCGCCCCCTCCATCCATCCATCCATGGACAGATTGCGTCTTCGCGTTCTGCACCCGTAGACTGATACCCACCGTCTGCCGTCTTTACCAATTGCACCCCCGAAGTTGGCAGGCGTGACGTTCATCGTGCAATGGATTGGGTTTGGAGTAGATCCAAACAGGTGGAGGGGTAATTATCGCCGTCATAGGGGATGCTGTCGTCCGTCGTATAGATATAAAAGGGCCCCTCTGTCTTCCCCCTCGATTAGAACCACACCAAATCTTTACGTTTCTACATTCACAAACTCCAATCTTCTTGCTCCTTTCAGATACTTCTCAAATCTCAAAGCTATTTTAGCGCAATACCCCCATTCACAATGTCTTACAACCGTGACAACAACGACAGCTACGTATGTGGCCTTGCCCCCTGATTCTTTGCTATAGAGATGTCCTACTGCAATGCAATTGGTCTCATATAGCTAACATTGGCATAATAGTCTGGTGGCAACAATGACAGCTACGGTGTATGTTCCATTCTGTCACCCCCAAGTAATACAAATGCTGACGAGGGGTGCTCCAGTCCTCTGGCCGTTCCGGCCTAGACAGCAATGATACCTACGGATCATCAGGCCGATCAGGCCGATCAGGCAACGATGACAACGACACCTACGGATCCAACAAGTCTTCCAGCAACACCTACGGCTCTTCCGGCCGATCTGGAAATGACGACAACGACACCTACGGATCCAACAAGTCTTCCAGCAACACCTATGGCTCTTCCGGCCGTAACGACGACAACGACACCTACGGATCCAACAAGTCCTCCAGCAACACCTACGGCTCTTCCGGTCGTAACGACGACAACGACACCTACGGATCAAACAAATCCTCCAGCAACACCTACGGCTCGTCCGGTCGATCTGGTAACGATGACAACGACACCTACGGATCCAACAAGTCTTCCAGCAACACCTACGGCTCTTCCGGCCGATCTGGCAACGACGACAATGACACCTACGGATCCAACAAGTCTTCCAGCAACACCTACGGCTCCTCTGGCCGATCTGGTAATGACGACAACGACACCTACAGCTCTACCAAGACCTCTTCCGGCAACACCTATGGCTCTTCCGGCAACGACGACAGCTATGGATCTAAGTCCCGTGGTGACAACGATACCTACGGATCTAAGTCTCGCGGTGACAACGACAGCTACGGATCCAAGACCCGTGGTGACGATGACAGCTACGGCTCCAAGTCTTCCTCTGGAAACACCTATGGTTCCTCTGGCAATGACAACAGCGGATCTGGATACTCTCGTGGAAACGACGATGATGATGACCGCAACAGTTAGTTAGCCCCTAGCCCTCTTCTACCCGTCGATGGCGTCTCTCTTTGCGAGATAGTGCTAATCGTAGTCGCTGCAGAATCTACTACCCAGAAGGTCCTTGGCAAGGTTGGCGATATGATCGGTGAGAAGCTCTCTGGCTCTGGCTCTGGCAGCCGCGGAGGATCCGACTCCAACTACTAGACCCTTTTTAAGCTGCAAGGGGATTACCTGCAGTTGTGGCACTTTCCTGCCACATATGACAGTCACTGAACATGTTTGAATGTAATTGTGTCACTGGAAATATTTCCTTCATTTGGAACGAATTGAATGCTAGTATTTAGGCTCATTTTTGTGTGACCATCAATAATGTAACCCACCTACAATCTTATGTATCATTTATTACCTATTCAATATGATATCCATCGGAGCTTGACTTTCGGTTCTCGCACGCTCACGTGTTTAGGCATCATGTGACTGATTAGCTGATAAGATAAGATTAGCTATCCGACACTCTAAAACCTTCTTTCTACCTGGTGAAGTCGTTCGTATCTCAACCAAATCTCATCCGTAGCGACTGTTGTATGAGGGTCGACCATCCTCTATTGTACTGCTATAACCGTCGCGATGGCTACGCAGCAACCAACCTCCCGCGCTCTACATGGTAAGCAATTTGGTTTGCCCGAACCTGCTACACGTCAAGCGATTGGTCTAACAGCTTCCCCCGAAATTTATGATACAGCACGAATTAATGCGGACATAACTCAGCTTCTTCAGAGGTTTGAGAACATTATGGCCGCAGCAACAGTATGCGAAAACCCTTTAATTTTGGTGTCCCAAACCCCCGCACCTTGATTGCTAAATTGAGGGGTTACTAGGTAGACAATCCTAGCCGCACATCCTCCGCCATTGAATCGTATCAGTTGGACGTCGAATCAACAGCTCTTGTTAGTTTCTCCTCTTCTAGATCTGTGCCAAGATTTAAGCTGGCTCTTGGTTGAATATCCCAATCACAGGCCAATCCCGTTTGCTCCGTCTATAAACCCCGGACCTAACATATATTGATAGATCCGTGCTGCCGAAGATATACTATCGCTTACTCGCACTTTGAAGGAGACATGGCTATTTGGGAAGCTGGACACCCTTGGCGAAGATGAGAGGGACATCCAGAGGCGTGAGCAGTTGGAAAAGGACGTGGAAGCAGTGAGAGACGTGATTGAACAAAGACTACAAGCGGAGTCAGAAAGGAAATGACCTGTATAGCTGTTATTATCGTTGCCCACTTTATTCCGCGTGGGAGGTTGCCTTTTGTCGATTTTACCTGGAGTTAGCTGCGGATGAGTTAGGTTCTGCTGGAGGCGTTCAGGTGTATACTCATTAGATGACGATACCCCAGTTATATTGTTTACTTAAGATTTTTTATCCTAAGTATTGCATTGTCTTACTATTTGTAGGAGAGTTCTGTGTAATCATAAAGCGAGGGAGCATGGAGGGCATATACACGCGGCATTCAAATCTTTAACTAGCTATGGCCCCTCCCCACTTTATACGAGCTGCTTGAAGAGAGCATCTGTATCACGCCTCCCAATAACTCGACGAAAACAACTAAATATACTATACATATACCATATTTCACGCTTGAATACCGCTAGAAGCTCCTCCTTACAACCTCGAAATGACCAACGAACCCGAGAACGCAAACATGCCCGCCAAACTCCCACCCCTCACCCTCGTCGTCGCGACCACCCCGATAACGACAGCTGCAAACCCGGGAGTCCGTAAACTCGGAATTGGTAAAGGTGGTACATTGCCATGGCCCAAAATAAAGACAGACATGAGCTTTTTTGCGCGTGTAACGACGCGTCCTCCCCCTGTCGCCGCATCGTCAGCAACGCCTACACCGGCCATCAACGCCGTAATAATGGGAAGAAAGACGTATGACTCGATACCTGCAAGATTCCGACCGCTATCTAAGAGGCTTAATGTCATTATAACGCGTGATGAGTCCGGATCCGTCAAGGAACGGGCAATCGCAGATTGGAACGCGTCGAAGCAGCGAGAATTAGAGAAAGAAGCAAAAGAAAATAACCAAGAGAGCAGCAAGTCAACATCTATAGGGGAGCCGGAGATTATAGTTTCCAACAGTTTGGAAGCTGCACTTTCTACTTTACAGAAGGACTTTGGTTCAAGCTCGTCGTCGGGCGTGGAAGCCGGAAAGAAACCACTGGGGAATATATACATTATGGGAGGAAGTGAGATATATATGTCTAGCTTACGGCTGACTCCAAGCGTCCTTGGGGAGAACAACCCGTTGAGAATTGTGATGACCGATGTTCGACGTCGGGGGGAGTCTGACTCAAAATCTGATGTCGAGAACTTGGTTGACGGATTCGAGTGTGATACTTCTTTCCCCGTCGATCAAAAGGGCATGGAAGAAGGATGGAAGAAAATTTCCTCGAAGGAACTTGGGGAATGGGTTGGAGAGGAAGTATCGCCAGATTGGACTTGGGAGGGAGACGTTGCGGTGAAGATGTCTGGATATGAGAGGCTATAATACAGAGCTCATTAGGACCATTGTGAATACACTTATACAGTTCCTTGTAGGGTTACTGGCTTGAAATCTACACGAGTATCTTGGAAAAGCAATTTCAAAGATGGAAACATTCTTCTTCGATACAGAATCTATCTATATGCAGTTATAGCGATTTGAATATACAAGACACGCAAACAATCGGCTGAACAAGTGTATCGGTAAATGATGAGATAGAAAGTATAGCACTCAAAATGAAAATGAAAAAACGCCTCTGCAATGCGCCATTCTAACGCAAAAATAAAGGCCCTTGTAGCTCGAAAGCTGCATAGGGATCAACGTATTGTAATATACCTTCTCCATGCCGGGTGTGGCGCAGTGGGAGAGAAAAATGGCGACAAGAATGATTGGAAATGGAAACAATGATGACCACAAACCGCCAGCTGTCACTCCTAAACTTGCGTTCATCTAGCGAACGGGGGTGTTTTTTATAAAGGTTATAAAGGTGAATGTTAATGTACTGAGGCTGAAGCCTTTTCGGTCTCTTTCATAAACTTGACGAACGATTTCTTATGTACGAGGCCTGCATATTGGCCGTCGCGGAGAACACACATGTACCGAAGGCCTAATTTGACGAAGCATTGGTAGACCAGGTTGATGGGTGAATGGATATCCAGTGAAACAGGCGACTAGAATATGTAAGTTAGTGATAAATGTAAACTACAAGCGGGTAGGGATAGGGAACATACCGGGTCGATATATTGAGTGAAATCAGTCACATCCATTTCGTCGTTCTCTCCTTCTGCTAGATATGATGATTGCATAGACATCAAGCACATCGTATCTTGCTCGGATTCTAATTTGTCAAGCGCGTACTCCAGTTCCGGGGCAGGTATCAAGCCCACAAGGATATTCTTGTTTAATATCGGGAGTCCACCGTCCAATTCGCCAGCCATCAAGAGCATGTCTAATTTCTCTCGTAGCTCAGTTGCGCTGACCAAGGGAGAGTTCGAAATGTCGATGATTCGGTTCCTTCTGACACGGGGCACGATATCTCCCAGCTCAATGTTGGAGATCGGATGTAGTTTGTTGTCGAGGAACGGGTAGGAGTTCATGTCGGTTAGGAGATCATATATACTCAAAGGTTCGACAGCGTTCGAAACCCATTTAGCGCATAATATCGCTAGAGAGAATGGAAGGACATGGTCCAGACTGCCAGTTAGCTCAAATAGGATAACAACGAGTGTTAAGCTTAGTCGAGTAACACCACACATTGTCGAGCCGGCAGCGATGAGTGCGTAGACACCAGGGTTCACGCATGATTCCGCCATCCTCGTGCTTGGACACTGTCCGAAGAGGAAGAAATTCGGGTAATGGACGACAAAGTATTGTGCAACGTGGCCAACAATTCTCCCCATCAGACCGCCGACAACCATAGAAGGAACGTAGATTCCAGCCGGTAACTTGATGCCAAAGGTAATGGTGGTGAGGAACGCTTTGATGACGAACGCTACTAGGAGGTACTTGATAACGCTGGGAATGCCTTCTCTTGTAGGGCACAGGCCGGTTCCAGCCTCGTTATTCCCCTCATAATCACATGGACTGGCAAGTTCGAAAAGGAGTTCCGACACCGCGAGTTTGGTATACCGATTCCAGAAACTGAGTAGGCCAGTTATTAAGGCTACCAGGACGACTTCGAGCATTGGCCACTGTTTGATAACAGGGATGCGACGGAATGTCTGGGCCCAGTGCTTTGAGGCTTTGATGAAAAGGGCGCCAAAGGCTCCACCCAGGACACCAAGGAGCATGAATATGGCAAGCTCGAATATTTCCCAATCAGATACATAGCGGACTTGGAAGAGAACGATTTTTCCTGTTTGATACGGATTGAGGAACTTTAGAGAGAGAGCAGCAGCCTAGTAATGACGTTAGCTGATATAACTTTAGGGTCTATGTGATTCTTGGACACTTACAATGCAGCAAAAGAATGTTCTGAATAGTGTCTTTGGAGGGAAGTAATAGCTAAAAAAAAGACAAATACGTTAGTTGTGCAAGTGACAGCACGCCGTAATATGGTTATAAACATACCTGACTTCCTCCAGACTGAATAAGACGCCTCCGATGGGAGCTCCAAACGCAACAGCAACACCACTGGCCGCACTAGCACTCAATACCTCACGCCTCTTCCCGTCATTGTAATGATACTTGGAGAATAATCGGCAACTAATGTTACCAATAGCAGTGGCGATATGAACATAGGGTCCTTCTTTTCCGACACTTAAGCCCGATGCAACACTTAGCACTAATGCCAGAGTCTTGACTACAAGCGTCTTAAAGCCCAGGTATCCGTGCAGGATAAAGCCGCTGAGGATGACCTTCACCTCGGCGACACCACTTCCTGCGGCCGAGTAATATACCATGGGTGGCGGAACAGTATCCTGGGTGGGTCGAACATCGAGATTTGTCTTCCTAGGACGTGCGGGATCATCGGACGATCCACTAGCTACGGCACCAAAGTCCTCGTCTAGCGTAGTGAGGGAAATCGATGACGGAACTACTGTTTTGGTAAGCAGCGTGAGAGAGCAGGATGCAGCTGCGAGCAGCACGGCCCAGAAAACAAAGGCAGCAAAGTCGATCCACATGCTGTCAACGGTGGAAGACTTTAATATTTCAGACCACGAACGCCATGCCATGCATGCACCCTCTGAGGGACAGCAGTGTTTCTTGCTCATGAACCAATTGTTGCTGCAGAAGCCTTCTTTCAAGTCGTAGATGACGATCTCGGTAACGTCGACAAAGTAAGCTGTGCAGGCGGTAAGAATGCCGATGATAGCAACCAGGACCCAGCCCTGAGCGCCATCGAACCATGCCAACAGCCGTCCACGAATGTCACGTCGACTCCGGAGCTCTCGCAGTCGTATTCCATCTGCAATAGTATCGTGAACCCAATCTGTAGACGTGAACTGGTCGTACCAGACCCTGTCGTCCGAGTATGGGGAATTATTTGCCGTCGATTCATGATCGGGCTCGGAGGTTATAAACTCGGCCGTCCTGTTTGGAGCAAACCTGACTGCCTGAGAGTTTGCTCGACTATGGCTCTTGGACATGCGTAGACTACCAACATTGCTGTTATGCCTGAAGAAGGCATCTGGCCTAGGAGAGGCCGGGTTGGTGCTGTAGCCGCGCTGGTGGTGGTGGTTGCTGGCGTCCAGGAGACCGGTCCTTTCGTCCATATCTCCTGCTCGTCGTGGGATGCTGAATCGGATATCGGGAAGACGAGGAGCACTGTCCTGTCGGTGTGCTGCTGGCGAAGGGGGTGATGTTACCGGCAGCGTCCTCGAGTTATCACTAGTGCTGTCACCACCTCCAGTGCCTCCCCCGTCCGTCATCGAGCGTGATGGCGCGGCTCGAGGCATATCGCAGGACCTAACAGGAGGGAAAAAAGTATACACGTGCGTGCGGTTTGGTTTCTAGCTTCTAATACGGATTAGTTAGCCTTTGAACTGTTGATAACACCGAGCATACTCATAGGATCTGTCAGATAGTTTTGGCCGCTTCGGAGGTCAGGCGGTAGAGCAAGCCCGCAGAGGCGGTTAAAGGCCACGAGTATGTGAATAGCACACAGCGAGCGTCTTCGAACAGCACACAGCGAGGGTATTCGAATAGCACACAGCAAGCTGCGATACGATAGGGCTAAGGACGGGGGAGCTCGCAGTAGACCACATACTACCAGAGCAAGGAGCTTCGTGTTCGGTACTTACATCGCCATGAAGCAGCGGCCGTGGAACGTAGGAGGGAAGAAAAAGGTCAACGGCGAGGGGGCAGACGACGACCGCATCATCTGACTCCGACAGCAACCCCTTGGCCCAGATATACGGAGTAAACGAGGGATGGAGCAAACGACTGGCGGAGACCAGAAAGTTGACGCTGCTTGAGGTCGTGATGCGCGCGATCTCCCGGTCACGTGTGGCTCCTTCGTTACTCTCTTCTCTCTACTCTCTTCTCTACTCTACTTACTCTACTTACTCTCTACTTGCTCTCTACTTACTCTCTTCTCTACGGGTTCTACTTACTCTACTCTTCTCTATTTTATTCTACTGTTCTCCTTACTGTCGAGCATGACCCACGTTGCCTCTGCCTCAGCATGGGTGAGCGGGTAGGGTTCCTAGCGCATACTAACGCGAGGCTAATGTCTTGGGCGTCAGGCTCATTTTAGGGTCAGTCTCATTTTGGGGTCAGTCTCATTTTTGGGGTTGAGAAGTCGACGGCCTTTCGACCTCACCCTGGCCTCTCGGAAGACCTTCGGAAGGCCTTCGGGAGACCTTTTAAGGAGAGGGAGACAGGTCACGGTGGCCGCTGGTCAGGTGTGCATATACCAGCTACTGAGTATATACGGAGTACAAGGATGCTTCGTGCGACATGACATCGCCTGTTGAAGCTGTCGCCGTTCTCGTTGCAACCTGCCCAACACATGGATGGATGACGTGCAGTCCGGGGAAAAATCCCTGCGCCTTCAGGTGTTATATAATCGAACAAGCGGCGGCCTGATAGAAATATACCCCGCGCTGGAACCGGGAGCGTGTCGATCATAATGCAGGTGGCCCTGCTGATATATCTGGATCAGATATCTCGTTGGGAGGCCAATATAACAAGCATTTTTTTTGACCCTCGATGCTCTGCTACAGCTGCTGTCATATGGCTCGAGGCACGGGCCGGTCTAGAGCTTTTGCCTGTTCAACGGCACGGTTAATCTACCTTAATCTATCAACCGGTTGATGCGCGGCACGGCGTATACCCCCTCGTCTATAGATGTTGGAGCTGGACTGCCTCTCGACCATACGATACGACCTTGAGCTGCACCCTCATCCTTATCACGGCTGCCGGAGAGCTGTACACGGTCATGCTCATGGCCCAATGCGGTCGACCTTGTCCACGATGGGGTCCGGTTATTATCTTCGGGGCAGTGGGAGTGATGGTCCACAGGACGTACGGCATGGTCGTCGGCTCTAGATATGATAGCCTTAAACCGATCTACCCATCTCATCTGTGGCTCTCCGAGGGGAAGTGTGTGTCGGGTTACACGGCAGAGTAGTCTGGGTCTGGTTTCTATATGCTACCTCATCCATGGCCGACAGAACTCCCTATCGACGAACCCCTCGACAGGAGATATAAGTTGCTTGCTCTACCCCGACGATGTGCTGCTCCCTTTGATTCTAGTCTCCTTCTTCCCTTCTAAATATCCTGGACAGCCATCAGTTCGGCGCAGCAAATAGTACCATTAACAGTATACTTCTGATATCTTTTGTACCTATCCTATATCTCCCAGCTACCGTACTCGGTCGATCGCATCTAGCCATGAAGGCGCTATATAGTACCTCATTTTCTGTTAGTATAAAGGTAGGTCCACCGTTTCTTGTACCTCTTAGCTGCATCTGCATAGTAAAGGTACCTATCAACCTTCGCGGACTTTATTTAACCCGCCAACCTTAAGCGGTGTCACTTTGTACTTTCGTGAAGTTATCATGTTCGACCTCTGCCCCTATCCACGGGTCGACGTCGAGTGATGTCGATGTCAGCTCCTCTCTTGCTAGTCTACATATACCACTGTCATGCTATGAGAGGGAGGTGCTCTATTCTATTCCATCCATTCTCTCCTTTGTCGATTTAGCTGCACCATCCATATAGCCCAGACGAATATCTAATTAATCCATATAGTCGACGTCGACGGCCCTTTTGAACGTCATCCTAATACTAGGGCTCGTCATGACAACTGAGATGTCGTTTACCGAGGGCTATGTGACCGCAGCTTCATATATCCCGTACGACCAAATCCTTCTCTTTGGAGACTCGATCACCCAGTTTTCAGAGTGGCAAGGGCGTGGTTTCGCTTTTGCACCACAGGTACAAGATGGTCAGTCTGGTTGATCCGATATTTAGCTCTCACGATCATCGATTGCACATTATCAGACGAGAACACCCGTTAACACTTACATAGATTACATTCGAAAACTAGATGTGCTCAATCGTGGATTCAGGTACGAAGGCGAGATGATGCTGTTTTAATCGCTCTTCCATGCCGTGGCCAGTTCGCTCATTCCTAGGTGCCTGGTAGTGGATATACGTCTTCCCAAGCACTGAATGTGCTGCCTCAATTCTTCCCACCACCGCAGGTCGCGAAAGTTCGCATGATGGTAAAGCCTACTTTGTCTATGAGGTGCGCTCTACATAAACTTGAGCTAACCTTGGGATAGACTGTATTCTTTGGTGCAAACGACGCCGTTCTTCCCCCTGGAGACCAATACGTTCCTCTGGACAAGTATAAAGCAAACCTAAGAGATATCATTAGACACCGCATAGTTCGCTATGGAGGCACCAAGATTGTCCTGATCACTCCACCCCCTGTTAACGAGTACCAGCTCACGGCATTTGACCTGTCAAAGGGACTCACGTCTTTATCACGCACGGCAAACAATACCAAAATGTATGCTGATGCGTGTCGCGAGGTCGGCGAGTCTCTCAACGTAGCTATTGCCGACGTCTGGTCTGCTTTCATGAAAGAGGCCGGCTGGGTTGCTGGACAGCCAGTCGCGGGATCGCATGATATCCCTGAAAATCCCAAATTGGCTGCCTTGTTGGTTGATGGTGAGAAACAAATTATCCCTATCCAAAGACAGACACTCAGGAGAGGCTGGCATATGCTAACCTACTTCAGGCCTCCACTTTACCCCGGAAGGATATAAAGTGATGTACAATGAGGTTCTCCGCGCGATCCGGGCGTATTACCCTGAAGAAGCCCCTGAGAGGCAGCCTGTCCACTTCCCGCCATATCAGTTTGCTGAAAGCGCATAACCGCGCCGTTGATTGCTTTCCCAGCCATCCTGAGACGGATGGGATATGGCAGAAGTAGGGGATTCAGACATTTCTTTCGCAAAGCTTTGGTAGCATGCGGTGCGGGCGTCCGGCTATAGCGCTGTTCTAACATACCTCCGAGCCCTTGTCTTGCAATAATGAGATGATGGACATCTGGTTTCAGATTCAGATATGCTGGGAGACGCCGGTAGTTAATCGTAAATCTTCTTTCCCTTGTCCAGTTTCATCGGTTGAACTGAATTGATCCATCCCTGGGTCACGATCTGCCCCGGGCCATCTTGGAGGAGCTCATGTAAATATAAGACAAAGCGAGCAAAGAAAGAAACGCCTACAAATATCCCCTGCTGGCCTGTTTCGCCCCATGCAAGCTAAATATATTAAAATAGCATTACATAACCTGGTGTTTCCCCTAGGTTGAAGTCAGAAACACGAGTCGAACTACTTAGTTGTTACCCCATCCTCATTGAAAGACACCATCTACCTCCCTTGACCGCGAGATACTGACCGGCGCAGCTCTTCTACAGACGAAACCGCCCTGTCGAACGAGAAACAAGCGACAAACCTGACTGGAATCGCCCGTTAGCCACTTGGTCGGCTGTTACACCGGGCTTTAGTCGTCAACTAACTAGCCAAAGAACGGAATTGCATCCAACGAGATCAACTGAATCCAGCGCCCCGAACGACCAACGCTCCCATTCGATCCTTGCGCCGTCTGCCATAACACGAGCAGCTCATCCTCCACATCCTCCTGCTAGCCGCAGACATCGAAGCCGAGATCGCGTTTACCTGCCACTAGCTGCTCCAATCGCCACAGTTTAGCTCGTTGCTGAGGGGTTCACTCTGCCGACCATCTAATCGAACTACCCGGCACGAAATCCTTTAAACGACCTCCTCACGTTCAATAGGGCGACTCCTGTTTAGCTGGCCGCACACCCTCCAGCCCTGAGAAGCGCCGGTGGCCGCCGATTCCTCGGATTCCTACGAAACGAACGAATATTCCAGATAGCAGTACCGGCGTGAGGCTACACAACTTGGAGGAAACGCGTTTAGCCCGGTGGGCGATCCCGCCATCAGGCTGCACCCTCCAGCGAATATAGTGCGAAGGCGAGAGTTATCTACACATACCGGCGGCTGGCCTTGGAACGATACGGACCCAGTCCATTGAAAAGAGAGGGGTCTAAAGGCTTCATTGTCTTTAGCAGGATTTTGCATTCTATGGTCCGCTGCTAGCGCTGGAATCGTGCAGCATCGTTGCTCTGTACTGTAGCTCGCAAGGGAGAAGTTGTCGTTGCCGACGGCTAAGCCTTTTCCCTGGTATTTTACTGCGCATTCCCGCGCCTCCTGGATGTTCGTTGCAGGGTTGGTCACCAATACTCATCTCTCGCTCTCTAACACCACACTGGCTGTAAAGGAAACGTCAGGTTCGAACGCGACGGTGGTGATAGAAGGTGGTGGTGTTTCTGGCAGGACATGGACGCACGATATTCTTTCGCAACAAGAGACGACATCTGGCGAGTACACGAAGAAGTGAAAGAACTGTCCGCCACTCAGGCCGAGCACGCGGAACGGTTGTCAAAGCTTGAACGCAGGAAGGAAGATGATGCTAAGATGAAGAGCCTCTGGAGTCCATTTTCACCTCTCCCTTCTAGTGCCAGCCATGGAAATCAAGGTGAGTCCTTTACTCAGTCCCTTGCATGCAATTTATCCGAGCCACAAATGATAAATAAATATACGTCGAAGAACACTGGTTGATTGTGATATGATTGCTACTTTTTAGAAACTGTGTTTAATGCAGCAGCTGAACCTTTCAAGGGGTTTGATCAAGCCCACCACCATGGCCTTGGGACACATATGAGCATGGAGCACGAAGATGAACCCAGGCGCGGGGCATCGAGGGCGAACAGCGTACGTTTCGATGAGAGTGCAATGCACGGGTATAATAGCCATGGAAACCGCTCTGCAGCCGAGCTCGCGCCCGCCCGTACGGGGAGTGGAATGGGAGCCCACCCACTCACCGAACGATCTTTCTCCCATAGATCAGACGGGAAGCAGAGTTCTTCCGGGCAATCACACCACTCTGCACGCACATATAGCTTGGAAACATCTCGAGTAGATAGTTCCTCTACGACCACGACTCCTGCCAGTCAACTTCCTCCCCTCAGACCACCCCCTGGCCTTTTTATCCTTGGCCCAGTCCCATGCATTATTAGATGCTGGCTCACAACTAGCTTCTCTAATGATTCCTTGCTCTATGCTGCGATTTGCACCGGTGCTTATTCGTCTGCAGTGGCCTATCCATTGATACAAAAGCTTGGATTAGAGGGTGATATTACAGTGGAAGATGGTGCACGCACCATTAAACTACCTGTCTATTTCCCCGAGGCCAGTGTCTGTCGGCCGTCTTCGCGCAGCTCCAGCCCCGAACCTCATCTCCCAGCATTGACAGTTCGATTCTTCGTTCGTGATATAGACCAGGAAGACCAAAAAGCAATTTCTATTTTTATCGGGAGCGACGTTCTTCGAGTCCATAATGCGGATATCCTCTTTTCTCAAGATAAGATGTACGTTGTTGATGACGCGAGAAATAGAATTTCTATTCCTCTGGTTCGGCCCGAGGACCACGAATCATTCCGATGCCTGACGACCATGCCACGGAAATCATTATCCCAGGCTTCCAAGACCAAAGATACCGATGACGCCACCGCATCAGAAGCAGATAATTCTTACCCAGAGCAAGCAGCAGGTGTCATCGGTCATCGCCCTAGCCTTAGTCAACGCCAGCCCTCGAAATCTGTACTCTCGCTGAGGACGTCATCCGAGTCTCTAACAGGGCGTGACAAGGACCGCTCAGCTCACGCCATCAGCGACTCAGAGGATAATACCTCCGATCTGGTTATTCCCAAGTCCGCAACCAGTGAGAAATCGCACAGGCCGAGTACCAAGAGCGAAGAGGGGAGTGGGCTCTGGGGCTCATGGAGGCGCGACGCAGCTCCAACTACCTCTGCCACCAAACCGGATCAGCCGATATCATATGTCGCCGCGTCACAGCGCCCTACAGTCAGACGTAACATGAAAGTATTAAAGCCCACCAAAACGCTTACACGGTCAACACCAGGAAACGGCACAACAACAACCAATGCCCCTGGTATGGCCCAGCTTTCTAGCACCGAGCGCCAGTCCTCCCACTCCGGAGACGGCGGCGCCTTCGGCCCCAGGTCAACGAGATCGACGAGCGGCGAAAACGGAGATGTCCTGAATTCTGTACATAACCATTCTAGCAGACCTTTAGCAGGAGACGGTTCATGGCCTGGGAAGTCCAGACCAAGTAACCCGATCGGCGGAGCTTCTGCGTTCGGGTGGTTGAACACGCAACAGAAACAGAACTCCACGACTCACGCCGAATGAGCTTCTAGACCTGAGTATGAGTATGATTTTATCGATAGCGGATACCGGGAAGGGAGGCTGGCTGATTGATTGTCTTGCGTGGGAACCGTTCTGTAATTATTTTAGTGCTGTATTTCATCGTCTCTGCCTCTAGTCAAGGGCCCATGTGATGCCTATATTTGACCACAGTACGTGTTTCTACGACACAGACGCTGTGCCTCTTTCCGCAATTTCCAACAATCCGAGCAGTAGAAGCAATATCCTCCTTAGTAGTTAGGGGTGGCCATGATGCACACCCCCAGCAAGATATCACCCGCACGGTGCCCATAGTAATTCATATGCAGTGCTGTATTCATCGTAAACGTCTGATTAGACATAGTACGCAATGGGCCGATAATGTGATTCTCTGTATATGGACAGAGTTGATAATTGATTACATGGCTGATTGGCCTCGTTGATCACTCCCTCTGCCTGTCCTTAGATCTTCCCCTTAGCACTCCGGTTCCTCGCTCTATTTACTGGTCTGCCCTAGGAGAAAAATACTACTCTAAGGAAACCTATATAGTGAAGGTCAGAGCAGAAGGTCATCTTTAACTACTTAAGTGCTCTGTAATACTCTACCTTGATATACAACTAAGGTGTATATAGCTAACTAGAGATAGATATTCACATCCGTCCCAATCTGGCAAGTCAGAAGTCAAAACACGACGCTTATCCTAATTTGGACAGGTTAGAAGTGACGAGCATGGCGCTTATCCTAATTGGGACCGGGAGTGAATGCTTGTCTTTAGGCTAGTCCCAAAGCGGATGATGTCTTTGCGCATCTCAAAGTCACGATGACATCACGCAAGTATATAAATCCTCTCCTCCAGCTCCTTTTGTTCTTCTCAACTTATCTCCCAACTTATGTTTTAACTGAGCTCTTAACTCATATTTTGACATATCTCTCAGCTCTCTCAGTCATGGATGATATGGGGGGTACCCAACAGGCCGCAACTGCGGCTGAAATCCAGGTCTCCCTGGAAAAGTGTGCCCAGCAGAGACAGCACTACTATCAAGGTCTTCGCGCGCTCTCAATCAGATTCGAGGAAGATGACACCGGTGCAGAACAAGATCTTCCAAAATTCAAAGTCTTGCTCGAACCGTAGGCATAGACTCTGTCGATGAATGCGTTTTAGCAGCTAGTGACAAAGCACCTGGATGGACTCTTCTGAACAGGATCCACGAACACCTTTCGCGGGGTCTAAAGCAATGTCTTGACCCATGGCTTGGTCGCTATTTAGTGATCACCCATTATTCAGGGCATGGGGCCGTGGGACCACTTCAAAGACTCTGGTTTAACGCAAAGCCTCATTCAAAGCCAAAATTTACCTTGAACGCACTTACAGGAAGCGTGGTGTACTCCTTTCAGGCGTCGGAGGTGCCTATAGACGCTGTGTTCATCATAGACAGTAGCGAAGCAGGGTCAGCGAAACTCAATATGGAAGTAGATGATACCTTTGAACTTCTAGCTCCTGTCCCTGAGCAAAAAACGGCCTCTCGTACCTTGGGTGCGCAAAACCAAAAACGAACTCTCGCTGCCGAGTTATCCAATGCTTCAGCTGTTACTCAAAGCAAAGCGCTGTCAGTCGACTTTGCAGAGCACTTCGACTCAGCGTACAGCTTTTCATTTGCAAAATTCCCTGTCCACAAGCTCTTATCAGGTCCGGTGTCTATCCCACAGAGCCCAACTACCGCCATCTAAGTCCCCATCCTTACGTCGACCCCACAGCAGGAGAACAAGCCCACTTAATCTCACCTTATGACAGAGAAAGATCGATACCCCTAAGGGAATACTCTTTAGTTGAAGTACTAGGCTTACTGTCTAAGCTACCTCTTAAGCCTTTTCTTCAAATGTACTTTTTACTCTCTTGGCCTACCCTCTTGGCCTACCCTCTAGGCTTATTCTCTAGGCTTATTCTCTAGGCTTATTCTCTAGGCTTATTCTCTAGGCTTGCCCTTTATGCTTACTCCTACTTTTAGGTGTTTTTCTTAAGAGTGTTTCCTTAGAAGAAATAAGCTTTCTAAAATACTATACCTCAGTAATTGATGAGGTAGTTAATGAGAGAGATGTGACTGTATTAAACCCCTAGAGATATTGTTATCAAATGTTTGAAGAAAAAAGTAGCCTTAGCTTCCAACAAGAACCAGTTAAGAAAGCTGTATGGAATGATGCTGCTTTATCAAAATTCGTATCTAGTTAGGTGAATGCTTTTTGTTTTCTCCGCTTTCACGTTGGTTGTTTGCTGTTCGCTAGAACCTCCCGAAGAATCGATTCGAGTCCCTCCAACTCTTATCCTGGCAGGCTTAATAGGCTTCCATCCTCTTCCGTACACTTGCAGATGATATGCAGTCGCTCATTGGCTTTGATATTCAATAACCTATAGACGGGGTTGAACGCTCGCCTAAGGCCTTGGCTACCAGCTGTGAGTTGGTCAAGATCAACCTCGAACGGAAACACGACTCGGGTAAATTCTTAAGTTGTATCTTGATTCAAAAAGTTTCTTTTGCATCGAACAATGAATCGTCGTGACTCTAGCTGCATTAATTCTTCTTTTAACTTTTAATACAAATATGTTTTTGTTTGCAGAAACAGATCATTTTAACCAGGCATATAGACATGACATCTATAGAGTGGGCTGTTTTTTGAAAGTAACATCCTTCAAGTTGGAGTATTGCAGGGCAAGGGATGGTCCTCAATCATTATCATCCTGGCCGCCCACAGCTTCACCGCCTCACTCTGCAGCACAGTTGTAGCTTCGAGCCTTAGCCCTCCACTGGACCTTGCGCAAGTCATCATAGCCAGGATAATGGACTTGAAGCTCGGATCCTTGACAGTTCGAATTTCTACATACCACGAATTAGAATATGGCAAGTCAAGTATGCATTATAACCAAGGAAAAACTTACGCATATAGGGTACACCAGGACCCACGGTCGGCACCAGCAGCATTAACACCGTTGACACCACCTTGGCCAGTTGGGAATTGATCGGTTATGGTAACTGTTCAATGGGTAAGCATGCCGTCATGGACTGTCGTGGGGTAATAGCCATATCTACTTACTGCAACTTCCAAAGGCAGTCCTATAGTACTCGCAGTGGCCCACGAAACCGGCACCGGAACATAGATATAAGCCGCCATGAGACGCCTCTGGGGTCATGATGTTCTTGATGCGCTGAGATCCATCATTAGGTCTGGTTATGATTTGTTGGTCGAAAGGTACGGCTGAAATTGGCAGGGCAAGGCACAGTAGAGCAGCAATTCTCAGGATAGAACCCATTGTGAAGTGATAGAGGGTATATGGTGTTTGTATAAGGCTTTGATGTTGGAATTAATCTGATGCTTGAGCTTCAAGTATGAGAATTTTCGGGGGAACGAAGGGCCTTTTTATAACTCATCCTGGAGAATGATGGCCGGTTCCGTCCGTTCAACAGCCGATTTCAGCCCTGGATGAGCTGGATATCTTCTTACTGGGGTAATTCCAGAATTTTCAAATACCTATTGACACGCTCCACTTGATAACTAAACGTAGTCATGTGAAGCAAGCCATAAAGACCTTTAAACCTGAATCTGCCAAGTGAAGCTGAGGGAGAGATGCAGATATCGCGAAATCGCGAGTCTAGCCCTTCCAGCTGAAGCGCGTTACCTTGTTGCATGCATTAGTACATAGGTTTATTTGACGTGGACTGCCTACCGCAAGGCCAAAGCAGAAATGCATGCATACCCCCAGCTGAGCCCGTGAGGTAGGGAATATAGAAAAGCAGTTCGCAAACCGAGCAGTCAACTGGCAAAGATGGAAACCCAAGCGTGCTATTTCAATGGCGTCTAAAAGTCTCCTGATATTAGCCTTCAAGGAATTCTTTTGAGCAGGGGAATCTGAAACTTAAGCGGGCTACATCATCATGCATCAATACGCCGAATCCCCTGTCCGAAGCTCGCCAATATGCACACTTTTCGCTGGCATCAATCAAATCATCCTTGACCCCTCACGCTTCTGAACTATAAAATTTATATAGAAAAAAACCACATGGACTTGTTTATATCGCAATCTCCTATTTGAGGAAGAGCTCAATTTATGATTACTCTTCCTACTTTACCAGTCGAGCTGATTAGCCAGTTATCGACCTCAGGTCCTGTCTCTAACTATAAGTATCCAGCCATAACGCCGCTAGAGAAGCCTGAGTCCTCTTGAATTATCACTTTTCATCGTCATCTGAGGGCATATCGTACTTCAGCATCCTTCGCTTTCTGGGCAAGATGTCGAAGACCTGCAACTTACAGCCCACGACAGAATAACCATTGTAGCCAACGTAACAGGGAGAGAAGGACGGACAAATAGGATGGTCATCGACTGAGCCATAGGCTCTTTGCGTAATAAAAGCTGCCACAAGTGTCCAGTTCTGATATAAAGAACATATCTAGCCAGTGTAGACTAGGTATAGTATTTGTGTTGAAGCAATCGCTCCACGGAAGGATTGAACTATCGGGGTTTAATTCACTCGCGCCATAAATCGTAGAGTGAGAAGAAATGTTGCACCAACGGATGGTTGATGGTGGATGGATGAAGGGAGAGGAAGCGAATGCCGTATATACGAGGCAGTTGTCTAGGTAACTAGTTAACTAAAGTAAAATATTGTTAAACATTCCCTTATAACGCTGCTCCAAACTCTTTGGCTAAATAGACCAGATTTTATGAGATTATTGAAGACTCTAGATATGTAGGTATTCTTTTCCCTACCTTATGGAAAATATGCATAATATAGTTACTAAGCTAACTCCGTTTAGCGCTGTCAAAACCCCTTATTCTACGACTGTCTAGACCATAACTACGACTTTGGAATACTTTACGGAGCATAATATACTTCTAGATTTTCATGACGAAGATGGGATAAATTTGCCAGGCCGCCAGCCTTAAAATTTAGCTATTAACAGGTATCTTAAATTAATCCTCCACGCTGAGACTGGACATGGACTGTATCACCAAAACCAGAAGATCAATTGGTCTTGTAGATGATTAATTCAGGATTGTCGAAGAGAAATTCCTTCTTAATGCTGCTTTATGCCTGAGGAGCACACTTCAAAGCGCGGTATACTTCATCTCCGGGCATAAAGGTCTGGCATCCTTGTTGCAAAGTCCTGTGGTCAGGAGTATCCGAGCAATCCTCAGTTCTGCGTTTTATTAGCTTCTTCGTCTATCTTATAATCAATTACATCTTTAGTGAAGACGTACCGGTGTAGATCACAGTTGGTGATTCCAGTAAAGTTAATAGACCTATTATTTAGTTAGCAGTTGTTGGGGATTTGTAAATTATACGATGGCAATATTAGAACATACATGGCACCGCTGGCAGTAGTGCATTCGCCCTCGATGAGAGCAAGCTGGGATGCGACTGAGCATTGGTAATCCGGGTGACGGATTCCCTAGCTTTCTGTTAGACGGATGATATCATGACAGCCTTGGGACAACTTACAATAGTATCGCCCGGTGCGGCAATCACACATGGCACCACCAAGAGTAGCAAAGTCGTGAAGAACTGCATATTGCTTGTAGTAAGGGCTTTAAGATAATTCTCTTAAGGAACAAAAAGGCTGATAGGTAAATCAATATGAACTTATTGAACTGGATGAAGAGAATTTATTCTTATTATGAGTGTGTAGCACTCGACGTATATATACCCCAATTCACAGTTCGAGTCCGGGATATACGGCATCACATTGCCTCTTGAAATCAAGCCTGGAAGCATCATCGGATGTTTATGGAAAAAGTAAAAATGCACCAGGGTTGTCGAAGTGAGGCAAGGGATTTCCCGCGGTCTATACCGTTCGAAATGCAAGGGTTGAGTTATCCTTGGATAGACTGCATCCCATCAGTCTGCTAGGATAAAATGGTGCATGCATGCATAAAGTGCACGGGGAGATTAGCAGTCTGTGACTACTCTCAAAATATCCATAGGGTGCAAGAAGATATCTTTAGGATTGTTGGTGGAGGGTATCTTTCATGATTGGCGGCGCGGCCCGAAGAGATGGTTACCGCTAGGGAGCCGTCTAAGAAGCGCCCCGAAGTGCCCGGGAACATGACGGTTGGTGCGGGATAGTTCGTGGCATTCCGCCGGATGGCTTGTTTTATAGACAGCGGCCCCTATTATGATCCAGGGGAACGCATGTAGCCAAGTAGCAGATATATTAATATTGGATGTAAAGTCGACATAAGCTAAGCCCGAAAACCCGCCCATACGATCTTTCGAGTTGACAAAGGGACTAGAATATCCTAGCCTTATGGGGACATCCTGTACTCTACAGGGTAACATTGCTCTTCTCTTCTACTCCAGTCGATATTCGGAGTATACTCGGGGTAATATCGACACCAGAATAAACAAAAACTACAAAAAATGGGTATGGAAATGGCCGTGTCAACTCCTAGTGAAAGCCTTTGTAATCGTCAACTGCAATCAAGCTGAGATGTCGTCACATAGCATAGCTATGATAGCATGTTTTGAGGCATTATTTTCTCCTCTGACATCGTCGAAGCTGTGCAATACCCCGAGTAGGCCGCCCCTACCCCGACCACGATTAAATCCAGCTGGAAGAGTACCCTGTCTAGCAATTTGCGCAACGTGGCAGTCCAATTGGCGTTAAACTCTCCTGTCTCCCGGTTTTCTGGTCGGTCTTGTGGCTCTTGCCGGGTAATCCCCTAACCCAGAATCTGCGGACCCATTGTCTAGTCAGGATTCATAGCCCTCTGCATCCGTGCCGCTGCGTCTGCATACGGTTCTTGGTGTACTTCCTCCCCGCGCGGCCCAGGGTTTGGACTTAGAACTACATGCCGGCTGTGGTTGGTATGCAGCCTAGGAAGTAGCGGAGCCCTCTTTTGGCATATTTATTAATATCCACGGGGCAACAAGGTGCCTCGTAGCCGAAGGCTGTAGCGGTGCCGTACGACCAGGTGGGGCCGAAGCTGTGACGAGTCCCTCAGCTTTAAGCAGCTAGATGACCGCTGTGACAAAATGACCGGAAAAAAAACATTTCTAGACTCCTAAGCAAAGCAAGTATATTGATCATGAAACTGATCCCAGCAATTTCTGTTCGTCGACACTCAGTTTGTGGGCTTTGAGCGGGGCTCATTCCATGGCAGGCGTGGGCTCATCGATCCCTGCTTGCGGCCCCGCGTCCGAAGTCAACAATATGGAGAAGAATGACCACTGGCTTTTCCCATAGCTAGCGGCCTATTTATACCAAAAGCGACGCGAACCGGCCAATGATACCCCTACCGGTTCCCCGTCCAAAGTTGATATGCGTTGGAGTAGCTGACCTCGAACGAACTGCTGCAATGACAGTGCCGAGAGCTTCCATTGCCATGATAACCGTCTGCCTCTGCCATTTATTGCACTTCGTAGGCTCGTGTTTGGCTTGGTTTACGACTCCCGCAGAGTCTAATCTTGGGGTATTGCTGGTATTAACCCGAGTGTCGATCATTAGGAGTCCGTAAGTTGAGCGATAATGCCTTAGTCTTGATTATAATTCTGTTTCCAGCTGCTTTGAGGCCAGCACAGCATGGGAGAGAGCGATGGTTCCGTCAGGGGTTCCAGCTAGGCACTGCATTTGGGGCCAGCAGGGGAGTCTTGGGTACTTGGAAACGAAGCCTGAATTGGCGAGATCATGATATAGCCCCATCAAGGTACTCGTTTGTCTGGTCGCAGCTTGTATAGGTGTTTGTCCATAGCTTCATGAAAAAGGTGATGAGATGTTGTGGTTGAGATGGAACAACGATGGTGGTTATGGGGTAAATAAACTCCTCCCCACTCCCCCTCACGACAACCTCGGTCTATCCAACATCAACCTTCATCCACCTCGATAACCATCTTCCCTTGCTACATATTCCTGTCTACACGGAGTAATGCTCGCGAAGAAACTGTTTGCAGCGCCCATCCAATCTCGGTTTATGCACTCGGCCACAATGGCGAACGCTAGAGCGGCCCGCATCAGTACGTACCCTGTGCCTGCATTCCCAGTTGCGACCTGGCTATCATCTACGCCGGATAGGATGCATTCAATAATCTAACTGGCTGGTTAATAGGGAATCCTGCATTATTGTATGTTGTCTGCTACAACCTCGTCCCGTTTCGTTGATAGTTTGAAACGGTACCCGTGAAGGGACGTCGTCGAATTTAGCCAGCATCTAACCGATTCATCTAGCATCTGTGATATCCAGGAGAGATTTAGATCGATTACATATGAATTCCCGAAATTGTGAGTCTATTGTCATGGCGCTATAGTGTTAAATACCCGCTAACAAGCCAATCTCAGAGTATTTACGTCCCTCAAACTCCTTCGAGCTTCCAAGCCTCTCAACATCCCGATATACGTAACAACACAGAACACCGCACGCCTGGGTCCCACTGTCGCCGAGTTCGATGAATACCTTCAGCCCTCGAACCCTAACTTACGCATCAATTGTGACAAAACCCTCTTCTCGATGATAACGCCTGAAGTCAAGGAGAAATTACCAAACACAGCCAGCGAGCAACCTCTTGATGCTATAATTGTTGGACTTGAATCGCATGTCTGCGTGACTCAATCAGCTCTTGACCTTCTATCATTGGGCCATCGGGTGTACATTATTGCTGATGGGGTGAGCAGTGCCAATCCAGAGGAGAGACATGTAGCGTTGGCTAGACTACGGGATGCAGGTGCTACTGTGACCACGAGTGAGAGCGTGTTGTTTGAGATCATGGGTGATTCTAAGATAGGGGTATTTAGGGAGATTAGTGGGCTAGTTAAAGAAACTGGGAAGGAGACCAAGAGTGCTTTGGAAGCATTCTGCTCCGCTAGCAAGATTTAGCTGCGAATACTTATTTAATCTAGAAATATCAGGATATCATTTACGAATAGGTAAACGGCTCTAAGCTAAATTTAAATGCATTCTTTTGCCACATATCATTTATCATCATAATGCTCCAAAAATTCTTTTAGGTAACCTTGTCTATAAATTGCCTGTATCCTTTTGATATCCACCCCTCTAAAGATGAATGAAATTTAGCTTGGCCGCATTCTTGATGATATCCATTGGAGCGGATTTAGACTGCGTCGCCTGGATCTTGAGCGAGTACAGCTCATCCAGTAGTGCAGGGACGAAGCTGCCTGGCCCCTTAAAGCCGTTACTCACAGCTCGTTCAGCGGCAACCTCAAACATGAGCAGCCCCGATAATACGGCGAGGAGTTTGTCCTGTCGTTCCACAGCAAGGAATGAAGCACTGATGGTGCCGATAGCGCAGCCAGTCTGTTCAAGGATATTAATTAGCTAATCAATGACCATAGCTTTTCCATACACCCTCATTTTTCTTGTTTTCTACTCTCGCAAGGATACTTGGATAGACTTACGCCTGTAACCTGGCCTAAAAGTTCATGGCCATTACGGACAGCAAGAGTACGCGCACCATCGCTGAGATAGTCGGTTGACCCAGTGAGAAGAACAACGCACCCTATAAAGTAGGATTAGAGTTAGTCAAAGAAAACGGCGAGGTAAAGTATTAGCAAAACGAGAAAGGGGGCTATTCCACTCACTCTCCCTTATGGCAAGATCTCGAACAAGAATCGCCTTCTCCTTGGCATCTAGCTTACTCGGGCCACTATCAACACCAACCTGATGTCTAGGAGAACGGCCATAGATATGGCTTATTTCACTCTCATTTCCCTTGATGAGGTCGAAATAACCCCCTTGCATAAGTGTCTTGACGGACTGCCGTCGAATTTTGGTTGCTGCTGCTCCTACCGGGTCAAGGACAACTGGGTTTCCAGCTTCGTTGTAGGCACGAATTGCTTGCAGATAGTTGTCCATGCTCTCACTATTCAGAGTCCCCATGTTTATTAGTAGAGCACCGTTATTCTTAGCTAAATCTGAAGCTTCCAAGCCATATCCGGACATAATTGGCGAAGCACCACTAGAAAAAAGGCAAAAAGTCAGTTTAACCCGATATTGAAAACTGGGGGATATCTAAAAGCTCCACTTACATGGCAAGCGCGACATTTGCAGCAAAATTAGCCACAACATAATTAATCATGTTATGGCATAGGGGATGTGCAGTGGCGACCTTACGAACAAGTGCATCAACCCCATTCAACAGTAAGCCCTCCTCATTTACACGAGGGGCGATTGGAACAGTTGCAAACGATGGATTTTGGCGGATTGCTTCTGCAAACGAAGCCGCAGCTGCTTGGGGATCATCAGCAGCCATTATCGCACTTACTACTGCAACGCCCTCTAGCCCCTTTTTAAGGCCTTGTGATTGATAGACGACTCGTTGGACATTGCTAAGGTTGATACCACCAATGGCCACCGTACCGACTTTGTCGGATATAGACGAAACGCAATTGAGGATGCGTTTAACGCCTGCCGTACCAATTATAGACTTGGTGTTGGTTTTCCTATTACTGAGGTTAGCTCGTCAAGATAATAATAAGGCCGGGCTAAGGTAAGGCCTGTGGAAATGGTACATACGTTGGTGTGGCATACACGGTGCCGATGCCTAGATAATCAGCACCGCTCTCCACCGCAATCCGAGCCTCCTCAACCGAGGATACAGTAACCCCAATAATTGCTCCCTCAGGAAGCATTTTCTTAGCAAGGGAGATGTCTGTAGCTGAATGATTAGCATGGTTCGGCAGCGTACGGCGTTGGAAAGGTAACGTTACTCATATCATCTTGGCCTAGATGGACTCCCTCAGCCCCGACAGCGAGGGCAACATCAACCCTGTCATTGATGACGAGGGGGGTATTATGCTTAAGGGTTACTGCATGTAGTTTTGCTGCTGTTTCGATCAACTCTTTTGTGTCGCTATGCTTGTCTCTATATTGAACGATGGTCACACCTATACATTTAACGGGCCATGTCAACGTATATCCAGTAAAAACAGCACCCGCAAGAATATATGCATACCGCCTTTTATAGCTTGCTCAACGACAGAACATAGATCCTTGCCCCCTAGGATCTGAGGAGTAGAGTCCGTGACCAGGTATAAGGAAAGATTCGCTAACATCCTTGTAACTTGGTCAAGAAGGATATCGTTTCTTGAGTGTATAGATAGGGGATATTATAAATAATATCAGAAGAAATTGAGGCCAGAAAGAGAGAAATATATATAGAGATATAGAAAGGAAGTTCCATAAACGGAGTTCTTTAGCCAGCTGCAGGAATCCGCGGATCCAGAAGTGAATCCTAACAAGCGCAATTCCAAGTTTGCTAAGTTACAACAACTTGACTAATTACCCAAGAGGCCGCCAGAAAAAATCCTCCAACTGTGATATCTATATATCAAAAGACAGAGTATATAGAGTATCAAAGTACTCCGTAAGTTGTCCCTCAATCGGGAAGGGGGGTTGCTGACTAATGGGAACCGCCGCCGGACTTCGGCGAAATGTTATTCCTTACTGTACATCTATCAAGAACACTAGAGAGGACCAGTTTAGACATGTAATTATTGATATATCCTTATCGTACCCTCATTAATTCTTATTTATTCTCATTCTGTCCTCTATTATCATTCTATCCATCCTCATCCTCTCTGTCCTCATCTATCCTGCTTTCATGCTGTATCGAAGTCCGCTAGTCACATGACTAGCTTGCTTACTCAGCCGGATTTACGTTTTGCCGCAGAATTTTCGACTTCTTCCTCTCCCGGCGAGACACGAAAGGATTCGTCCTCGTCCCCTCCAACTTCGACTTCACATCGCTCTCGACACCGCAGCTTCACAGATCCTGAGCCCGCAACCCCGACAGCTTTTGTACTGCGCCTGACCGAACCCGATTGCCCGCCCACTGTCCGTCGGAACTATCACGTCCGCCCGGCACCTCTCTACATAGTAGATCTCTTGGTTCTCCTCATCGCTCAGAGAAGCCACCGAGCAAGATCGAGCACCTGTCTATGTATTCGCCCTACGAAAACGCTTTCGAACACCACCTGCCGCTCGCGCTGCAACCTTTTCGCCCCGTGCGAAAACCTTGTAGTGTCCATTCAAGATCGTGTGGTTGAAATTCCCGATCCACGTCACCGTCAAGATCATCCTATATCAGAAACGAGGACTTATCTCAGTGCTATCGTTTCATTCTAACCGCCGTTGCTCCTTTGCCGTTACTACGCATGTCGTGTAGCAGTAATCCAATCTTTTCTCATCCTCTCTCCGTGTTCGACTCAGCTCGCTTAAGCGTATAAAACTATCCATCTCGGCAATATGGCTAACATCAACATTCGTCGGGTATGTATCGATCTGCATCCGTGTTTGGATCTGCCTGGGGATGAATTGTCATGCTTACGTACTTTTGCCCTGGATAGGACATTTCCGACCCTTTCTATCGGTATAAGATGGAGCGTCTCCAAGCCAAGATCGAGGGCAAGGGCAACGGTATCAAAACTGTTGTCGTCAACCTGAACAGCGTTGCCCAGTCCCTCAGCCGACCCCCATCCTGTATGTTTCTCTGTCTACCCATTTTTGCTCCTGAGTTATTGGTTGCACCAAAAGGCTAATTCACACCAGATTTGATCAAGTATTTCGGCTTCGAACTTGGAGCACAGGCAAACTCTAAACCCACAGACGATCGTTGGATCATCAACGGTGCTCACGACGCTCCCAAGCTTCAGGACTACCTGGACGGTTTCATCACCAAGTTCGTCCTCTGCAAGAAGTGCAAGAACCCCGAGACTGACGTCGTCATCAAAGACCAGTCTATCATTCTTGATTGCAAGGCCTGTGGTGAACGCTCAGATGTGGACCCCCGTCTCAAGCTCAGCTCCTTCATCTTGAAGAATCAACCGAAGAAGGGAAAGAAGGATAAGTCAACCAAGAAATCTCGCCGAGAGAGGAACAAGGAGAAGGGAGAGAATGGAGAGAATGGGGAAACAAACGGTAGCCCAGGAGACAGCAATGGTTCTGATATGGGAGACGACAATGGTGACGTGGGTGTTGATGCTCACAGTGATGACGAACTCACTCGTCGAATCAAGGCTGAGGCCCAGGCAATCGAGCATACTGATGACATCGATGACGATGAATGGGCCGTCGATGTCTCAGAGGAGGCTGTCAGGGCCCGTGCTCAAGAGCTTCCCGATGACCTCAAGCGCACTCTCGTTTTCAACGACGGTGACGGCGATGAGGATGGCGAAAACGCAGTCGCTAGCTCCTATGATCAATTTGGAAGCTGGATCATCGAAACTGCCGAGAAGTCCGACAAAGGTGCCGCAGGTGTCAGCGATGTTGACATCTACGTGAAGGCTAAAGAGTTCGGCATCGAATCTAAGCACAAGACCCTTTCGGTTTTGGCTCAGATCCTGTTCGATGACAACATCGTCAAGCAGATTCCAACTCGTGCTGGTCTCTTGAAGAAGGTAAGCTTATCTACGGAACCCATTAAGTGCCGAGGTGTATGTACCGTTCTAACAATTCCCATAGATGATTACTTCCGAGCGCCATGAGAAGGCTCTTCTCGGAGGAACCGAACGTTTCGTCGGCAAAGACCGCCCAAACCTTCTCCCAATGGTGTCCTCCATCCTTCTCACGTACTACCAAAACGACTTGGTTTCCGAGGATTTGCTTAAGAGCTGGGGCACCAAAGCCAGCAAGAAGTACGTCGACCTAGCTACCAGCAAGAAGGTTCGCAAGTCCGCTGAGAAGTTCCTCGAGTGGCTTGAGACTGCCGAGAGCGAAGACGAAAGCGAGGAAGACGACGAGTAAAGTATGGAAAGCTATCACTCCTTATGCCGCATTTGAAAATCCTAAAAAAGAAAAAAAAGAAAGAAATTGCGACCGTTTCCTTCTTCTGAATCTCCACTCTTGACAACTTGATTTGAATTTGTTCTTCATTTCTATATCTTAGATGTACCCAATTTGTTATGCTCGCTCAATTCTCCAGTTGCATTCTCCTGGGTTTATTGAGAATAACCCCTTGATCGTATATCCTTTATTGTATGCTACTTGACAGTCGCACTGGTATGTTATACTACACTCATTACCATCTCCAGCATGTTTCGGGCTTCACGAGGAACGGATAGCCGCTCCCCGCTTGTTTAACACTCCTCTTTAAAACTAACTAATTTGTTTCAAACACTCCATTTTTCAATTATAGTAAACCACGGAATAATGCATTTTGTAAATAAACTCGCTGTAGATATAAGAGGCATGCCGTATCTACCTTGATAGCATCAAAACACGAGCTCTGTAAATTTCCACCGACTGTCTACTAGGTCAACATCACTTCCCAGGCGCGCTAATTCACGGTTCATCTTCTCAACCACAGTCCCCTTCAATAATTCTGTGCCTCGATCAGGGTTAGGCTTTTGGTAGCCCAGGTGCCCTACCATGCCTTGCATGCATATAAACCAAGTCAAATCAGGATTCCAAGAGTTCATAGCTCGAAGGGCGCGCTTGGCCTCCTCGAGGGTTCCTTGGCTCCATCTGGTTTCGTTATCTATGTCTCCTTTATCAAGATTGCCCTGGGGGGTACAGGTGCCATCCCCCGCCTCGACTTGCCATGTATTGGCTGAATATAATTCTGGATGGAAAAACGTTATCCACTCCCCCAGAGAGTAGCAGATATTATCGCCAATGTCTGCAGGTAACCTGACGTTTGATAAGATTGTGGTGTATAGCGACGTAAGTGCTTTCCAAATTGAATGGTGATGGGTGAACGATTTGGTTATCGCAAATCCTGGGTGTGGTGAGAGCTGACTGGAGTCGTCTATTACCCTAACTATCCCTCTCGACGTGGTATTGCTGGGTGATTCTTTATCTTGTATTTTCTTTTTAGCTAGTTGCTGACGGTGCCGTTCTGCTACCTTTTTGGCGTCTTCATTAACTTGGCTCCACGAGATTTTATATAGCTTTGCCCATCTGGGGAACTCATGCTCGATCCTAGAGGACATGAAGTCTCCTGCTCCCTTGCACATGGTGCCGATGGCCGTGCAAGAGGCAACTGTGACGAATGTTTCCTCTTGTATACCAGAATCATCAAAATGTGTCTTCTGCTCTTTTATAGATGTTGACAACGATGGAATCTCCTTTCCTGCTTGGGATGGTAGTGTGATTCTAGCGCTCACAGAAGGCCAGATGTCGTTGATTAGAGGTAAGAAGCTCTTCTCATTCTGTGCTAGAACGGGAAGACCGCGCGTTAGGATTGAGAGAAGCGATCGTCGTAAAAACGGGGATGGCGAAGAGAGGTGAGGAGGTATGGATTTTATGATGTTTAATAATAGTGCGTGTGGTTTGCTTAATGGCTTTTCTTCAGGCTCTTGCGGCTGTTCAGATTGATCAGCTTGAGAGTTCGTGTCCATTTCGTCCGCTTCATCTGCTGGAGTAGCTGGGCTAGGGGCCCAGGGTTTCTTTGGATGGGGTTCTAGTGTCTCTGGGTCACTCCTTTCAATCTTTAGCTCCCTTGTGCGTTTTTCACGTCTTTCTTTGAACCAGGATGCAATACTAGAAACTGATCGGGGTTGTGGTGACATCCTTGGGCGTTGGTGCAGTGTACCCTCGTCTCCGCTCGAGATCGCAAGAAATGTAGGCTTTTTTGCTCCTTCATCAACAATCGCTCCCAATACGCCGAACAAAAGTTCGACTAGTTTGGGATAACCATGGAAGGCATCAAGGACAGCAAAAATGGAGCCTATAACATCATCTAAATGTGAAATTAAGCGAGAACCACATAATTTTATCATCATGAGCAGAACCCTAGGAGCTTGAGGTGAAATGTCGAAAGTATTAAGCTTCAAGGCCACGGAATTAATTAAATAGTCAACGTTCTCAATAACCAATGTGCTTGCATCCGGGTAATTGCAGGATGCGGTGACTATATTAAGGCAAGTCATTGCATGGTTTTGTAGAATCGGATTATTAGATCCCATCAGTTGGAGTATCGGGTATAGAGTGTCAATTAACTCGGGTCGAAAAGTCTCCTGCAGCTGTCCGGCTTGTAGAGCGACTGCCTCAAGGGCAAGAGCAGGGGTGCGCCAGTCATTAGAATCTGAGACCTGCAAATCTGTTAGAGTTGGCAGGGCCATAGAGTATAATTCTTCAATTAATTGCGGCCGCGAAGGCGATGAAGGTCCGGGGCCTAGATCAAGTATATCATCGCTCATGATAATGTCCGGGGGTGTGCTTTTCAGGAAGGACAACGTTAACCAGAATGATGACACAAAAGAGTCGCCTGAGGACTGGTAAAGCTTATTTAGCATGGACCTGGTCATGCTGTAGGATGTATTGGCGTTGCCTGACCTGGCTATCATGGTCTGGATTTCGGAGAGAGTCTCCTTTTGGCTCTGTCGTTCGAGTATTATCGGCTGGAACGAGTTGGAATGGGCATCGCTGCTGATACCAAGAGTTTCTAGCGCAGAATCTATAGAAGTGCCCAGCGGTTGTGGAGACTTGGGGGAGGACAGGATTATATTAGATACACTGTCATGCAAACTCATTGTCATGGTATCATCGAGAATATCGGATTTAACCTGGATGTCCGACAACGCCTGAAAAGCGGTGGATATCTGTCTTATAGCTCGATGTTTCGCAGCATCATCAGTGGATTGCATAACTCGAGGGAGTGCAACTATCCACGAATGCAAGCTCGATTTAAGAATTCCCAAGACGGTCTCGGAGCAAGTTAAAAGATGCTTCAAAGCATTGTAGGCCTCATTATCAAGCTCGTCGCCATCGATATGCGCTAGAACCACAATAGTCTCGACCATCATCGATAAGGACTCTGCTAGTGACTTTGGACAGTCCTCTAACACCATCAAACACAGACCTAGTAGGCAATGGCGGACTTCAGCCTTCTCATGGTTCCTTAGTCGAATGACATTTGAAAGGGCTAGCTTAATCTGAGATACAGTCGCATTAAGCCATGATTGATCAAGGACGAGGGGCCCCGTTTCGGTTTTCTTTGAAGTATTGGCGTTCGTTGAAGAAACAACCGAATCGTTCAAAACCGATCTGACATTCAGTGTAAGAGCGTCTAGGCAGACACATAGAAGTTTATACGACCGACGAGACTGGGAGGTTGTACGAAGCGTTTTGGTAAGAGTAGAAACGGTTCGAGGCAGAAGGCTGGCCAACACAACTCTATCCGTTATACGCGATAGTAACGCATTCAAGGCCGTGGCAGCGGATTTCTGAATTGCATCCGAGGCGCCGTCCACAACCCCTTCAAGCAATACATAGACAGTCTGGTCTATAATAGTAGTAGACCCTACCTCGTTAAAAATGGAGGATGCCGCCTCTGGCCCACGTAACGCACGGCACAAGGAGGAAACACAGTCAAAAACAGCAACAATCAGCTCCTCTGACCGTGGTCTAGCAAGGGTTGAGGAGCCTTGACTCTGGCTCTGGGTAGGAGGGCCCCCAGAGATAAGCGTCATCAGAATGAGCAACTGCTTGCCCAGCTGGGGAGAAAGCTTTGCACGCCATCCTTTTTCAACTAGGACCTGTAGACATTTGACAGCCAGCTCAACGCATTGAGCGGAGATACGCTGACTCTCATTGAATATTTGAGATAATGGGAAGAAAGCGTATTCAGCAAGCTTTTCATCTAGACCGCCATAGGTCGTGACATCGTTTAGTGCCTGGGCAAGGGTTTCTAAAGCCTTCAGAACCTCATTTGAAGACGCGAGATTCCCTTTGAACTTTAGGCTAACCGAACTAAGCTCAACACATGGGGGTCGTAGCTGTAGAGAATGGTCAGTACGGCTATGTACAGGTTGTAAATGCTACGGAGACGGTACCTTTTGAAAGGCCTTTTGACGTATGTCCTCCATTAGAGGCAACTTTCATACCAATCCTCCCTTGAACATCTTTTGGATCATGTATCGTTTGTTAAATGTAGCTCTCATTTTGTCTCTTTGGGTCAAGATAAATGGTGATTATATAAGCAGATTCTTAATTTTAACGTTAATCCTTGGCGTTTATACGGCTTAGTCATAATCTATATCATGTGATATCAATTTTTTCCATCTCAAACTTCAACTTCAGCTTCAACTTCCTCGGTTAAGGAGGAAACAAACACTACGTCGACGGGCTATACGCGAGTGCTATAGATGATGAGCTCGCTTTTCTACACCCGCTCTTCCCGTTCCTGTGATACCCCATGGGCTATGTTTATCGAGGCGAACTTATAAAATGATCGTCTATGCTCCATGACCTTCCTTTGGCCCGACGACCAGACCAGCCTAAGTGCAATGCTGATAATGCATACCCATTTGGTTTGCCCTCTTGTTTGCTTACCATGACACTATATAATGTGGTACATGTTTGACTACTGCTCTATCGACGACTACACTTTCATCATACTGTTTCACTTGCGCTCTCTAAGGGTGTAACCAGAGAGGGGAATATAGGGACCATGACGAGCTATGTTTGGCGACAGCATGAACAATAAGTGGCGGGAGGCATTTTGAGCGTCTTTTATGGCGATTTTGCTCATCCCGGAGACCCCGAAATATAATTCTGGAGTTCTGTTAGAGACAGTTCTAGTGGATGTATGGGCTTCTCCTTTCAGCTATAATCCGGATGCACCGTTGCATTGAAAACTTGCTATTCTGTCCGACTTGTGAATATGACTATGCACACTAATCGCCTAGAGCAGTCTCTTCGCTTTGCACATACGGACGACCGGGCGTTTTGATCGACTCCACGAGAGCGATGGCAGCAATCTCTACGGCTAACTCTACATAAGGGTTGAGAGAAAAAGCGATAGAACCGTCTGGCCAGTTCAATATCACTCTTCTTAGCTTACACCTTGACTTTCCAGGAACCATAGTGTAGACATGGCTGAATCAGATGGGTTGATCTCCGTCTCGAGTGCCTCATATGCACGAGAGAGCTGTCGTTCTCGAATACACGGAGAAGTCAATATTCGATCTAGCTCGAACTAGGCGCCGGAACATTTAGGTGGTGAGGAAACTAAGGGTCATAGTTACTGGACTAAAAGGGGGGGCGGCGCCTCAACACCAGGGCTGCATAACATTGCTTTTTCTGTCAATAATGCATCCACAAAGATGAGCCATGCGTAATCTGCGTCTCCATCGGTGGACAATAACAGGCCATAGTTCCCCTACGGTGGCCAATCCTGCTTCCTAGATGTTATTCTTTTGGTGTGTGACCCCCTTTTTGCAATGCATAAGCATCCTTCTCACCCGCTTTCCGCTCCACCGACGCAAAGGCATATTGAAGATCCTCGTTAATAAACACGGGGAAACATGGAGGAAGACACTACTTCGTTCTCGAGGGAAGTACTGGTGCTTTACTCCGTCAGGCTTTCCTCCTGAATATCATCTGCCGCTGGATATAAATATATCATCGGCCCATTTTCCTTCTTCCACCTCTCCTCATCATTCTCATCCTCAGCACACTTCACAAATCAGTCTTTAGATACAACACCGGCGACACGCCATCAACTCGTCTAATACAGCTGTTTATTTCTTCCCCGTTTCAACTTACCCCCGAACAACATGAAGCTCTCGATTTTGCTCCCCGCTACCATGATGGTGGCTGCAGTTATGGCCGCAGACCCTGGTCCCATTCTCCGCCTCCCACCATGCCCAGTATGATGCAGCTTCCCTTTCCTAGGGGTATGTCTCATGCAAATCCCGCTAACGATATGCTTCTAGAAAAGCTGTGTCAATGAGGGCATAACTAACCCCCAGCGTTTTGGCTGCAAATTCGGAGACGGAGCATGCTTGTGTCGTAGCAAGCCGTACCACGATTTTATCCACGGCTGCGCCCAGAAATGCTCCCAGGCCGAGCGTGACCAGCTTGCCAGAGCTGGCAACCAATACTGTGCTGAGCTAGGTTAGCACTCCTTTATATACATATTTATCGAGCATCCAGTACTTACATATTGTCCAGGAGTCCCACCAAACCGACGCCGCAGTGCAAACCCGGACTCTTCCGATGATTCGAAGCCAGAGGTAGAACAGTTCCCCATTCCTACTGGAATTCCAGGAGTTCCAGGAGTCCCAAGTTTGCCCATTCCGTCTCTCCCTATTCCATCGGTTACAGTGCCGCCTTGGGTCCCTACGGCTATTCCTACCAGATTGCCTACAGCCATCCCATCAGGATTACCCCCGATCATTCCCACGGTCATTCCAACCGTTATTCCCACTATCATCCCAACTGTCATCCCTACTATCATCCCCACAGCCATTCCCACTATTATCCCTACTGCCATCCCTACTATCATCCCCACTGCCATCCCTACTATCATCCCCACTGCCATTCCTACTGCCATCCCTCCATGGCTCACTTCACTCCCGGCTATCCCACCCGTTCCAACACCAGCAGCTAATGAGTATGTCAACCAGGCCGATTCAGCAACGAAATCCAGAGTAATGAAGGGAAAGCAGAGAGGCTGATTACTGGCTATACCGAATAATTCATTCGCTAGCCTCGTTATATATACGCGAGGCGCGTATATATTCTTAGCTTCTGGAAATGCCAGATTCTGAGGACGAACACCACTATTGTTTGTCGATTTCACTTGAGATCTGTGAGAGTATTTTTATGATCCAAATTGCTCCTACACATGCATTCTTTCTTGTTTATTATTTATACTTGCAATATCCAACTATGTATGGAGTTACTACTCATTTAACATGATTCTATGTCATATATTCATTGATCACACCCATCTTTTAATCCTAGTAAAGAGGCCACCGTCCTTATACCACTAGACTAGCAAGTAAATGTCTATATCTATATCAAGATGCCCCTTTCAAGTTCTCCCATGGACCAGGCAGCAAATCACGTGGTCAACGCGACGCGCTTGCGATTCGAGCTCCGCGCGTGTAATATCGAGATCGCCATTAAATGTCCATGACGCCGCATAGTAATCCTCTGATTTCTCGTCAATATTCCAACCAGGCAGCCATCGTCCTGGACAATTTCTGGGTCCACACTGCGCCAGGCTACAAGCGCAGGGTGACTGTCCAACAGATCAATACTGCGCTAGACCATTGAGAAACCATGTCGGGACCACCCATGCTCTGACTGCCTGCCTGCCTCGCCACTTCAGCCTAGCAATTTGTCTTAATAAATACATATCTCCTGCTGCGTCTCGATTTTTTGCACTGCTTCAGCCACCGATATTATCCTCATCTTTATTCCGCACTGTCTCGTCGTTGCACTTCACGTCTCTATGAGCTTCTCGGTCTCGATATACTCAAAACACATCGCGCGAACAAGACCTTTACTATCATACTATCGCATTCAGTGGAACCCACTTCGATACTCGAGAAGATTATATACCAATTCGGCTTCCAATCTCATAATCATGGCTCAGAAATCTGGTGGCTCTAAGCAGTCAACCTTAGGGTGCGTGAAAGACCCTCAATTGACCCTTTGGTGCGTGTGTATGGAGTGTTTATACCGCTCTTGACATGTCGCATCTTCACCCGTAATAATATATTGCTTGCTGTTACTTAAGAGTTCGCTTGGCTAATTTGCATTGTAAATCTGTGTTTTGCGCATGTAGGAAATTTTTCGGGTCGAACAGCACTCCCGCGCCTAAGAAGCAGTCCACTCTTGCCTTTTCGTCAAAGGCCAGCGGCAGCTCCAAAAATGAAGCGGAAAGAGTGAAGGATGAGGAGGAAGAGGTGGAGGGGGAGCCTAGGACGCCTCAAAAGCAGCTGGTGGGCGCCGGGGATAAACGCACTCCACCGCCAATTGATGACGAGGAAGTAAATGGAGAGATACTCTCTGGTGGGACAAAAAGCGATTCTGCTTCTCTAGTGGCTAGGAGACAGAAACGAAAAGAGGTGGTAGCAGATAAACAGAGTGAAGACTCGGATGAGCAACCCGTGACAAAAAGACGAAGGAGATCGCCTCAGCCTGGCAACAAAGGGAAAAGTTCTGCTCCCAAGAGTCCTCGCGGAAAAGCGGCCGTCAAGGAGCCAAAACCGACCAAGGAGGTAGAACCGGAGCCAGAGCCAGAACTGTCATCGGCCGAAGAGAATTCCGCGTCAGACATTGATGAAGATGAGCTAGATCAGAAGCCGGCTAAAGTGCAACAGAAGAAGAAGGCGGTAGCCAAACAGAGGAAACAAGTCCAAAGCACGCTCACGTCCAATACGAAAGCTCTATACCCCGATTGGAAAGCAGGAGAGCCTGTCCCTTACGCAGCTCTTTGCACCACGTTCTCACATGTCGAAATGACTACGAAACGTCTTATCATATTATCTCACTGTGCACTTTTCCTTCGCCAAGTACTCCGCCTGACCCCAGACGACCTTCTTTCAACCGTCCAGCTGATGATAAACAAATTGGCAGCTGATTATGCCGGAATTGAACTTGGAATAGGAGAGTCTCTGATCATGAAAGCTGTCGGTGAATCGACCGGACGTAGCCTTGCAGTCATCAAAGCGGATCAGAATGAGATTGGAGACCTAGGCCTGGTCGCTGCAAAGAGTCGTTCTAACCAGCCTACTATGTTCAAACCCAAGGCTCTAACAGTACGAGGCGTACACGAGGGGCTGTTGACTATTGCCAAAACACAAGGTACTGGATCGCAGGAGAGAAAGATTGCAGGTATTAAAAAATTGCTGTCTGCTGCCGATGCCGACAAAGCTGGCAAAGGAACAAGGGCAATTGACATCACTAAGGATAGAGGCGGTGCTAGCGAGGCCAAGTTCATTGTACGCTTTCTTGAAGGTAAACTTCGGCTTGGGTTGGCCGAGAGGACGGTGCTTGTTGCTTTGGCACATGCAGTAGTGGCACATGAGGCTGAGATGAACGGAGGAAAGACTCCAAGCACAGATCAGCTTGCTAAAGGAGAAGACATCCTCAAGACTGTTTACAGGTTCGTTTATCTTCCCCAAGCAGCGTGCTTCGCAGTACTCGTATTGACTTGTTTTTCATCTCCAGCGAACTGCCATCGTATGAAGTGATTATTCCCGCCATGCTTAAACACGGAATATTCAATCTTTCAGATAATTGCAAACTGCAGCCTGGTGTTCCATTGAAACCTATGCTGGCTAAGCCGACAAAATCTATCAGTGAGGTTCTTGATAGATTTGAAGGGAAACATTTCACTTGTGAGTACAAGTACGATGGAGAGAGAGCGCAGATACACTATGTTTCCCGCGACACAATAAAGGATTACCCAGCAGCCTCTGCCGCTCTTCAAAAAGACGGAGAGGGCCTTTGCGCGATCTTCTCTCGAAACTCAGAAGACCTCTCCAAGAAATATCCGGATATCCTTGAGAAATTGGAGAGCTGGGTTAAGCCCGGCACCCAGAGCTTCGTACTCGATTGTGAAACAGTGGCATGGGATACTGTCAACAAGAAAGTTCTTCCATTTCAACAACTGATGACGAGGAAAAGGAAGGACGTCAAGTCTGAAGATATTAAAGTTAAAGTCTGCGTCTTTGCGTTCGACTTGCTATTCTTAAACGGAGAGGTAAGCTTTTTCTGTACAAGGTCTAACTAAGGACAAGTAGTTCTGACTTTGTTTAGCCCACCGTCAAGAAAACACTCAGAGAACGACGCGACCTTTTGCATGACGCATTTACACCGATCGAGGGAGAGTTTGCTTTCGCTCAGCATGGGAACACCAGTGATTTGGAGGAGATTCAAACCATGCTTGACGAAAGTGTTAAAGCCTCTTGCGAAGGACTGATGGTGAAGATGCTGGATACCACAGACAGTGGCTACGAGCCAAGCAAGAGAAGTCGAAATTGGCTTAAGGTAATTCACCCTCTTTCTTCCAGTGATATATGTATTCACTATAAATGGCCCAAACACATTACTCATCAAAACAACAGGTGAAAAAAGATTACCTCGCGGGGATTGGTGACTCTCTCGACCTCGTCGTTCTGGGTGCATATTTCGGCCGCGGAAAACGTACGTCTGTCTATGGAGCTTTCCTGCTTGCAGCATACAATGTCAAAACCCAAAACTACGAAACAATATGCAACATTGGTACCGGTTTCTCTGAAGCGCTCCTTGAAGAGCTTCATAACACCCTCAGCCCGCTTGTCATTGACAAACCAAAGCCATTCTATTCTCATTCAACTGTTCCAAAGGACCAGCCAGACGTCTGGTTTGAACCCAGGTTCGTCTGGGAAGTCAAGGCCGCTGATCTCACACTTAGCCCTAGGTATAGTGCCGCAAGTGACGAGGTAATGGGAAACACTGGTGGTACCGCTGCTAAGGGCATCTCGTTGCGTTTCCCTCGTTACATTAAGGCCAGAGACGATAAGAAACCGGATGAAGCTACCACTACTAAAGCAGTGGCAGAAATGTATCGGAGACAAGAGAGTGTTTCCAAGGACACTTCGGGCAAGGCGGCTGTGGATGATGATTTTGAGTATTGAAATCACTATAACCCGGTCGGTATTGTGGGATGTTATAGTATCCATTGGAGGACATGCTTCATATAGCCTTTACCTACTCAAATAGTTTAGTAGGTCATACGAAGAGTATTGGAATAATACGAAAGACGATCCTCTCGTGTCCCTATTGTCGCATTATGAATAAAGTACACCGCATCAAAGGGTGTTATACCAAAGTAGAAATCTTGGTGAACCAGCCTCATCCAGCATACACGATGTCGAATGGGATAAAATAGAATAACACGACCAATGCGCCATAATGAGCTTAGTTATACAGGTTCTAAAAAAGGTATGAGAAAGCCACCACAGTTAGGAACGGCCAGACACAGCGTATTGGAATACAGCAAAGTGAGTTCCGAAAAAAAAACAAAACGAAATTCGTAGACGCGAAAACGCAGATAAAAAGGGGGTAATAGTAAGAAAAACGCGGATATCCAAAAGCAACAAAATGGAGGCACCAAGGGGCCAGGAAACACGTCTTACTCTCCAAATTTCCTCTTAGCTCCTGCGTTGGCTCCGTTGGAGCTACCGTTCATTGTCCCTCTTCTTCTCGCAGCCTCTTCCTCGGCAGCTTGGGCTTGTCTCTTTTTCCACGCTGCTTTGATCGCAGGGGCACTACTGATCAGTTCCTCCTCGCACACCCGATCCCTTATACTCTGGAGTACCTTTTCGACGGTGGAAATGTGATTTGCATCTGTCTTGTCGTCCCTGAATCGCATGAATCGCCATCTGCCTTGCTCATCCTGGGAGCATTCAACGATTGTATCGTCGAGTGGTTTTTGCAAAGCCTTCATCTCCTCCCATTCAGACTCAGTCAGGTGCATGATTCCGAAATGTTTGTACTCTCCTCTATTATGCAATACGAAGAGGTGCCAAATGGGCATAGCATCGTAGTCTGGGTAAGGGTCGGTGATCCCATCTGCCTCATCTTCTGAATCAGGCTCAACCACTGGAAACTCTAGCCTTAGACGAAAATCAATACTGTTTTCCTCTGGCGGCTTCCATTTCAATGTATGTTCATCGGTTCCAATCTTGTACGGAGTGCTCCGGCAGGTAAAAATCAGGCCGTCGTTGCCGTGGATTTTCTTCACCTTCGGGATGATCTCTCGAAACATCATTTCGATACCGTAGCTGAACTGGGTTGACTTGTCCTCCACCGCGAAAACCCGGTGTTTTTTCTCCTCTGGGAATTTCTTATACATCGAATTGTACGGCTTGAGGACCTTTTCCTTGAAATACGCCAGCCGTTTATCCAGTGTCCGGTGCATCAAACTTGTCCCGTCCAGAACCAAGCAGTCAAAAACCAAATATTTCAACTGTTGCGTCCCATCCTCGTAGGTGTCATTGACCAGCTCGCCGTCCACAAGGGTGTCCACATGGAAGCTCTGAAACGTATCGTCATCGGGCATCGGGAAATGTAGGCCAGGTATGAATCTGTATTCATTTTTGCGATTGATCAGGTAGTGGATTTCCGGTGTGTCTGAGTCCGGGTCTCCTCGCGCAAAGTACATTAGACATCGTATCCCGTCTGTCTTCTCGCATACGTAGTAGTCTTTCTCCTGTAGCTCGCGGATATGATGTGATGCGAAACTGACGGGTTGTGCGCCGGGGAAGGATAGCGATGAACGGCCTAAGAGGTGCGCGACCTCTCGTCGAAACTGGTCTGCAAGGTGGGATTCAGCTTTTATCCCGATCGCGTCAATGTCAGGAACGGAATTCCCCATGATTTCCGCAGCGGAGGGACGCGCCTGTTGGAGAGAGCGAAGGGAATGAGGCCACGGCCGTCTCGCGACGTGGCGTTAATAGAGGCGTGGTTCACGGGCGAGGAGGTGGTAGACCTGCTGTTCGTTTCCTTGGTTAGATGAGAAGCTCTCGATATATCGCAGGATGCAGGTTTGCTATCGTGGTTTGAGGTGTAAGCTCCCTGTGGTAAAAAAAAATGGTGAGTGTTTGGCCTAGAGAATTATTTATTGGCAGGCAACCAAGCAAGCTCTTTGCGCGGGGAGTGGCTTTTTTCCCTATATAAGTCGCGTGGTTGGTATAGCATTCCATTATTAATGAACCAACAATTGATCAGCTGCATTTAAAACTACGAAACACATGATACGAGGCGGATGGTGGGTTAAGTTTGAATCCCGTCTAAAGGAATTACCTTGCATTCATGAATATTCATACATCTAACATCTCGGGGGTATCATAGGCCTCATCCAAAGTACAAGTCGCGAAACCAACCGCAGGCAAATAAAAAACCTCTGCCATCCAAAATTCCCCAACCGTAACCAGGCTATGGAAGCCAATGCAAAGATAACGCCAAACCAAGTAGAGAAATAGAAGATCACATATGTTCCAAGGACAGTCAAGAAGCTGTAACGGGTTTGGATGATACCCCCGATTGGGCCGTACGGTTTTGGACCGCTTGCTGTGATAGAGAGGATTTCCTAGATCCATCTTGCGACTGCTGTAAAGGGCCGTCTGCTGTGTTACCGGCTCCTGATGAGCCAAAAGGAGGCGATTCTGATCTCGAGAATAGACTGCGCCCTGAGAAGACGGAATCTCCAGAGAACAGCCCCCCTCCGCCGCCCCCGAGAGCTTGGGAGAACATTTCCTTCATGCGTATTAAATGGTACTTGCGTTTGGTGGACATCAACGGGTGTGTCACAAGCGGCTGTGGGCGAGATCGTGCCAATCCAGCCATGACCGCGTCCTTCTCCTCATCCGAGTCGATAGGACCGGCCCCGTCGATATCGTCGTGGATAGGTGCATTTGCATCGATAGCAGCCTCTGTTAGGGAAGTCAGCACCATGCCATAGGTAAATAGGTACATATGTGGATTTGGATTTGGTAGGAAAGCTGAGTACTTACTCTGCTGGCGAGCCTGGTTCTTTTTCTGATAAGCTTGGAGCAACATGTCATATGGCAGGGATCGTCCAGGAACCGCTCTCTTAGCGCCCATAGAGTGACTTTTGCATGTCAACGATCTCGCACACTGGGCACCGTTCGGAAGGATGACACCGCATTGTTTCTCAACATCTACTGGCCCCTTGGGCTTCGGGACCTTGGGCTTCGGCTCGTCTTTCTTTTTCTTCTTCTTCGGTTCCTTGTCCTCGTCTGCATCAACTTTCCGCTTCTTTCCCTTTTTCGAACCGTCCTCGGTAGCACTCTTCTTCGCGCTCTTCTGACCCTTCATTGCAACAACTTCTCCCTCTGCGTCTTCATTGCCGTCTTTATCTGCCGGCTTGTCTTTTGTACGGTTGGCCTCTCGAGCTTCTTTCTTTTTCCTTGCCTTTTCTTGTTTGGCTTTTAAACACGCACGTATATGCTCGGCAGCCGATTGCTTGAGGGCTGGTTTCTTGCAGTGTTTGCATATTACGGTCTCGAGCTTGGTTTCTCTTGGTTTGCCCGTAGGGAACGCCGCCATGGTGTTGGCGTCCATCTCTGGTAGTATAGGTGATGAAGAGCCTCTGGAATCTCGTTCTGCATCCTTTGAGCCTGTAGCAGTCGTACGTCAGCAACATCATCCTACAACTAGAGACTTCATTTACAAGTTGCCGGTGAGACAGAGGTGACGAAGATGTGAGAGATAAGGGCCCATACCCTGCTCAGTAATGCCGTTTGCCAGCTTCGAGGCCGGTTTCTTCACTTTGACCTTTCCTGACTTGAAGTCCTTTTCCTTAAACTTGTATCCGGATGCATCGACGAAGCTGGGATCAGAGCTAGCGGGTAGATTTAATACTAAACCACACAACCACGAGCCACAAGTGACAGGCAGCCAAACGTTAGCCCATATCCTCTAATATGAAGAATAAAAATGACCGGCCAGCTAGTTAAGCGCCGGATGACGCAGTTTGGGAGAAGCGACAGCCTACCTTTTCCGCCTCCGCCATTTGAAGTCATTATGGCTAAAAGTAGCGGTAGCTACTCGCCTCTTCGACACCTTCGTCTGTCCTTGTATTTTCTGGTGTGCTGGAGATGAGCTTGAGCGCAACTTGGTTCTCTTCTCACTTGTTTCTGCTGTTGGTTTCTTGATGTTTGGTTAAAGCCGAACAGCGCGATGACATCACGTGAACAGTTAACTAGTATTAACCGCGCCAGAAGAAAGGGGCGAAAATATAGACGAAGAGAGACAGGTTGAAGACGTCTAAGATATAGCTATTTACGATTATAGGTCTCTGGGAAGTCGTGTATAATGTCAAGGGTTGTTAATAATTTTTTTTTTCTAAAGCTAGACCATGCATAAAGCTATGGACAAGATCTCAAGCATATAACCACTGGCTTTTAATTCTTCATTTCTTTTCCATTTGATCAAAATACTTTTCCCACCCAATCTCTCTAATCTTGACCCCCTTGATATCGAGATTCTCGGTCTTCGCTGCTTTGGCATACTCCTCGACCTTTCGACGCAAGGTCTCGTTAAAAGCACCAAGTATTCTCACTGCCAGTAAAGCCGCATTTATACTGTTGTTGATTCCAACCGTAGCAACAGGGACGCCTAGAAGATATATGTTAGTTTCATTCTTGCAAGGTTGGATAAAAGATACTAACCTCTCGGCATTTGCACGATGCTATACAAACTATCCACGCCATCAAGCGCACTTCCTTTAACAGGCACGCCAATCACAGGGAGAGAGGTGTGCGCGGCAGCCATTCCAGGTAAATGAGCCGCACCGCCAGCAGCAGCAATGATCACCTTGATCCCGCGAGACGCAGCTTTGGATGCATACTCCGCCATGTACTCTGGGGTGCGATGAGCCGACGTAATATCGACTTCGGGTACGATGCCAAAATACTCTTGTAGAAGTTTTAATCCTGGAACAAGAGTTTTCAGATCACTGTCAGATCCCATTATTACACCCACGGTGGGCTGAGGTTTTAGTGGTGTTGATGGGGCGGATGTCGATTTGCCGTTGACATGCTCAATAAGTGGTTGTATGATGGTCTCTGCTTCATGCATCGTAGAGGCGGTAACGGTTATATGTCCCATTTTTCGGCCTGGTCTAGCATTGCCCTTGCTATACAGGTGGATGCTCGCATTCGGTATTGAGAGCGCATATCTCGCGATATCTAGATGGGAGTCCGGAGCCGATCCGCCGAGGATATTAAGCATAACCGACGGCTGTCGTAGCTGCAAGCTCTGCGGGGGGATGGGTAGGTCGAGAATGGCTCGGAGGTGGGTATCGAATTGAGACAGGCCGCATCCTTCAATAGTGTAATGTCCCGAATTGTGAATTCGACTAGCAAGTTCGCATAAAAGGAGAGAGTCGTCGTCAAGGAGGAACATCTCTACTCCAAAGACACCCTTGCCCTCGAAAGCAGCAACAGCATTTCTAGCTAGCTCTTGAGCTTTCTCGTTTACCTTGTCAGATACGCCTCGAGCGGGAGCATAAACTAGTTTGCAAATGGAGTCTTCCTGGACAGTTTCCACAGTGGGGTATGACAGTACATTGTCCTTTGTTTTGACGACAATGACGGCAAGCTCCTAAACAAGACAGTTTTGAGTGGACTGATTTTTCTTACGAGAATATCAGAAATGTGGGAATTTACTACCTACCATTCTGAATTTGGCCCATTTCTCAGCATAAAGTGGCCGCCCTTTCAAAGCCTCCAAGGCAGGAGGTATGTCCGACTCTCCTTTAACCGTATAGTTACCTAAATACGGGTGGTTAGTAGCCGTTTAAACAACAATCTGAATAAGCCCACATCTGAGCTCACCTCTTCCATCATAAGCTCCAGTCTTCGATTTCAGCATAAACGGATAGCCGAAGGCCTCTCCAATCTTTGCCAATTCTTCTGGGGTGTTATCTCGGATTTCCCGATAATCAGCCATGGGGATGTTAAACTTCGACAAATGCTGCTTCTGCGCATATTTATCTTGGATAATCCTGATGCTCTTCCAGCTCGGCTCAACCTTGACAAGCGATTCAACTTCCTCTAGGGCATAGGTATCAACATGTTCGATCTCGGCGGTCAATACATCGCTCACTTCAGCAAGCTTACGCACAGCTTCCGGGTTCATAAACGAGCCGGAGACATGGGTATTGTGCGCACTGATTTGTTTAGCGGGCGAATTTTCAGCGTCAAGAATATTCATCTGTATGTTCAAGCGGTTGGCAGACTCCATCAGCATTCGGCCCAATTGGCCGCCACCAAGGACACCAACTCTTGCAGAATGCACCATTTTTTTTAATATTTACAAGCCCCTGCAAAGTGAGGCAAGTGTAGAAGTAGGATAAATTGAGCGGTAATGGATATCGAGAACTGTGAATGTATTTACTTCCAAAGTTGCGAAATTTTACTTTGACCACCCACCACAATTCTTGGTCACGTGATACGTTCACCAAAGAGGGACGAGTTCACGCGATATGAGAAGTTATCAACCTCAAAGAATAAAGGCGACATGCTTAGACTTGACTAGGTATGAAACACGCAGAAGCCGTGATAAAGCTTACGACCGGCTACACTAACACTGTCCCCTCGAAGAATCTCTCGCGTTTTGGCAGTCGAGCTGGAGCTTGATGTTTCAGCCTCATCCAAGGGCTGCCATGGCGCATCTGCCTGGGATAGTGGAAGTTTGACTGGTGACTATCGGTCAAGACCAAGACTAACGAAGGGGAATTAGCGACAGCCTTGAGGTGGATTTATGCACATGTCGTTGTTAAAGCCGTAAGCGCCAGGGCCAAAGACCTCAGGATTGATCCATCAAGGCTATCAGTTGATAGGCGGTCAAGCCTCAAGTAGCTAATCTAAGCCACTACGCCGAGTGTATCAGCTGCAGCTCGATAGGACCGTTATTGATTCGCGAAAGAGCAAAGACCGCTTGGCCGTTATATCTGATTCCGTGGCCCCAATAGGATTATTCCGGTACAGCAGAACCACAGAGCAATATCCTCGACAATTCGCCCTCGCAACCCTAGCCATGTCAACAGCTGCAGGCAAGAAGGCGAAGATCCCTGCGAAGCCTCAAGTGGGTCTGGGGCAGCAGTCGATGGACACAGCCAAACAGTGAGTCAAGCGCTGCAGCCTGGATTCACGCCCGACAGTGCAATATATAAGGCTGGAGGATGCTCGCTTTCACTCTACGGACAATTCAACCATAGCTACTCCGTAAGAACCATGATTACGGAAGATGTCCAATTACCCGGGAATCGAACGTCTACCGTTTGAGATCATCGACTATGTCCTCTCTTTTATATCCGTGGTTGACTACCACAGCGTGAAGCTTGCAGGAAGCCGTTATCTCACTGGCGTTGTCCGCTCCCGTTCTTCCTGCATTTCGCGTCATGAGTATTTCAAACTCCTGCAGCAGCACGACCAGCACGGACTCGAGTTGCCAGGCGGACATGCTCGGTCTGCATTGGGAATTACCATCCAACGAGGAAATCAGTCCTTGGTGCGGCGATACCTAGCGAGGTATGAGAAACAAAACGACCGGTCTATTGAAAAAGAAAAACGAAAATTCAACTCCGCTCTCCACCTGGCCGCATTCTTCGGCTCGCTCGACATCGTCGAGCTCCTTATAGAGAGGATACATGCCAGATGTCGAAAGGCTGGATCAACGGTACTTCATCTCGCAGCTAAGAGAGGCCACGCGGAAGTAGTCCGTCTCCTCATACAGAATGGCGCCGACATCAATGCCATCGACTTCAAAGAAAGGACACCCCTTGCCCTGGCACAGGAAGGGGAGCACAAAGACACTGTAACATTTCTACAAAGCCAGGGAGCATGTTCATGCGCAGCCGATGTCCTGCGCCAATATCCCTCGAGGAAATTTGCTGATTTAGTGTGGAGTCATACCGACGAACCTGCGGTGATCAATGACCCCGACGGTGAATCGAGAATGTCTAAATCAGACCACAACGAACGCGCGCAAACGGGGCGGTCGCAGGTGATGCGGGTGTTTGCCCGCTATTTATCCACTAAGCACGGCCAAGAGCCAGCTTTAAATGCAGAACGACAAAGGGCCGTAATGCATACTGCTCTGACCGAAGGGGTCGAGGAGGTGGTTTGTGCGCTATTGGATGATGGATTCGATGTCGACTCCGACTGTGATCTTAGCGGCCATACTCCGCTTCACTTTGCCGTGCTCCGTGGAAATAAATCGTTAATCGAACCACTCGTCCGGCGCGGAGCAAAGCCTTTATATGCCACACCCCTTGGAATTACACCCTTTCTTTCAGCCGCAAGCAAAGGTGACATGGGGATTATTGAGATATTTCTACGTTTGGGGGTTCCAATTAACGCTGCAAATCGTGATGGCCTCACGGCTCTCCATACTACAGGCATAGGATCAGACGCTTTCCTTGGCGGCCTAATTGACAAGCATGGTGCTAACATCGAAGCAAAGAATAACAAAGGCGAAACTCCACTCCATTTTGCTATTAACAGGGGCTATGAAGAGGCTGCCAAGAATCTACTGAAGAGAGGAGCAAATGTCAATGCTCGGGATATAAATCTCTCCACGCCACTTATGAGAGTACATGATAAGAAGTGCGGCTCTTTAACCCGTCTTCTCATAGAGCATGGGGCGGATATTACTCTCTTCAACTATGCAGGCCATAACTCTATGGAGGCGAGGGAGTCTATCATCGGGATGGAGTGGATTTTTCAGTACAGCGATAATTCACAGCTCACAGCAAGAAAGGCGACGCTCGACCTCATTCGCCAAACGAGAGTGGATGACGACGACAGTTAGGGAGATATCTTAAAGCCGTCCTTCTGATTTTCTGTAGCTAGACAAGTTATTTATTTCTTCAAACTGATAGCTTTAAGATAATATGCTATGGATGTTAAATAGAAAAACGTAGCATCAGGTCGGCAATTTGGCAACTTCCTTAACATTATATATCAAAATGCAACACTCCATGTCCACGAAAGCAGCAAAAATAACAGAAACACCGTGAAAGAGCAAAAAATGAAGGTCATGCCAGGACTCGAACCAGGGTTATCGGAACTTCAGATACATAATCAGAATCCGATGTGATGACCGCTACACTACACGACCATTCGTGGGGGCTGTATCAGCCGCCATTTTCGCTTTTTAAAAGCAAACTGCGATGAACGGACGAAATATCGGCGGATAAGATATCATCTCTGTCATTGGTGAAGGACAAAGTACTTTGTACAGCCGCGGCGGTCGGAGGAACCTAAGCGAGTTGGTGGATATTTAGGTGTGTTCGGATAAATCCATGGCCGGTTTGACCACAACGAAACGGCCGTAGGGGATAGCCTTAACAGCGCGGTGGCAGCACACCAGCATTCATGACGCGCCTTGCCACGATTTACCAAAGGGATCAGGATACGTAAATTCCGGAGAGGGAGGCAGCAACACCCATCAAGCGGCGCGGTGATAAACATGCGACCTCTCCTTAACCCCGATGGGGATTGGGAATTACAGACTGCGTTATGTGAGCTCAGGATGCGATGATGGATATAAAGATAGGGAGAAGTTAGATTGTGATCAACTCAAGCTCAAGTCGACTGGCTATCAATCATCTCACGATCTCCCGCATCAAAGCGCTATTTATCATATAAAAATCATCACATCAAAAGAGCCATCAAAATGCGAGGCACTGTCAGTTTCGTGCAGCAATGCTTTCCAGGAAAGCCAGAGTTCACCGAGAAAGATGTTCCAGATTTAAAGGGCAAGGTAACTGCGCTGATTCCCCGTGTCTAAAGAGCTGTATTTGCTGATCTTGCTAGGTTGCTATCGTCACTGGTTCAAACACCGGCCTCGGCAAGGAGATCACCCAGATGCTCTACTCTAAGAATGCTAAAGTGTATATGATGACACGCTCGGAGGAGAAGACCAAGCAGGCTATCGACGCTATCAGGGCTGCCGTTCCCCAGTCAGAAGGGGACTTGATCTTTATTCACCTTGACCTAGCAGACCTCGAGAGCGTGAAGACGGCCGCAGATGAATTCAACCGCAGAGAGCAGAAACTCCACCTCCTCGTTAACAACGCTGGAGTTGGATTCCCAGAGCGCGGCAGCAAGACAAAACAAGGCCATGAGCTCCAACTCGGGGTAAACTGCATCGGGTCCTTCGCACTTACAACGCACCTTACACCAATCCTAGTTTCTACGGCCAAGGTATCGCCCCCTAACGCCGTTCGCATAATCTGGGTTTCTTCATCGGCTGCTGAGGCTGTGGAGCCGAAGACGTTCATGGATAACCTGTCAGAAATTGAGAAGAAAACGCCCTTAGATCAGTACGCCATGAGCAAGTTCGGAAATTACCTCCACGCGACGGAATTCGCATCTCGCCTCAAGTCAGACGGTGTCCTTTCTGTCTCGCTAAACCCAGGGAGCTTAGACTCAGACTTCTGGCGCAGCCAGGGAGCAATGATGACATGTATTCTTCAAAAGACCGTGCTGCATCCACCCGTCTTTGGAGCTTACACGGTTATCTTTGCCGCCTTTTCGCGCAAAATCACACTTGATAACTCGAGTCGTTTCGGTAAGTCAAGTTTAGTTGTCACAATTATCCTGTTCTCCAAACTAACAACGGTCTAGTTGCCCCATGGGGGAAGTTCTGGAAACTCCCTGAGGACATGCTTGCAGCAGCTAAGTCCGAGTCTGAGGGGGGTACTGGAACCGCGAGACAGTTTTGGGATTGGACAGAGGCCCAGGTCAAGCCATATGCTTGATCAAGGGCTTTAACTCTGCCAAACATCAATATGGTTCAATTTCCAAATTTCATTACCTTTATCCTTCCAGTGTGAGATTGAATGCATCAATCATAATAATAATAATAATATGTTTATGTATAGATAGCAACCTAGCGATTCTGTGAGATGATTTATCAGTGTTCATAATTGAATATTTCCATTGATTAACGGCTTTACTTATAGTAATATTCAATTACTTTCAAGAATGAATATCATCCATTGCTGATAGGCGGGCGAGTCGCGTGTACTGGTCTACGTTTCCTTCATAAGCAGCCATTAGAATCAGCTGAATTTCCTCAGGAGTCAGGGAGTCATAACCTTCGGGCAAATTATACCTTCTGCGGTTCATCCTCTTCAATACTAACTACGACTGGTACACGAATGCCGCCTATACTGTATGCAAAGGGCGCCAGGCGTCGGCGGACTGAGAGCTTTCACCGCGCCACTGTATCACCATTGAGGTACGCCGGTACCTTGGTCTTCTCCCTTTCTAGGCTTATAGATAAGTTGTGGTCATCCACAATAGCAAAACGAACATGACAGGCCATTATTGATTTGTAGATAGTGCGGCCGTCAAGGGTATCACTCTCTCGAGCCTCTTCGGCAATCGAGACATCGGGCAATTGGTCTAGCTCAAGAGCCCAGCGTATCCTGCAGCCGCGCATGACCGTCTAACCTGGTAGCGCATAGACGGAAAGCGCTGGACTAGCTGGCTATAGGTGCCTTCTTTCGCCAAGTCAGGGTACCAGATACAGTAGGGGTGTTTTGTTTTGTCGAGGTCATCCATATCTTCTGGCTCACGCGCCACATCACTCATGATCAACCGAGAATTGTGAGCATGGGCAAATTCTGGACGTGATGCGCAGATTTCCTTTACCTCAGAGCTTATTGCAAACTTGTAGTGACAACGACTGCCTCGAATAAGACAAGGAAGTCCAAGTCGCCGGTCCAGATCATCCGCGTTGGGCACCATCTCGCCCTGTATGGCGGCGACGAGTTGCTTATAATGGCCGTTAACACATTCGTGGTACTCGGGATCACTGGAATCGTCGGAATCGGAGTTATATGGACGCATCTCCCTGGTTGAGCTGTCCATATTTTCTGATTTCATTGTTTGGTACTGTTTAGAGTGACAAAATTTATCTTGCTGAGAAAGTGGAAGTTTGTGTTGAGGTTGCAGAATATGGGAACTTTGAACCGTTTAAATAACTAACTAGTTAGTTAGCCAGTTATTGAATTAATGCGTTTCGTGTATAGGGGCAGCAACAAGGATTTCCTTCCTTTCCTATAAGGGCTGCGCCATCCGTCGCATTATGTAGCGGAAATTAACAGTCGTTTGATTGAAGACGTCTCATCCATAGTTGGGGGAAAAAAAAAAACTCTAAGACTTGAGATGTAGGCCATAATATATCGAGAGTCTCGCTGTAATCGGGCTATACGGCGGGCATACAATAAGAAACTCCGGCTTCCGCCTTCTAAACCTAGTAAATAACATCTATGCTATAACAGACCGAATACAAAGGGATATTACTGTAGAGCCAGTGGATGATATTTCGGGAATGGTGCGAGATTTGTGGAGATAACTAACTAGTAGAATTTATAAACTAGATTATGAATGCGTCCCCACCAGGTGTCTATGAGGTGATAACACCGTCTGGAAATTCTAGGAATGTATATCGCCATAATTATTATGTACATCCCCTTAGTTTTCCCCAACACTCAAAAAGAAATCGTACATCTCCCATATCCATATTCGCTGAAGGACAGTCGCATCATTGATGTTGCCGGCCTTAACACAGATAATTGATGGTAACAGCTAGGTAAAGAGGACTAAGAACAGACTGCGCATCGCGAACAATTCTAAATAGATGGTATGGATGCTGAGAGAATGCCCCACTATAACTTTACTAGCGCCTGATCTCGATCTATGTGGAGCCGGGCCGCGCCGAGATAAAAGTTAACTTAGTCGGAACGTCTGCCAAGCGACATCCATGCGACCTCAGTTCGTTGGAAGCTGTGTCCAGAGAAACACAACAGCCTATAATACATCAGACATATACGGAGTACAATTACCCTAGTCAGTTGTTGGTTAGGGATGTTAAATTAAGCCGCGCGGAGTCTCGATTAAGACTCCGCTGTAGGCCAAAGGCAACATCAACGTCACTCCCATGCTCGAGAGTTTGGCCTTAGCGCATCAATTGGAGCAGTACCCTATTTTACTTACATGCTACTATACCCGTTTTCTTTCCTCCGTGTGAGGTTATATGATAATAATCAGGATTCCCTGATTCGATGCGATATGCTGGCAAGGGTTTCGAAGTTGTTGGGGAATTACTCTCAGATAAAATGCTAGCTACAGCTAGGCATCTGCATGTGTTTCTTCCTTTACAGTGGGTTATGCATAACAAGAATCATTAGGAGTGACAGGGTGCGGACTGAAACTAAAAGGCGGTATCTCTTCCACGACGGAAATACCTGGCTATATTTAGCTGCACTGGCTGCTGTGACTCAGGATATCACGGGATATCTACTTATCTTAGTTGGTCTTTCAGAGAAAAATATTTTATAGCTAGACTGAGAACTCTTTAAGGAGCCAGTTGACTTCACTGTCGCAGGACAATTGCGAATTAAATCCAACCTTTCCCACGCGTTTTTTTATCCATCATGACGGGATAATCCTTCATCACCCTCTTTTTGTTTTTTATTTCCTATGCCGCAGGCCAAAATCACACCGAACATGGAATTCAGGCATATCCAACTAGCTTCAAGTATTCCAACTTAACTCAACTGGGCTTGGATTTGGCCTAGGAACCGTTCCCAGTACTCCGGTGGGGGCATCGGCATTGAAGATCCCTGGATCTCGTGCCTTTTGGATGGCTGTCCACAACTCTGCAGTGACCTTGGCCCTCATCCGGCAAATTGGACACATCTATACAACCAGCTTGTACTTAGTGATTGCAAACTACCCCTACTCTTCAATTTGAACATCCAAAATCCTGATTCTAGGTATTCGATGGCCCGCGCGTGACTCTTGAACGCTGGAAAGCCAAAGACCAAACACGCCATTTTGCTTGAAAATTGCTTGAATGATACCGGGAAAAATGACAAAATCGCCTACGATTACCACATTGCCGGTTGGTGCGTCGTCTACATGTGGAGCGCAGGAAACCATTGTGATTGAGACTTTCGTCTCCAGTCCATCGGCCCTCAAATCTAGAGCATACGTTGCTAGCCTCTTAGTTAGTATTCCATCTCACAACTAGTGCTTTTTGCGGCGAAACAATTCCTTTAAAAAAAAATTTAAAAAAAAAAAAAATCTTTTCAGTTATTCCAATTGCATGATTTTGATAGCTAATTATGTTTCTGTAGAGACCGCTCCTGAGAAGGGCACTCAAATTACCCAGTCCTGCGGCATCTGGATTAGGGAGGCGCGAACACTAGGCCTATTTGCAGTGGATAATGCTAAGCATTTAGACATGGTTCAACGTGCCCTCAATCAATGGCCCAATGGTGCGTGCCTTAATATTCCGGTTGAACAAGGCCATGTTGACACTATTGACTTGGTTATCTTTACTGTTCTGCGTGAAGCGAACTTTACTACTTCATATATAGGTAAACCGGCATCATCTCGTGCCAATAGCTATTTTTGGTCTTTAGCAGCTAGAGTGGAGTGCAGAGTCACTTAGGCTGGAGCCCGGTGGAACGTTTGATATAATTATTGTTACTCCAATTGATAACTGCTTTGTTATTGCAAACAACTATGGCAATAAGAGGATTAAATTAACGAGTCGAACGAGAAACATGGGGATGGGGCTGGGCCGCGTGTGATGATCTATGTCAATAATCTCTAACATTGTTGCCTTGGTGAGACACAACCTCTTCCTCTCAACAGATTATATACCCTTTTTGGTACATTTATGATCCAGAGATAATAGTAGAATCATTACATGCAAGAGATAATGTTGGCCCTTTGGGGCTTTCTTAACGCCGAGCCAAAATCCGAAAAAACAAAGGAAAACTTGCTAGGTCGAGTTAGGTTTAGTCATCTTATATAAGCCAAATGAGGTCCTATAAAAATGCGGGGAACTTGGAATTGCAACGAAACAAACAACTAACAACGTTGCAGCAAGCTGAAAACCCGTTGAGAAACCCATAACATATCCGCCTTGTTCGAAGCTGTAATCATGTCCGATCCTGCTCAATCCAGCCTCCAGCCATCCACAGAGCGGGAGAAAATGCTACGTGGAGAGTTGTATACTGCCTTCACGCCAGATTTAATCGCGGAGAGAGCAAGATGTAAAGCAGCCTGTGATAGATTTAATAATGCAGGCCAAGTAACTCGTCGAAAGCGGGTAGAGCTTTGGAGGGAGTAAGTGGCTCTATCCCCAAGTTCTGGATACTATCGCTCAAGTCAAATATGAAAGCAAATTTGATTAATACCTTTGCTGTAGTATAGTCGCAGATACACGCCCTCTTCCTCCACAGGCTTCGGATCAGCAAGCGGACGATGCTCTCTTTGAAGATGAGCCGTGGATAGAGGCTCCCATTAGGACTGACTATGGTTGCAATGTGAAGGTGGGAGAAGGAGTCTTTATCAACTTCAATTGTGTCATATTAGATACCTGCCTTGTCACGATTGGCGCAAGGACGCTCTTCGGGCCGGGGGTTAACTTGTATGCGGGCACACATCCTTTGGATCCTGCCATAAGAAAGGGGACTAAGGGTCCAGAGTATGGTAAAGAAATCCATATTGGTGAAGATTGCTGGATAGGCGGCAATGTCGACATTTTGCCCGGAGTGACGATTGGCAGAGGCGCTACAGTAGGTGCTGGGAGCGTGGTAACAAAGGTATGGCTGAACTATGTGATCATGCGTTCAAAATTGGTATATATACGAATAAATCTAAGGCATTCGCTGACCGTGATATAGGATGTCCCGCCTTTCCATGTTGCCGCGGGAAATCCAGCAAGAATCATCCGTCGTATAGAAACCGAGTTAGACCCATCACGAGCGAAGAGTAGTGATGCGGCTAATCAGTAGGGGACCTGCGGACTTGGACCATTTTTCAGGATCCCTTGAATGTTAAATAGCGAACATGTTATTTATTAAAGCTCACTGGACATATAAATTTTCCAAGATAGAACAGTAGGGGAAAAAGATGCAAAACTCAAGATTTTCTTGTTGTATCCTCTTCCTTGGCTGTAGAGTCATCCGTGTTTTCGGTATCAGCAGGATTTTCACACTGAGACCCGGACGAGTCCGACGTGGAATTTTTGGTATCAAGGCTTGCCCCACCGAGCGACTCGAGGCATCTCATGGTAGAATTAAACCCAATAGTGACATGTTGCAATATCTCGGGAGCAGGAGAAGAGGCCGGGATGGGGGCTGAAGGAGTTGATGATTTTTGTTCTTTGGCCTTGGTGTTCACTGCTGCTGTTTTCCGCAATTGCAACTTCTTCCATCGTCTGCCCTTCGACGGCCTTGAATTCTCCTCCCGCCATAGGAGAATCGGGCTTAGCAACCTGGCAGACAACTTTGTAAGCTGCGTCTTTATTACAGTGATATGCCACTTAACTATAATCGGACCCGACGAGAAGCCACACATACCTATAAAGAAGGTCTTCGGTTGTTTCTTGCTGTGTACGAGATACCTCTAAGCTATAATGCATCATTAACATAGTTTCAGTTTATTGTTGGATTCTTTCCTGGTGTTATCCTTCTCTTACCTTGAGGCTAGGATTCGATCTTTATTCATCCCCCCTATCTCAACGGTCCAACAAAATTATCCATCAAAGCATAGCTTGGTTAGCATAACAAAAATGTACACAGCGACAGGAAAAGTTTATTTAAGTACGACTATTCTCGCGCCAATTTAGCGAGGAATACGCAAGCTCAGGTCCCAGCCAAATACGGTACTTCATAATACTGGATAGTTCTGGCAATAATTTGGGAACAAAATATGTCCCAATACGAGCTATCTCTCAGGGGGCCGGTCTCAGAGCTCAGATTATTTCAGGTCCAGTTCACAGTACTGAATAGTTTCCATTTTCGAATACAATATCGATGCTAATTAGTACATAGACGGCCTAACCGTTCATTGATAATAACACTCAACAAGAAGCATGAACATTCCCAGGCTATTAGTGTAATGACTGTCTAGTAAGATAGGTAACTCACATCGACCAACCTGCTAACTAGTCTACGCCCCGACACAAACATAATAGCCTGACCAGAGAGTAGTGCAAGCTCGTCCAACTTGAGGATTCCATGTATGGAACTGATCAGCGTTGATGTTATACTTTTTGATAATACTATCACAATATTCGCCGCTTCCGACTTTGTGCCATTTTTTGCATTGGCACACGGCTCCTGGTTGCGTGGGCGATGGAAGATTAGGATTGGGGCATCCCGTTGGCGTGGCTGGTGGTTTGCTTGTTGGTTTGCTTGTTGGAGTGCCCGGTATCCCTGTGAGCAGAGGGTATTAGTATACAGAACTCCAACGCAAATGCAAATAGGGGGGTTATGTAATCTTACCGATGCAGTAATAGTAACCTAGGATGAGGGCAGAGCAATCCGAATTCACAGCGGGATTCCACTGGATGAGCTGCTCCACAGTGAAAGTTCCGTACTTACTGGCGATGACATAGCATGTGTCTCCGGAAACCGCCTTGTGGAATCTGTTGCACGTACTGATGATACCGGGCTGGGTTGGCGAGGGTCCCGAGGGAGCAGTTATCGTGGGAGGCCGTGATGTAGATGTAGGTTGAGTGGGAGTTCCTGGAACGCCGATACAATAGTAAAATCCCGCCCAAAGCGCGCTACAGTCGGGACCAACTGCTGGGTTCCAGCTCTGGAACATTGCCAACGAAAAGGCGCCGTACTTGTCAACAATTTTCAAACAATTGTCCCCAGACTCAGCTTTGTGCCACCGGTTGCACGTTGCGATGATGCCTCCCTGCGTCGGGGATGGCCCGGTTGGGGCGGTGGTGGTGGGAGACATCGTTGTGGTGGGAGGAACTGTAGGTGTCCCTGGAACACCTACACAGTAGTAATATCCCGCCCAGAGCGACGAGCAATCGTCATTGACGGCGGGGTTCCAAGTGACGAAGTCTTTCAGAGTGAAGGTCCCAAATTTGACGGCAATCTTGTCACAGGTATCTCCGCTGACGGCTTGATAGAACCTCGCGCATGTGTTTACCATGCCATCCTGGATTGGCGATGGCGTCGGGTTTGCCGTCGGAGTGGGTTGAGTAGGCGTTGAAGTAGTCGTGGTTCCTGGAGCAGCAGTTGTGCTTGAAGGAGCTGTTGTGGTTCCCGGAGGGGATGATGTTCCTGGAGCTCCTTTCTTTGCATCGATGCAATAGGAGTTGCCGGTCCTGATCCCACTGCAATCGTCTTTCACAATTGGATTCTACGCTTTGTGTTAGCGAGCTCAACATCATTGATTTTTCCAAATCAGCTTACCCAATACACGAAGTCCGCATGGCTGACCCCCCACGTCTGTTCGAAGTATGCACAATTATATGTGATATCCAAGGCATCGTCGTACAGCCTGCAGTCTGGCGCAGTGCCCGGGTCGACTGGGCCGTTCTGCCTTGGAACCAAATATCCATTGGCGACAGTAGCACTGAGAATCAGCGCAGGAGTGAGTCTCGGAAAGAACATGGTGCTCTAAAGGGACTTTACTTTGGTATCTTGCTCTCGCAGCTCGTCCTGATTCTGGCTATACAAGACATAATCCCATCTCACGCCGACTTATATGTACCCATGTTTCGACTCAATGCGGGCCTCTTTCACCGCCTAACAGATTCTAATCCTCCAGGTGACATCTAGCTGCATACCACCTCATCCCCCGGTTAGAACCAACATATTCCAAACCCGGGCCTGTCCTTGGTAGTCTGGAAACAAATACATGGGCTGAGGCAAAGAATGGCCTGACTGGCAGGCTGCGATGCATGCGTGTGATCGTATGCGCATGTTCCCACATCTCTCCTGCGGACTAACACGGAAATCCGGCTGTTTCCTTGAACTCGGCAATTTGCTCTGTCAACGTAGAATTTGGGTATCATTGTGAGCCGCATGAAAACACAAACTGTGCCCCTGGAGACCATCCTGGTCAAAGAACGGCGGCATCAGTATTGAACGACCCGGAATGGTTCATGCAGGGTTCACCCGCAGGATGCGATTAACAACGAGGCTGATATAAACGAGAGTTCAATGACTAGCATAAACAACCTGGTAACTAAGTAGTAAGCCCTGGCCCCTTGTTTATCCTCGGTTCCGACAACCTGGATCGCTTACTCGTTCTCGTATGACAAGCCGCAGAGACCATTTCATCCCTGGAAGACTACTATCTCTCAGGGGTATATTTTAAAAGGAGGTGACTTCCGGGGCCAGGATGAGTCAACAATTTTACGTAATATCTATTGTTTTATGATAAGCTTATATACGGAGTAAAAACATATGGGAATGATTAATTAACTTACTAAATCTAATGACCATTTTTAGTTAGATCTCGTTCAAGCGCTATCCATGCTCGTGTCTTGCGTTAGGTTACATCAATGATCAATGCTCCAGGGATCCTAGTACTAGCTTAAGCGGCTTATAAGATAGCCCTAACCCCGCGAGGGAGTCGGACAACTAACTACCTTAGTTAGTTGTCTAGCAGCTGTCCAGATAGTCATCGACGTCCCTAGGAGAAACCCGGCGCAGAGTGAGATAATCAGCATGGCATTTATTGACTCCGACTCCGACTCGGACCGGGACTCCAGAACCTTTGAGCCGTTGAGTGATTCTGAATGGGAGGAAATGGATGATATCGTCGTCAAATGGAGCCAGCCACTCGTCAATTTCGTCCGATCCCCCAGGAAGGTAGCGCGGGCCTTGTATGACACTCGGGGGATATTCTGGCTGCGTGTTACGGGAGAGGCTGTCATGGCCGCCGCTGAAATTGGTCAAAGGTGTACCCTCGACTTCTTATTTAGCGATGGTCACACAGCCAACATGCGGGCAGCAGGGGCGCCTCCTCCTGATGCGGATGTTGCCCCTGACTGGGCTACGCGTGATGCCGACATTGCCTTCGTCACTTTTTACGATGAAAATGAAAGCCTACACCTAAACTATTATCCACTGCAGGCTGCAGCCCATAGCAGGGAGATGAGAGATCGTCGAGATAAGCAGGTCAAGGTGATGCGCTACCTACTTAAGGAGGGCGCGGATCCCTTTGCGCTTTTCCGGGCTCCTCTCGGACGACGCAAATTCTTCCGCTACCCTTGCGAGACGTTTGACGAGCAATTAGACCCGGTTCATGATGAAGATGGCAGTGTATTACCCCGTACTCACTTTTCTAAGTTCGGCACCCGCAGTGTTCTCCATTCCATTCTCGAGACTGGCGGGCAGGCTTTACCATTTTTTGAGGAGAAGGTTAAGCTTGACATTGAGCATCGTGACCCCCAGGGCCGCACCCTTTTGCATTCCGCCTGCCTGTCTGAACTAGGTGCTGATGCCCTTCTCGATGATACCTGGTACGTCTGGTACACCCATACGGTATTTTTTTCCTACGATGTCCAGCCTTCATTGTTCCATGCTCTCCGGCTTCGCAATGCCGACATGCTGGCGGTCGACAGCAGAGGACGGCACATTCTTCACCATCTCTGTGATGGTGGAGTCCGTGACGAGGGATGTAGTGACGCCATAAATTACACTCTAACACATCTACCCCAGCTGGCTAACCAGCCAGACCACCACAGCATCTTTCCACTCCATACTGCCTTACAGAGCATGCGCTGTAATCTGTTTAGTAGTGCAAAGTACTATGTGAACCGCATCGAGCAGCTTTTCGCCGCAGGAGCTGACCCCCATGCCCGCGACGGAAGGGGGAACACTGGATTGCACTACCTTGCGGCTACCCCTTTCGATTACGGATACGATTACAAGGCCGGCGGACTGTTATTTCATAAGTTCCTTGAGCTTGGGGTAGATATAAACGCGCGCAACAACGCCGGACGAAGCGCAATCGAGGTTTTTCTCGACGATGAAGATTCTGGGCGGAGCCGAGTCGATAAACTCCCTCCTACTAGAAGTTTCCACGGAACCTCTAAGATACGCCTATATACGTTCCTGGATTTACAGGATTTATTTGCCGAAACAAACGTCGATTGGACGCAGAGGAGCGCGAACGGTCAGACTTTACTCCACTTAGTTGCCTTGCAGGCATCCACGCTGGCTGTAGAGCACGCTGAATATCTGCTGAAGAAGGGTGTAGATGCTTCCGTAAAGGACGAGGACGGGAAGACGGCAGCAGATGTGGCGGAGCAGTATGGAAGAGATCAAATGCTGAACCTGTTACGTCCACCCCCACCTACGCCGCGCATCGAGGAGGAATAGCCCGAAATTATACAGTGGCCATAGCTACGGACGAGTATTAAATCCAACAGATTGTTCCCAAAGCCCAGCAATAATACGTATGCATTGTGGTACATTTTCCTAGGAAAGGTGTAGATTTCACAAACGAAGCTTCTATGAAGGACAATGATAACCTAAACTAGTCTAACTATAAAATTCCGAGTGAATCAAGTAACGATTCGGTTGCCAGCAGTGGACAGTTTAGTTATGTACATGTTTAGTTAACTAGTTATCCGGCGGGCCGCTCCAGTTACGTTGCACCTAACGGGCATCCGCTCAGCTGTTGGGCGTGGTCGGCCGCAACCAACGCTGCGCGGTGGTCCCTAGCCTTTTCGATCATATAGTAATTCATTATTGCCGTATCCAGCGTGTCCCGTCCGCCTTTCCCGAGTTTAGCAGCCGTTGCATCCACGTCAAGGGTTTGCCAATTAGGCATCAAGCCTACCACGTCCCTCCCCGGCTTCTGGATGATATTATCCTCGCCCAGTTTATCCTTCAAGTGGGATATACGGTGCTTATCGAAGTCATTCAAGCGAAATTCGTACAGCGTTTGTGCAGCCATTTTGCCCTTGTCAACGATCTTCTTGGCCAGATCCCGTTTGGTTTTATCATCAGGGAAAGTTGTCATGCCGAGCATACCAATGGGCCTAGCTATTCTCGCAAGGCAGTCGTAGAAATCTGTTGAACCAGGAAGGAGCTTTGTGTTGTCTATGTTCCCGGTTATACCGCGTTTATCAACGGGGTCCCTCCACTTGACAATTTTGTTGTAAAGAGATTTCACCGTGATATCTTCGAAATTCGTCTTCTTTTTATACCCGAGATCCATTGGATTCGGAGGTGTCGGAGACTCGCCTGGCAACGGACTCCAGATGTACTTGAGGAATTCGTCCAGGTTACAACGATTGCCGGGTAGGGTGCCACGGCAGCCGACGGCGACCGTACGCGCCCCGTCAGCATTGACGAGTTCATCGGCTAAGTAAGCATAGTAGTAGACGAGGCTGTTGTGAATGTTAGCAGTTGAATAAATCAGTTAAATTTGTTCCACTGACCGTTCTACGGCACCTCGCGATCCATAGGCAGTTGCCAGAGGCAATAGCGTGCTAATGACTGAAAGCCAGATGAAGAAACACTTCATGATTAAAGGTAGTGTACAGAGAACAAACGGGTGTGGAAAGCAACTGTGAACGATAGCATTTTGCTGGGCCATCTCACATTTTTAGTATTAACTTGATTTCACGCGGGCCCCTGATTTCAGGGGTCGGTTGATATTGACCCCTTCCACCTGCTTAGTTGAGGAAGACATTTGATTAGCCTGCATTTCAACTGGCCAGGGAGTGATGCAACTCTCGGGCCCCGAAATGTAGGCGCCTGCAATGTGACCTTTACCCCTGCTAGTAACCAACAGTTGATATCCTTGCTGCGGCGGCTGTTAGATGAGTCCCCTGGTCACAAAAGCTCCGGTATATGACTCCCAAAACCCATGAAAAGGGGGTGATATCAATAGTCACCAACTGCAACCAGGCGCAGATTGTTATCCCTCGGTAAACCCATGCGAAAGGGCAATACCGGTAATCACCGGCCTCAAGGGAAACCAACCCTTGAAGCATCATTTCTGATTACCAAGATACCTCGCCGTTGAAGGATCTAAAGAGCAGCTATAAAGTCCTGCCAGTTGACTGACTGATATTCTTTTCTCAGAATGTGGGTATTGAGTCTCCTGCCATTCATTCATTCACTCTTTTTCAGACTTGTGTCTGCTTGCACTGCTCAAACAGACCGTATTCACCCCGATTTCCCTTCAAGCTCTCTGTTGCCTCATCTATGCGTCCCGATATTTGGTTCTCCGGGACGGGGCTTGCTATCAGCCTCCTCGCAGTAGGTGCCTCTGCACAAGGATTCGATAGCCAACTTCGGCCATGTCCTCAGCCTTGTGCCGGCCCTCCTTCAAATTGGACTGTCTATACGTCCATAGATCGCCTTCGCGTCTGCGCGCAGCCTATCTTATTCGACTTTGCCATCCATACCCCAATCGATGGTCAGGATAGGTACACAAAGCTGCGAGCCTGCACAGCAGGAGATGCCAACGATGTCCGGAACGCGCTCACCACAAACCGGACAATTCACTATCCGCGTGACGGCACCTCTTGCATTGCCTCCGCAAGGAAGAAGACTATGACTCTCAACGTCAAGATGAGCGGTCGTGGCCATGCTTCTTCTCAAGATACCCGTTCGGCGCTGGGAAAAGTGCGAAGCTATCTGCAAAATTTTTGTGACGAAACTTTCATTGTTGGCTACTCGGAAGAAGCCGTGGTGGCCGTCTACTCTGGATCGGCAATAGACAACAAGGCCACGATTTCCCCGATCCTGGACCGTCTCCCGTCTGTAGTTAGCGACTCAAAGACAGCTGTTGTCCAACTCTGCGGCCAGGGGCGGAATTCGGATCATACCTTTGGCATCGCTGTGGATACAACGGGTGATGTAGCTGCCGTACAAAAGGCCATAGTGTCCTGGAGCAACGCAACATGTTTCGACATCAACGGTGATGGCATTATGACCCGCAGCCTCGACAAGACGGTTATTGCCGAAGCGCCTCTTCAAGAGGCCTTCCGGCTTGTCGCCAGCGAAGGAGAGTGCAGAACTATCTCCGTCGTGTTCGGGGACTCTTGTGGTACACTGGCACAGCGATGCGGCATCTCAGCAAACGACTTCACGAAATACAACCCAGACCCCAACCTCTGTCCGGGCCTTGCCGTAGGCCAACGAGTCTGCTGCTCCCCTGGCACACTGCCAGATATCCGGCCCAAACCCGAACAGGATGGCTCTTGCGCTAGTTATACTGTTAAATCCGGCGACACATGCTCCGCTATTGCTGCCAGTAATGGCCTTAAGGTGGAGGATCTGGGAAAATTCAACGACAAAACAATCTGGGGTTGGTTTGGTTGCAATTCCCTCCTGGCTGGCACTCGCATCTGTCTTTCTTCAGGCTCTCCACCAATGCCCGCCCCTGTGCCCAACGCGGTTTGCGGACCAATCAAACCTGGTACCAAGGCCGACCCCAAGACAAAACTGGCGGATTTGAATCCCTGTGTTCTCAACTCGTGTTGCAACATCTGGGGCCAGTGCGGCATTACGCCAGATTTCTGTACGGACGAGGCGGGACCAACAGGCAATCCTGGTACGGCACCACCGGGTCACAACGGCTGCATTTCAAACTGTGGGACTGATATAAAAACCGGCGACGCCGGGCCCAGCAGCTTCATCAACATAGGGTACTATGAGTCCTGGAATTTCGACCGCCCGTGCCTTAACATGCGTGTAGATTCAATTCACCAGACGTTCACCCATCTACACTGGGGATTCGGTCTCATCAGTCCGTCGTTCGATATAAGCGTCGACGATAAACACAAGCAATGGAAGCCATTTACCTCACTGTATGGTTTCAAAAAGATCCTGTCATTTGGCGGATGGGGCTATTCGACGGAACCAGCGACGTATGAGATATTGCGCAAAGCGATGAATCCAGAAAACGTGGATACTTTCACAGATAACGTCATACAATTTATGAAGGACAACAACTTGGACGGCGTGGACTTCGACTGGGAATATCCAGGTGCGCCAGATATTCCTGGAATTCCACCAGGTTTGGAAACTGATGGACCAAACTACCTCGCCATGCTGAAGAAAGTCCGGGGAAAATTGCCCGAGGGCAAATCCCTTTCCATCGCTGCGCCAGCGTCATTCTGGTATCTTCGGCCGTTCCCAATCGATGACATGGCAAAAGAGCTAGACTATATCGTCTACATGACATACGATCTCCACGGCCAGTGGGATGCTGGCAACCCATGGAGCCAGGAAGGCTGCCTGGGTGGCAACTGCTTGCGTAGCCATGTTAACTTGACAGAGACGAATTATGCCCTCGCCATGGTCACAAAAGCCGGTGTGCCTGCTAACAAAATCGCCGTGGGTATCTCCAGCTACGGCCGCTCATTCGGATTGCTCGAGGAAGGCTGCACAAGCCCTGACTGTCGATTTAGCGGTGACCGTACTCATTCAACCGCTAAAGAGGGTCCATGCACCGGCACGGCGGGATACATCTCCAACGCGGAGATCGACCAAATCATCAATAATAACGATAATGTAAAGACCTGGTATGACAGGGAGAGCGCTTCGAACATCATGACGTATGACGGCAAGGAGTGGGTTGCCTATATGAACGCCGCCGTTAAAAGGTCCCGCGCTGGGTACTACAGAAAGTTCAACTTCGCAGGTGTTGTAGACTGGGCAGTTGACCTAGAATACTTCACAGGCGATGACGGTGATCCAGAAGGCGAGGAAGTTTTGCCTCCAGGTCCTTCACTCTCCAGATGCGACGCCGACTATGCAACATTGGAAGCGCTTGAAGCTGCGGCAGGCGATATTCCGCAGCACTGCAAGGCCTATTATACCGCTAGAGCACTCTCGAACCTTCTTGATGCGGCAGTCAAGAACTATACCAAGATAGTTAATAACGGGTACAAGGGGAAGTTCAAGACGTACTCAAAGGCCGTAGCAGGCAGTGCATCCAACAGCGTACATGAATTCGTGGACAAAAATGGCGATAAGTATTTTACGTGCATTATCCCTGAGACTTCACAGTGCTGTGAGTTGTGTATGAGGGAGCAAAAATGGCCCTCATATTGTGACTATTGCCACAAAGACGAATGTTACTTACAATGCGACTCGGAGCTCGGTTGTCCGCCTAACAGTTTCTACTCGCTCTTCAATTCGAGTTCTGGGCCGCCCGACATGCTGTACCCGATTGAGACCCCTAACGTAAAAACTCAGAACGTGTCTGAGCCATGTCCGCCAGATTACTCAAAGCGCGGTGAGGGACCAAACAATCCTTATCATCAGGCGGTCTACTGGACTCTGGAGAGCAACAAGGCAGACGAATTTTACGCAGACCTCTTCACCAAAACGGGCATCCCCAAGGAGAAGACCAAGATCGGCAATTATAACCGAGGACAAAACTGCGCACCGAGCGCAGAGCCTGATGACCTCTGCCACGCCTTCGACATGGACTATAACGTTCCTATTCCAAATGGCTACAGCGAAGCCGACGTGCTCAACCCGATGGAAACGGTGGCCAAGGCGCTCGAGAACTCAAAAGACCTCGTGGTTCAGGTGAGAAATGCGGTCTATCGGCTGAAGCTCGGGAGCTATAATGGCGACTCCTCTGAGCTGGTAGACAGTATTTCAGTTCCGATACTTATGATCGTAAGCGGAGTGGAGAGTATGGCGCAGGTCGAGGAGGTGGCGGAGAAGATTGACGAAGCCAAGCGCAAGGCCCTCATCCTGGGGTTCCTGGGCGCCATCCTCTTCTTCGTGCCCATCGCGGGTCAAGTAATCGGCGCGGTAACCGAACTATCCAGCGTTGCAGCAATCCTGACAATCCTAGGAACTGCCGGGGAGGTAGCGCTTGACATATACAGCATCGTCGATGATCCCGAGAATGCGCCGCTTGCGATTTTCGGCTTGATCTTGACGCCGTTGGGACTGAGTGATCTGGCGGCAGTCGGCAAGGCGGCTGCGATCAGACGCGGGTTGAAAGACGCCGACGTGGCCAAACTGGGAACAAAGGTGGCCGGGAAGCTGGGGTCTATCAAGAAAGTGATGCAGACTTGCCGCAAGGCATGAACGGAATCATTTTGTCTTGTTGTTACGCCGAATAACCGTGGCAGGCAATAAGTATCCGTCGAGACGCACTTGTTCGGAGTTAGGTGCAGTAGCAGGCAGCTAGGGTGAATGTATGTATGGCAAGAAGGCTTCTCTTATCTCGGAGCGATTCGTATAAATCGGTTGTTTTTTGTACCATTACCAATTAGATAGCTAACTCAAACCAATGTTGGAATTAGACTACTCATTGAATAATCTCTAGTAATGTTTAGTTGGGTATGCCGTCCAGATACAGAGCATGGAGGTCCCTGTCAAGAAGTCCTTAAGGCTCCTTATGTTTTGTCCCCCTTCATAAGGACAGACTGAAGGATAAGTCTTAGGGACAGGCCTAATAAAGGTCTAAGGATAGCTAAGGACAAGTTTATAGATAGTAAAAATAATATATTAGGGGCCCTTTGTCCAGTTGCTTGATAAAATATAACGAGCCTTAAGACTTTTCCTTATGAAGTCGTGAAAATAAGCTTCCATGTCACGTTATCACGGACTAATATATTATCCGAAACTTGCCGAAAAGGGCTTAGCGCTAAGGCCGAGATTCATGTTACTTTCACCTACGAAAGGGCCGCTGCCAGCTCAGGGTTCTGATAAAACATCTTTAATAAAGACACGCTTCCATCTTCCTTCAATTCCAGAGGAGATAACCCCTCTTGACCACCAAGCGTATCTAAGTGGCTTTTCTTCCTCTAGAATCGAGCGACTTTCACTGCGTATGCAAAGCTATAAAGATAAACGGTCTTCTTCTATCTACTCAGAGGATGGAGTTGATCTCGCGGAGAAAGTAATATATCTTGCCTTGAAAATTCTTATCTTCGGGGCGAAGTATCGCGAAATGAGAGAGACTGAGTGTTATTATTAAATCTAAAGGGTCAAATTACTCTAGCGAACCAGATGGTACAGGAAGCAAATCAAATGGTACAGGACGCCCTAGACGAAACGGAGCGACAGCTAGAGGAGGAAAACAAAAATTATTCGCAGCTCTATAATTTCGAGGACAGAGATGGACAACCTTTTTTAGAATGACCATGTTCCCAGTGTGCCTCAGCGTGACCTCCTACACACTCGCCCGATCATCATCATCACCATCATCACCACCATCATCATCACCATCATCATTATCCTCAATTTCTGTATCGCGATCACTCTCATCGATCGAGTTTCCTTTGTTCTCTATTTGATGGATTAACGCCTCGTAGTCCTAGATGGTAACACTGAGTTGTTCTATAAATTCTGCCTATTCTTATACCTTACACAGCACCTCTCGAAGGGCCGACGGGTTAAGGGAACCTAACGAATTCGGGTTCATTTCTCTAATAAGCTTCCATAGTATCTCATTCTCTATATTTAAGGCCTTGCACTCACTCACCGTATCCTTATAACGAATAATCTCAGCATTAAGGCGCTCCAGGCCTACTATATATTAATTTCTGGCTTGTGCGAGTGCCTCTTCTACAATATCCCGCTCGTGTTCAAGTATATCATTGCGGGTGCTCGCTTCCTGTAGCGCGGCATTGTTTTGCTCATGCTACTGTTCAGCAAGAGCGAGGTTATTCTTCAATACTCCACTAAAGAATAGAAGCTCTTTAATGTTGCCGCAGAGCATACATGCGTCGTTGATTTGCGATGACATCTATACGTTATATATCAGTACTAGGCCAAACAAGTGAGAGATCTTTAACATTGGGGGTAATCACCGTTTCGAATAAATATCTTAAACAAGAAGGATGTGCTAGGCGGAATGGGCGCTTCTTGATGGGATAAGAAATCATTAGAATAGAGAGTCTACTAGATTTACTACTTCTTTTATAGTTAGAATGGGACCGCCTCCCAAGTATACTGTTTTGCCTCGTAAAGAAAAATACGGGGGGGCGAGGTAGATGGAACAAGGATGATCGGCTAGACTTGATGAAGCCGCCATTTAAATGACTACTTAATTATCCAGCAAAAGGGGCCAATCAAATGGAATATGCTAAGGTGACATCTACATGCCGCAGAATAGGGACATGAATGACGACAGATATGCCAGGGCAGGGCCGGCTCAGGCGTCAGTCGTTTGAAACCCAGCGCTTGGGTATCCAATAGGAAAGACCTAACGTTTGTTGGTAAATAGAGTTTCGTATTATAAGTGGGTCGTGTGCCGCTTATCAGTCAACGTGCGACTTTAGAGATGACTTGGTCTTTCATCTAATGTCAGTACGTGTCAATGCAAGAGGGTATATAAAGGGTGCGAGAAAGCTACCTGCAAGCTTATTACTTCAATCTATGCTTGAACCTCAACTCCTTCTACGACACAGTCTCTATAACTATGCCAGAAATTGAACCTCTTGCCGAGAGTGAATGGCGAGAAATCTTAGGACAGCTCGCCGCTGAAAACAACATAGTTAACACGTTCGATATCGAGCTCAACAATTATCTCAATGATACCCCAGGTCCAGCAACCTTCGGGTACATGGATGAACCCCAACGCGCGGAGCCACAATCCTCCAATAATTTACTACCGCCATCACAGTCAAAAGGCGACGGGCTTCAATGCTGTGCAAATCACAAACATTATTTAAGTGAAATTACTATTATCAGAGCTAGATACGACTTTTAAAGAGGATTATACATCGGCGATACTAATACTGTACTCGTTATCTAGCTATGAGAGACTCCAAAGGTATAATATAGTACCTCTCTTATATATATTAAGATAACACTACTAATAACGTATAGCCAAGTTAAAGAAATTGAGGCTTCAATAGAACGACTCCAGCCCTGGCTGCACGATATGACCGAGGTTGTCTCGCGCCTTATAAGCATTGGAACGGTTGGTGATATTATATAAGCTCAACTGGGTTAGATACCCCCGTACAATGATGGTGGTAACAACACCGGGAGTCAATAAATGGAACTTGGTTATTATTTGACGCAAAACGACGTGGCAGCCCTTGTAGAGGTGGGTTTTTCTGAATGGGTTATCAAGACAATACGCAAAATTACAGAAGATATTTCTGCGACCTGTAACTAAACCCTAGAAAGGAGATAAATAGAGGAATGTACTTCCACAACTATATACTTTTATCCTTTAATTTAACATCGCTAGGAAGGCCGAAACATGGCGGGTAAGAATACTCTATAAATATATATATTAAAGCTTATACGAGTTATTAACAGAGCCATTATCTACTAAGATATCCGAACTCTATAAAATATATATGGAAATCGAACATAGGAAGCGCCTTCTAACAGAAGAGTACACAAGCATTTTCTCAACACTTACCTTTGCCCAACCTTCGACTTGTATGGATGTTGAGGATCCTTTGAAAGCTTTCGAGGCAAAGACCACGATTACATCATGTGCCAATGATATAAAGGACGAAGACGAGATAGCAGCAGGAGAATGATAAGACAGAGGCTTCCCTCTACAGAAGTACAAGGTACTACATGAACATTCATTATTTATGAGTCGTAATGCTTTTTAATGGACCCAGCCGGTAGCGTCTTGACCTTCGAAAACATTCCCACCCCCTAATAAATGCACCAGTGTAATAACGACGCAAGCAAAACTAAGAGTAGTAGGTAGTAAGGCAATCAAAGGAAGATATAGAAACATCTGCGGCCTGGCGCGGTCTGGTTTGTTCCTTAAAGACATGCTTGAAAAACAAAACAACAATGATCATGGAGAACCTTGGCAAGAAAGGCTTTTGTATTATCCTCTCTTTCTCTCCTCCTCCTCCTATGGTCTAAAAATCACACACGCACGCACGCTTGAGGGAAGGGGTAAATCAAAACAAAATAAACGCCATACAAGATGCACCGGAGCGTCCGTTGGGTATCCCGTTGGATCTCGTTCATTGGTCTCGTTTGAAAGAAAATGTAAAGTACCATGATTTAATTTCCTTTCCGTTTCGGCGTCTGTTAGGAAAGGATATCATCAAGTGTGGTCGTTAACTGGTCATTGCACAGCGAATCTCGCCAATATTCAACCTTAATTTTACTGTAGGTAGATCTGCAGTTGCTATCTTTTTGGGACAGTTTGATATCGAGGGGAATGGAACGTTTTTGGGGTTCCAACGGGTCGGCTCTTCCGTGCTGATAAGAAGCGTTACGGCCAGCGAAACGAGTACTTATGGCGAGGTAGTCAAGCCAATCTCCGAGTCGCTGGCTATCACCGAATTATCCTCCCAGGCATCTGAAGGAAAGTCAGGTCCTGAATATAGAGCAAAAACGAACAAAAGCGGTACACGTTAACTACAAAGGACGAACGAACGGCGTGTACCTTCAATACTCAGAGTGCGGGGAGGGCTCAAGCTTACCTGATCCGATTTCCTCTGGCATCTCTACAGTGTATTGCTCCAAGGCTGCTATGACCGCTGCAAAATGGCTGTTAGTTTGATATCTTGAAGGGAAAATGGTAGAAAGGGTTGAAACATACCTCCGGCCCGCTCAATAATAGCGCCATCCCCTTCGATGGTTTGTTCGTCGAAATATTTTTCCATGCATAAGTTGACGACGTACTGAAGCATCTCGACGGTTGACGCGTCTACGACGGTCTGGGCATTGGAAGTAACGAGATAAGTGGCCCGCAATTTATCGACACAAGCTTGTCCCAGCTGGCGGCCTGTACGTTGATAAAACTGCCGAGTAGCCTCCGGTGCATCATCAAGGTCCTTTGAGAACAGAATCTCCTGTAAATACTCATAGGCGGAGTTTCTGACTAATCGGTCATCGTAATGGAGTAGGGTAGGAGCCCAATAAGGCGCCATCTCTAATACGAGCGAGAAGAAGAAAAGCTCTTCCTTCTCTAAGATCGTTTCGTTGTTAAGGGATGCGATGGATTGAATGAACGAGACATGATCGCGGCCACCAGCATTGTTTATGGAGTCGACTGATCTCGTAGCAAATTCAATGAGACTGCGAACACGGTCAATGTCAGGAACCATACCGCAGAATAGTAGGGTTATCTCCAGAAAGGGACTAGC